TTTTTTAGAAGATATATTTAGTTAAAGTCATATAATATTTATTTATAAAAATTAAAAATACTTTATAATTGTTAAATTTAAAGCTTAATTTTTTCCCGTCAACCCCGTGCTGGTTTTTGGTTAATTATGATCAAAACAAATATTCTACGTACATTGAATTGTGCTGTATTGAGAATGATGGAACAAAAGGACCTTCATTTTGGAAAGTAGTTTGGTGCTGTTAATCAAAACACATATTCTGCATTATACAATCCAATCATATTTTGCCACATCATCACCACGTTAACATTAACATTCATCAGGATTTGCCACTTAAAATATCGACTTTGGTTGATTTTAACTTTTGGCCATTGAATTTGATTAGAATTAGCCTTGACCAAAATCTCGTCTGTAAGATTTTTGGCCTCTTAAGCATGATTTTGAGTATCGTTTTGCAATTTAGAGACTCTAGCAAGGACTTATGGGTTGTTTATATTAAAAAAGCCTCTGGCTTAAGAATGGAAAGTTCTGTGGGACATAATCGTGAAGGGGTTAGTAGTATTCAAAATCACTTTAAAAGAGCCTAAATACGCGATTTAAAATCTTTTAACAAGGTCAAAATATAAAACTTGAAGGTTGATTTTCACTTAGATCCTAATTAGCAATTTTTGCTCATGTGTTTGCATTAGGGATATTCTTTGCAGTTATAGTAATTAGCTAAAGTAGCAATTTAAATATTATTTTATTAAATTTCTTGATATAGGTACGTAATTAAATATTTTTAAATTCAGTTTAATAAATTTTATTAAATTACTTTACTTGCCCAAATGCACCCTGATACTCAAACTCCACCCTGAGCCTTTTATGATACTTAAGATAGACAAAAACTTCACATATATGTCAAAATGATATGATGAGTTCCCCTTATACCGGATAGTTTACAATAGAGATATTGTGACGTATGCTGGCCATGGATATTAGTCATATTTTGTTGGGTCACCGTTTATTGTATGATTATGATGCCCTTCATCAAGACAAAGAGAATACCTGTTCCTTCTATCATTAAGGCCAAAAAAATTATTTCACCTCCTATTCATTAGTAGATTAGGTTAGTCAGCATTTTATCAAAGGTGACATGAGGACAAAATTGTAAGAATATATATATATATATTAATGTAAATTTAAAAAATTTTACATTTGATTTAAATTTTTTATTTAATTTAAATATAATAACTAATAAAATAATAAATTATAACTCATTAGATATAAGTTAAATAAAATTATTTAAATAAGATTTATTGTAGAAAAGGACAATATATATAAAAATGATTTGAATAGATTGATGGAGATTAATTATTTTCTTTAACGATCACCAACTTGATAAAGAATATAAGGAGGGCAATAATTGGATGAGATTTCTAAAGATGTTCAACGGGACTCATATGAGATTTTTCTTGATTTCTTTTTCTATCATGGTGTCAATCTTATTTAAACCTTCAAATTATGATAAGCCTCAGCATGCACATATTAATTCACTTGATTTGACCTTATTCGAAGTATTGATAATTATAAACTTATTAAGTACTAATGTGTACTGCATGACGGATGATTTTGAAGTAGGTGACTATGGTATGGTAAATAGTTGTCAAGCCTTTCAATCTGTACACTTTAAAACAATTGCATGTTGGAGCTCTTGGGCTTTTTTACTTATTTTCTATAATAATGGCTCTAATGTATATTTGATTTCTTTGATGATATGAATAAAAGCATATTTGAAAGCAGTTCTCTGTTAGTCATTTTTTAAATGTTAACTTTATCTAAAGTTACTTCTAGAGACTAAAGTCACTTCTGGAGATTCGTTAACAAAGAAACTATCTTCTAAAGTCAACTCATGATTTTATTAGCTTTTCGTCTTGCAAGTTAGTCTCTTTTATTTTTGTAAGTTCTTTTTGTTTCTTTTATATATATAGGTTATTTTCGTCTTCTATGCTCTCTTCATCTCCTTTGTGCTAATAAATTATTCTTTTTTCACATCTACAAGTTCATTTTTTTTACGTATGTAGGTATTTTTTATTTTCTATACCCTCATTATCATCTACTCTACGTTAATAAACTGTTCTTGTTTTACATATACATGTTCGTCTTTTATACTATGTAGGTTCTCTTCATTTTCTATGTTTTCTTCATTTTCTTTGTATTAATAAAATGTTCTTTTTTTTACATTTACATGCAATTTTTCACAGTTATCTCTATTCTTTCTTTTTTCTTTTTACTAATAGTGAATCATCATACTAATTTATTCTCTTTTTTTTTACTTATTTGTGTTTAGTTTATGTAGATGTGGACTATTTGGTTAACCGTATAAACTCAAGATTCAATTTTAGTTTGTGATAAAATGAAGAAAATTTGAATATCATACCTATAAATTAAAATTTAAGCATAATAATAAATTAATTTTAGTTTGCAACAGATTTAAAAAACTCACAAAGAAACAAAATTTAAATTTTGAATATGCTATTTACATTCATATTTTGGAGAGCGATTCTGCATGGAACCGCTCTCTAATCTTAACATCTGAGAACAGTTTAAACAACCGCTCTCTTTAATCTAATACATTGTATAGCGCAAGATTTTAAAGCAGTTATAAACACTATCTAATTTAAAATGGAACCATTCTCACAACTTAAGTTCTTAGTTATTTGAAAATTTTTGAGTCTCCACTATTCCTTGCTGGATAATATTAATGATGATGTTTTGGACAATAAATATGATTACTATTTTGTTTTTGTTTTTTTTTTATCATTACATTGCAAAGTGAAAAAGACTAGCTTGCAAAGCGATAAATAAGATTTTTTTTAAACTTTTTTTAATCAATAATATTAGTCAAAAGAAAAAAAGTATAAGATAATGCTGATTGTATTTATAAGAAATAAATACATTCATCAAAATAAAAAAAATAATTATATGTCATAAATTTATATTTCATTTTAAAAATATTTATACTATATAATAGTCAAATTATTGTATTATATATTAAATAATAAATATATCTACTTTTATGAATACTATGTGACTACTTTCATAACACAAATTTTTTGTAATAAAACTAGAAAAAAGAACTTAATAAATAATGCATTTAAAAAATTATCTTTATTTTTTGTATTTAAGAAAAAAATATTGGTACTTATTTTTTTTATAAATAAGACAAAATTTATTAAAAAGATAAAAAATTCTTACACAAAAGAAATCTTCTTTTAAAGACAAAAAAATATGCAGAGAAATGACATTTTAATTTGAGGTTAATTTCAATTTGCATTTGACCTATAGTCTACACTTTAATTTTTCCCCCTATATTCTATAGCTCAATTACAGTAAATAAGTTCAAATATTTATTCCTATAGCGAAGGTGTTTTAAGAACATTACAATAGATAAAGCAACACAAGTTTTATTTGCACTTAATAAGGAATTGGAAAATTAACACACACTAATGCCGAGGTTCGCGTACACGAATGGCCGTTCAAAGTGCCTTGTCGTCCGTTTATTCTGTTTGTGCGCACTCATTGTTGGCCTTTCAAAATGCATTTTCTTCTCTCTCCTTCTCTTTCTCTCCCAACTTTGAATTTTCAATCCCTGCACTCATCCATCATCGTCACCCCACTTTGCAAAAACCGTCTTTTTATAGTTAGTTAGTAAGTAACCTTCAAACATATTGTTTTTGGAGTTTCACTCTGCTATCTTTTGTTGATATTTATGTTTTTATTATGAGATCATTGATTCAGGTCTAGGGTGGTGTCGGGTGTTGGAAGCATGGCTTACAAAGTGGACCATGAATACGATTATCTCTTCAAGATCGTACTCATTGGGGACTCTGGTGTTGGAAAATCCAATATCCTCTCCAGGTTTACCCGAAACGAGTTCTGCTTGGAGTCCAAGTCCACCATTGGGGTTGAATTCGCAACCAGAACATTACAGGTTTTTTTTTTGTTTTTCTTTTTTAAAAACTGAAATTTCGTGAAATATCAATTATTTTTCTGTTAATCTCCATTTGAGAGATGGTGGGTGTACTTCAAAATTTTAAATTTTTGTAATTTTTTCATTGGGATTTTTGTTTATGGTAACCTCTGTTAATTAGTTTGTAATCACCATGCAAACAATGTGATAAGAACGCGAAAAATGTAGCTTGATGGCCACGATAGGACAATCGAAATTGTTAGTTGCCCATGAATTTTGTATGTATAGTCTCACTTAGGTTGTGGACTATTGAAATTAATGAATTAGTTCGAGAGGAAGAGAGAGAAAAAAAATGGATTGTGATGATGAGAGTTATATGGATTAATTAAGTTAATGGAAAGATGTTACTGTGTGTAAGGTAGAATTTAAGCAGTATTATATATCCTAATACAAATAAGCTTAGCAGAAATTTATAGATGCAAAACACCTTAGCAAATTATGAAAATTATAGAGACATGATACTTAATATTGCAAAATCAAAATTCATGAATATAGAAAAATAATTTGAAAACTTAGCAAATATTGATGAATACTCATAAATTTATATTTTAACTCATCTTAATTTGGTAAAATATATTTTTAAAGTGAAATGACTTGATTTGATTTTGAATTGATAGAATTTTTTATTTTTTAAAATACACTTTTTATATTTAAAATATAATTTTTTATTAATTTTAAATAAAATAACAATAAAAATAATAAACTAATACATGTATTTTTTTTAATTAAAAACATAGAATAATATTTATTAATTACTCTTAAAAAAAAATGACTAACTTACCTCTAACCCTACTCTTAACCCGTATTTTTATTATATATTAGCGCTTAGGATCAAAATAAGAGCTTGAAAAAATTAGAACTGTAGAGTCATGTGAGGTGAGCTGTGGTCTTGGAGCTATATTGACGGCTCTAGTAATGTCTCCACATAGCATCTACGACTCATAGACACTTATGATACTTTGTATCATATGCCTCACTCAGCTCTTAGCATTTAGCTTCAATACAATAGCTCAGAACAATGATATTTCTTTATTACCAAGTAATCGAGAGCAGCCATTTTTGGTTGTTTAATACTAAAAATATTATAAAGAAAAGACCTGCAAATGCTTCATGCTTTTGCCTAACTTATTTAATGCATCAACCTAAATCATTATGCTGTATTAAACACAATGATGGGGCTCCTCACTTTGAATTTACCATCATCCCACACCAAAGAGGCTGATACCTTGGATTCTTCCATTGTTCCATCAATTGTGAGCACAAATGTTTGCTTTTGGCCAAGAGAAGTGAAAGATAGAACACTTGGGTTCACTTCAACTTTTAGTCCTTGAGGAGCCGTCACAATAGCTTTATATGAGGATGTTGATGACCCAACATTTGTAACGGTTCTCTTAAAACTTCCACTAACAGTGGTGTTGGAGGGTGGGACTTGAAGAGCAAATGATGCATAGTTTAGATCCCTTGCTGTACCATATGTTGCTTCAGAGCAGCTACTTTTATCCCCTGTGATGAGTTGTAGACTCCTTGAACTATAGCCTTGTCCACATAAAAACCTTACATAGTCTATTTCACCAGCATCATATACTAAACCAGGGTCAGCAGCCTTTAAAGGATCAATTTGGCCCGCGCCATATGCAAATTCTGCATCATGATTAGTCTTGGGACTAAGTGGTTTAGCTGCAATGTGCACGAAGAAGAAAGTTAGCTAAAAGTTTGATTCTAAGACCTAGTTTGGATAAACTTCTCTACAAGTATAAATAAAGAGGTAAAATAAATCAGGCTTCTCTCATGAGTTTTGATGCGTTCTCATCACTTGTTGCATTTCATTTACCTGTGGTCATTAGAGCTGAACGAATAGCAGCAGGAGACCATGTTGGATGAAAAGATTTAACATATGCTGCTGCACCAGAAACATGTGGGCAAGCCATTGAAGTTCCTGTGATGATATTGAACTGTAATGTTCTGTTGTCTCCTTCAATTTCAGAAGGGGAGGAAAGTGGAGACCAACTAGCTAGAATGGCAACTCCTGGAGCCACTAAATCCGGCTACAACATGAACAAAAGAATTGAGGAAAAAAAAAAAAAGAGATAAATTTAAGTCATTCAAAGAAGAGCTAATTAAGGTACCTTGAGAACTTCAGGTGTAACAAGGCTTGGACCCCTTGAAGAGAAAGAGGCCACAGCAGGGGCTAAAGTATCTTTTATCTCATCACTCTTAAGTATGGTTGCAGTTGGAGCCCTGCAAATTGTTTCAAGAAAATCCACATAAGAAAAGTATGGTTCTCTAGACTCTTGTTTAGTGTTACTAGCATGTTCAGTTGATACCCTGTAGAGTTTATGTAGTCATATACAGCGATACCATCCTTCAAGTCAAGGTATGATCCAGGCAATGGAAGAGAGGGAGCAAGATCTTTATAACTTTGACCCTGTATCAAGGCCCCAACAGCATCAGCATAGAGAGGCCCTGTTGCCTTGCTTCTGCCCTCACAAAGAACAATTTTGCCCTGAACTAACTTTTTGTCCAATGAACTACTGAAGCAAAACCTGCAATTTGGAAACATTTTCATTAACAAATTAGAGTATTAAGAACGTAGTTTCATATCGTTATTTATTTGGTTTGGCCATGATGTTATTCATCTTTAAGGAGGGGTAGTTACCGAGATAAAGATCCATCTAAGCCTTTGCTTGGAGCATCTCCACCATAAATTATGGGATACAATTTTCCCTTGAGGTCAAATGAATTTATTGATGTACCCTAAACATGGAATGAACAATTGACATTATTAATTATGTAATAATTCTACTTGATGAAAATTTTTAAGTCTATATTCACATGGTTCGTCAAATTACAAGCCCATTTCTAGCATAGGAAAGAGAAGGTACTTTACCTCATAAGTAATGTTGTTACCTAATTCAACCTTGGTAACAAACTTTCTGTCTATGGTTGTAGCACCCACAGCAATTAACCAAGGTGAATAATTTGAAAGGGAAGAAGGTTTTGGCCCATTGTTTCCTGCTGAAGTTACTGTCAATATTCCATTTCTCACAGCATGAAATGCTCCAACGGATGATGCATCTGTAAAGTAGTTTCCATCACTGAACCCTCCAATAGAAAGTGATATTATGTCAACCCCATCCGCAATTGCATCATCAAATGCAGCAAGTATGTCTGCATCAGAACAACCATCAAACCAACACACTTTATACACGGCAATGCGTGCCGATGGCGCGCCACCTCTTGCTGTTCCTTCTGCAAGGCCTAACATGCTAGCATTGCTAACCAAATTCCCAGCTGCTGTTGATGCAGTGTGAGTGCCATGACCCTCTGAATCTCTTGGAGATTTTAGATCTTCATCAAAAAATGATTTATCAAGTTTGTAATACTTAGCTCCAATGATTTTACTACAAGATTAAAGTAACATCTGTTAATAACAATGTATGTGCATTTTTTTATGCCTCTGAATATTTTGAATGTTATCAATGTGTACTAGACTACAACTTCGTACTTATTGCAGGTGAAATTTGAAGTTTGGCATGTGCCCTTCCATTTACTTGGTGGTGGACCAAATCCTTTGTCTTTGAAGCTGTCAGATTCTGGCCAAATTCCAGTGTCAATTACTCCAATGATGACATCACTCTCAGCTGGTGCTCTCTGTGTTTGTAATGGAAAGCCAATAAAATTCCATGACCTTGTTGTATGAGGATGTTTCTTTCCATTTGGAAAAACAGACACCACTCCATCAACTCCTGCATTGAGAGTTCACTTGGTTGGCAAATTTGTGAATCCAAGAGTAAAAGGTAAGTGATTTTTGAAGAGGATGGAAAATAGAATAATTTTTGTGCAAACCAGCCATTCTTTTGGCTTCCTCCTCTGTTAGCTTAGCAACAAAGCCTCCAAAGCTACGTTTGTAGTAGTGCAATACCGACTTGGGCTCAGCATTGCTGAAATTAAGAATACAAATCAAGAAAGAATGCAAGACAACGAAGCCAGAGATGATGCATTTTAGTGCACCCTCTCAGTTTGTCCGAATAATGGCACTATACTTTGGCTACTTTACATTTTTAATTTCGTTCATGTATGAATAAGGAAGAAATTACTTTGTACTCATTCCTTTATATTCTGTAAGATTTTTCCTACCAATACAAAGCTTTACAAGGAAAAAATAGTCTTGGCAACTGTGGATGGTGTCATGCACATACATTGTAGCCTATCAGTTCCATTAGTATTTATTTAAGATATTATCAGTCTTTGAGACAAATGTGGCAATAGATTCGTAATATAATGAACATATAGGATTCTGTTTCACTTTCACTGATAGTATACGATAGCCAAATATCGATGACCAAAGAAGAAGCAATTTTCTTAGGTGACTAAAACAACATAGCTTCCTTCAGTTCTTGGAACCTTGTTGAATAAATAGACCTACTAGTATTTTAGGTAGTGCTATGTTTGGATCAAATGGAAAATGAGTAAGAAAATAATAAGTTGAAAGGAAAATGGTGAAAATGAAATAATGGTAAATAAAATGGAAAAAATGTATCATTTAAATGGATACAAATAAAAGAGAAAGAATTGAGAAGATTGTCTTTTAGTTGTTTGGATTAACGAAAAAGAGAGTAAAAAAAAAAGTAGTGTATATAAAAGTAAAATTTTTATAAAAAAATTATTTTAACAAAAAATAAAAATTTTAATATCATACATTTTTAATACGTCCTTCTCACACCCAAATCTCACCAATTTGTGTGAGAAAATTATATAATAAATTATATATAAAAAAAATTAATTTTCGCTTACGTAAAATAAAACCTCTGAATAAATAAATTTACTTTGATACACTTCTCATTTTTTCTTATAAAATTATAAAATTAAATAATTTTATAAAAAATTTCTCTCATAAATTAAAATTAACTTATATTTTTCTATTTTTTTTAAAAATTACTTTCAATTAATTTTTCTAAACCTTGAAAAATAAGTTATTTTTAATCTATTAGAGAAGTTTTATTTATTTTTAAATTATTTTTTTTCTTATAAAGATTTATTCACAAGCTTGTCCAGACCTTGTTTTTTTCTTCAAAATAAACAATATTTATTACTTTCGTTTCCATTTTCCTTTTCATCTCTAAATTTCAGTATGCACATAAATTAATATTTAACTTTATAAACTCAAGGATATTTTTTGTCGTGACATGCATGGCCAGTGTGTTGTTGCGACATTCAATCTTGTTCTATCAAAAGGCTAATTTTAAAGGAACTATTTTCTTAATTTATTGATTGCTACCTTTTGGAACCGACCATTCAAAAAATTAGTCTAATTTTTTTTATGGAATAGTATTACCTGTCAGCAACTTCTTGTAGCATGCTTGTGTAAAGTGTCAACGCAGAAGCTGCATCCTTTATGCTGTTGCCAGTGTAGACAATGTAACTCTGCATTTAAACATAGTTAAAATAAGAAATATGTTATTTTCCTTAGCTAAAGCCATGCATAACATGAACCATAAGAATTTAAAAACGAAGAAAAAAATAGTAGTAGGTAAGGCTCTTAATAGTATACTAAACAGTGTGATAGCTAAAGAAAGATGAAGAGAGATAAATTTGCCTTCATTGGGGATGATGAGTGACATATATGAAGAAATGAAGTAAAGCAAAGAAGGAGCAGCAAAAGGGTGGAGAATCTATAACCATCCATTGTCAAGTTAGTAAGGACTGAGGATATTGCAGCCTTGTGATTGGTGGTGTTTGTTTATATACATGTTCATCAATCGAGACGTACTATGCATGCTAGACTCATTTGTATCATGAGTTATTGGTCTTAAAGAAACCTCCACCAATCAAGCAAAACGTGTTCACAGATAAAAATTGAAAGGTTTATACGTTTGTTGAATGGTTCAAACTTGAAAAAAACAGAAAAGTCTACCCAAAGAAAGGAACCATTGGCCGCTGGGCACTAGCTCTTAGAATCTAGCACTCAAGTTCACCACTGAGAGTGAAACCAATGCTATGTTGTTTTGTTCAGGCACATGGCATGTTCAGCTTGCCACCCAAGTGGGGTCTCAAATCAATATCATACACAAAAATCAAGTGAGGAATCTCTCTCAATGTACCACGAATAAATCATATAAAAAGACAAATGAACTCACAGCCAACTCATAACTTAAAAGTATTAAACTATGATTTCTTGTCACTTTATATATTATTTAATTTCTTCATTCGAATAATTTTTTCATTTATATTTACTATATCAACATAAAATAAATTCTTTTCACTCAATTCGAATCTTCCATAACTGTTAATTTGGAACATGCTTGTGTGTAGTACATAACATGAAACTTCGTCTAATCTTACCTGCTTTTAATATTATTTTTGGATTAAAATTAAAATTTTACTAAATAGCTAGAATTATTCTTTAAAATTGATTTATATTGCACGGTTAACTGAAATAAAATTTCAATTTTAATCATATAATAATATCAAAAGCATTGAGATGTTTTTTTTTTCGGTTCAAGATTTAAGATAAGGTTGTTAAAATGTTTCTTTGCTACGGGAAATTTTCTTATAGACCTTTCTTTTTGGGTCAACAACGAGTGTTGGGTTGGGTCCATGTTTAGGTAAGTCATTGTGTATTTGATTAAAAGAGTGCTAAGAATATTGACCCAAGAAAGGAGCGTTAAGAACGTTTTTTTTTTTAAATATATTTTAAATATTAAATTAAACATTAAAAATTATAAAATATGAGAAAAATATTTGATTAGAAATGAAAAAATTTAAAGATCAACGTATATTTTATAATTTTTAATAAATTCTAATTAATAACTAAGAATATATTAAAAGAGAGGGTTAAACAATCTCTTCGTGGCTTTAAATGTCTGGAATTTGATTTTAGCACGGGTCCTACTGCCAATTTCCAAGCAAGTTAGCAATTAATTAGTTGTTGGCACCTTTCCTTCGCACATATGTTTCACTTTATATGATTGATTGTTCCTCGCGTTTTGACAATTGACTCAAAACAGTGTTTATAGCAGTGAGTCTTAATTTAGATAATTTTATAAATAAGTATTTATAAAACATAGAATAAATTAAACATATTTCATAAATTAAAATTGACATTGTTACTTTTATAATACTTTTATTTAACATTTTAAAAAGTTGATGTATATAAATTAATTTTAATTTATTATAAATTATTTTATTTTATCTCTGTTTTTTATAAATCTTTATTAATAGACATAAGTCTAATACTAAAATGATGAAAGAGTAACGAGAAAAATACTTTGTAATAAGCATCAATTTATTTTCTTGTACAATTTTTCTTTACAATATCTTAATTATTCTTCATGAAGCTTCTCTGTTTTTCTTAGATAAGGAAAATACTTGGTAACAAGAATTGCATGAAAAATAATTAATTTATATAAAAAATTGAAAATTAGAACGAGGCAAATATTTTGATTTTAAAAGAAACAAATAACATTAATTAATTGTATGATAATTTATTTTTTAGAAGATATATTTAGTTAAAGTCATATAATATTTATTTATAAAAATTAAAAATACTTTATAATTGTTAAATTTAAAGCTTAATTTTTTCCCGTCAACCCCGTGCTGGTTTTTGGTTAATTATGATCAAAACAAATATTCTACGTACATTGAATTGTGCTGTATTGAGAATGATGGAACAAAAGGACCTTCATTTTGGAAAGTAGTTTGGTGCTGTTAATCAAAACACATATTCTGCATTATACAATCCAATCATATTTTGCCACATCATCACCACGTTAACATTAACATTCATCAGGATTTGCCACTTAAAATATCGACTTTGGTTGATTTTAACTTTTGGCCATTGAATTTGATTAGAATTAGCCTTGACCAAAATCTCGTCTGTAAGATTTTTGGCCTCTTAAGCATGATTTTGAGTATCGTTTTGCAATTTAGAGACTCTAGCAAGGACTTATGGGTTGTTTATATTAAAAAAGCCTCTGGCTTAAGAATGGAAAGTTCTGTGGGACATAATCGTGAAGGGGTTAGTAGTATTCAAAATCACTTTAAAAGAGCCTAAATACGCGATTTAAAATCTTTTAACAAGGTCAAAATATAAAACTTGAAGGTTGATTTTCACTTAGATCCTAATTAGCAATTTTTGCTCATGTGTTTGCATTAGGGATATTCTTTGCAGTTATAGTAATTAGCTAAAGTAGCAATTTAAATATTATTTTATTAAATTTCTTGATATAGGTACGTAATTAAATATTTTTAAATTCAGTTTAATAAATTTTATTAAATTACTTTACTTGCCCAAATGCACCCTGATACTCAAACTCCACCCTGAGCCTTTTATGATACTTAAGATAGACAAAAACTTCACATATATGTCAAAATGATATGATGAGTTCCCCTTATACCGGATAGTTTACAATAGAGATATTGTGACGTATGCTGGCCATGGATATTAGTCATATTTTGTTGGGTCACCGTTTATTGTATGATTATGATGCCCTTCATCAAGACAAAGAGAATACCTGTTCCTTCTATCATTAAGGCCAAAAAAATTATTTCACCTCCTATTCATTAGTAGATTAGGTTAGTCAGCATTTTATCAAAGGTGACATGAGGACAAAATTGTAAGAATATATATATATATATTAATGTAAATTTAAAAAATTTTACATTTGATTTAAATTTTTTATTTAATTTAAATATAATAACTAATAAAATAATAAATTATAACTCATTAGATATAAGTTAAATAAAATTATTTAAATAAGATTTATTGTAGAAAAGGACAATATATATAAAAATGATTTGAATAGATTGATGGAGATTAATTATTTTCTTTAACGATCACCAACTTGATAAAGAATATAAGGAGGGCAATAATTGGATGAGATTTCTAAAGATGTTCAACGGGACTCATGAGATTTTTCTTGATTTCTTTTTCTATCATGGTGTCAATCTTATTTAAACCTTCAAATTATGATAAGCCTCAGCATGCACATATTAATTCACGTGATTTGACCTTATTCGAAGTATTGATAATTATAAACTTATTACGTACTAATGTGTACTGCATGACGGGTGATTTTGAAGTAGGTGACTATGGTATGGTAAATAGTTGTCAAGCAGCTTTTGGGCTTTTTTACTTATTTTCTATAATAATGACTCTAATGTATATTTGATTTCTTTGATGATATGAATAAAAGCATGTTTGAAAGCAATTATCTGTTAGTCATTTTTTAAAGGTTAACTTTATCTAAAGTCACTTCTAGAGACTAAAGTCACTTCTGAAGACTGGTTAACAAAAAAAATTGTTCTTTAAAGTCAACTCATGATTTTATTAGCTCTTCGTCTTGCAATTTAGTCTCTTTTATTTTTGTAAGTTCCTTTTGTTTCTTTTATGTATGTAGGTTATTTTCGTCTTCTATACTCTCTTCATCTCCTTTGTACTAATAAATTATTCTTTTTTCACATCTACAAGTTCATTTTTTTTTACGTATGTAGGTGTTTTTTATTTTCTATACCCTCTTCATCATCTACTCTGCGTTAATAAACTGTTCTTGTTTTACATATACATGTTCGTCTTTTATACGATGTAAGTTCTCTTCATTTTCTATGTTTTCTTTATCTTCTTTGTATTAATAAATTGTTCTTTTTTTTACATTTACATGCAATTTTTTCACAGTTCTCTCTATTATTTCTTTCTTTCTTTTTTCTTTTTATTAATAGTGAATCACCATACTAATTTATTCTCTCTTTCTTTACTTATTTGTGTTTAGTTTATGCAGATGTGGACTATTTGGTTAACCGTATAAATTCAAGATTCAATTTCAGTTTGTGATAAAACGAAGAAAATTTGAATATCATACCTATAAATTAAAATATAAGCATAATAATAAATTAATTTTAGTTTGCAACAGATTTAAAAAAACTCACAAAGAAACAAATTTTAAATTTTGAATATACTATTTACATTCATATTTTGGAGAGCGGTTCTGCATGGAGGAACCGCTCTCTAATCTTAACATCTGAGAACAGTTTAAACAACCGCTTTCTTCAATCTAATACATTATATAGCGCAAGATTTTAGAGCAGTTATAAACACTATCTAATTTAAGATGGAACCATTCTCACAACTTAAGTTCTTAGTTATTTGAAAATTTTTGAGTCCCCACTATTCCTTGCTGGATAATATTAATAATGATGTTTTGGACGATAAATATGATTACTATTTTATTTTTTATTTTTATTTTTATCATTACATTGCAAAGTGAAAAAGACTAGCTTGCAAAGTGATAAATAAGATTTTTTTTAAACTTTTTTTTATCAATAATATTAGTCAAAAGAAAAAAAGTATAAGATAATACTGATTGTATTTATAAGAAATAAATACATTCATCAAAATAAAAAATAATTATATGTCATAAATTTATATTTCATTTTAAAAATATTTATACTATATAATAGTCAAATTATTGTATTATATATTAAATAATAAATATATCTACTTTTATGAATACTATGTGACTACTTTCATAACACAAATTTTTTGTAATAAAACTAGAAAAAAGAACTTAATAAATAATGCATTTAAAAAATTATCTTTATTTTTTGTATTTAAAATAAAAAAATATTGGTACTTATTTTTTTTATAAATAAGACAAAATTTATTAAAAAGATAAAAAATTCTTACACAAAAGAAATCTTCTTTTAAAGACAAAAAAAAATGCAGAGAAATGACATTTTAATTTGAGGTTAATTTCAATTTGCATTTGACCTATAGTCTACACTTTAATTTTTTCCCCTATATTCTATAGCTCAATTACAGTAAATAAGTTCAAATATTTATTCCTATGGCGAAGGTGTTTTAAGAACATTACAAATTTACAATAGATAAAGCAACTCAAGTTTTATTTGCACTTAATAAGGAATTGGAAAATTAACACACACTAATGCCGAGGTTCGCGTACACGAATGGCCGTTCAAAGTGCCTTGTCGTCCGTTTATTCTGTTTGTGCGCACTCATTGTTGGCCTTTCAAAATGCATTTTCTTCTCTCTCCTTCTCTTTCTCTCCCAACTTTGAATTTTCAATCCCTGCACTCATCCATCATCGTCACCCCACTTTGCAAAAACCGTCTTTTTATGGTTAGTTAGTAAGTAACCTTCAAACATATTGTTTTTGGAGTTTCACTCTGCTATCTTTTGTTGATATTTATGTTTTTATTATGAGATCATTGATTCAGGTCTAGGGTGGTGTCGGGTGTTGGAAGCATGGCTTACAAAGTGGACCATGAATACGATTATCTCTTCAAGATCGTACTCATTGGGGACTCTGGTGTTGGAAAATCCAATATCCTCTCCAGGTTTACCCGAAACGAGTTCTGCTTGGAGTCCAAGTCCACCATTGGGGTTGAATTCGCAACCAGAACATTACAGGTTTTTTTTTTGTTTTCCTTTTTTAAAAACTGAAATTTCGTGAAATATCAATTATTTTTCTGTTAATCTCCATTTGAGAGATGGTGGGTGTACTTCAAAATTTTAAATTTTTGTAATTTTTTCATTGGGATTTTTGTTTATGGTAACCTCTGTAATTAGTTTGTAATCACCATGCAAACAATGTGATAAGAACGCGAAAAATGTAGCTTGATGGCCACGATAGGACAAACGAAAATGTTAGTTGCACATGAATTTTGTATGTATAATCTCACTTAGGTTGTGCACCATTGAAATTAATGAATTAGTTCGAGAGGAAGAGAGAGAAAAAAATGGATGGTGATGATGAGTGTTATATGGATTAATTAAGTTTATGGAAAGATGTTACTGTGTGTAAGGTAGAATTTAAGCAGTATTATATATCCTAATACAAATAAGCTTAGCAGAAATTTATAGATGCAAAACACCTACAATAATTAGTCTTTTTCCATCATGTGGAGTCAGCTGTATGAATCAAATTATGGGATGATATTCTATTGTGAACAACGTCTCACAAAACATTATTAACCTCCAAATTCTTAATAGTATCACTTCATCTATAATTTTGTCTATATTTGGTACATCAAACAATATTTATGAGGACACATGCATTTTTGTGATGATGTTTGTTTGACACAGGTGGAGGGGAAGACAGTGAAGGCACAAATATGGGATACTGCTGGTCAAGAGAGGTACAGAGCTATCACTAGTGCATACTATAGAGGAGCCGTTGGTGCCTTGTTGGTCTATGACATAACCAAGAGGCAAACATTTGACAATGTACAAAGGTGGCTTCGTGAACTGAGGGACCATGCAGACTCTAACATTGTTATTATGATGGCTGGAAATAAGTCTGACCTCAATCACTTGAGAGCAGTGTCTACTGAAGATGCTCAAAATTTGGCTGAGAAGGAGAGTCTCTCATTCCTAGAGACTTCAGCATTGGAAGCCTTTAATGTTGAGAAGGCATTTCAAACAATTTTGTTTGATATATACCAAATTATAAGTAAAAAGGCACTGGCAGCACAGGAAGCAGCTTCCACTACTACCCTTCCTCAAGGAACAACCATAAATGTCTCAAATATGTCAGGTAGTGTGGAGAAGAGAAGTTGTTGCTCTAATTAAGAGGGTATTTGTGTAGAAAAGATGAGGAGGAGCTGGTTTTCTCAGGGAATGTTTTTCAGTATTTGTATACACGAATGACATGAGGAACAGTTGCTACCTTCTACAAGGTTTTCTTTTTTGTTTTTGTTATGGAAGACAGGAGAGGCACGTCTCAAGGCTTTGACAAGCACAACTTAAGATGAATATATGACAGTGTTAACAATTTGTAGTCCTTGCTTTGGTAACTGACTCTGAAATACATGCAATCGGATTTTGGAGTTTGCGTCTTAGTGCATCCTTGATTAGGGGTAGTAATTGAGGAACTTTTAAGTGTTGTTTCTCATCAGTCCCTTATTTTGCTCTTGTATCTACCTGTTTATCTTATGTATGATTTTACTAATATTGACAAAAGATGCTACAAAATCGTTTATTCTGGTTGATTGATTGTGCACTTGATTACCAGAGTGGTTGTTGAATTAAGAATAAAAAGCAAATAATAGAAGAAGTAATTAAGAAAAAAAAAACGTTAATAAAATAATAATATTTGTATAAAAGACAAAAAAATCATTTAATTTGTCTTTTTTAAGTAATTTAAAAAATTTAAGGGAATGTATTTAATATTCCTTAATTAATAATTTTGGGGCATTGATTAGCAAGACTTTGAAAAAAAAAGTGTTAAAAAAATAAAATATTTAAAAAACATAAAAACATGTAATCTTTTATGAGTATATATATATATATATATATATATATATATATATATATATTATATTTATTAATAAAACCGTACATAAAATTGGAAATTTTTATTTTACTAAAAAATGTTTTATTAATATCGTAGTTAGTTGTTAAAAATTCTTTTAATTATGAGTTTTATTATTTATACAACCTATTCATAAATACTTTCTATTATTTTTTTCTCTGTCTCTTTCTATAATATCAATCACCTTATTCCATACTTTTCATTTCTCTTTTATCTCTTTTTTAATCATATTACTTTTTTTAAAAATAAATCCTCTCTTTTATTCTCGATAAATAAAAATAAAAATTGTTTGACTATTCCAAATAAATGTTTGACAGTTCTTAAATCATAAGGATATTGCTACACTTAAAAAGAATTACGTACGGTATAGAACAATTTTTTAGCGCATTCTAATCAAGATGAAATAAATAACAATTTGAAATTAGTTTTTCTTCCATCTCTTAGAGTTACAAATTAAAAGTACGTAATTTATAAACACACTTCTTCAAACTCATCAGAACGTCTTTTGAGGACAAAATCGTAAGATCAACAAGTGTTAAAGCGACTAATACTTTAAATGCAATGAGCCTAATAGTAATGTAGATTGAACTAAACTTAGATCAAGTGTGACAATATATTTGGCTCTATTTTATCTATGAACAAGTCTATATACAATTTCTTAAATTGAAGCACCTTTGAGGAAGCAAATCTTGAATGGAAGAGGTTAAGTAAGCAGAAGATCAATGAGAACACACAATCGTGGAAGGTAATCCAATGGCATGGAAAGATCATTTGACCTTGGAAACGGCACTAAAATGGCTAATGTAGTGGTGCAGCAACAACCATACTTAACCAGTTAACCTTTAATAATTTAGGGTTGGGTCCTTTTCATATGACCTCGTTCATTGAAATATCGTCAAATATTAACTTTTAATTAAACTATATTACTTAAAAAATCAAAAATCAAATATAGAAGAAAAAAATAAAAATTATATTCCAAAAAATAAAAATTTACAAAAATTGAAGCCAGTGTAAAAAATGTTCTTCTCGTACTGAAGTGAGTGTCCAGGTACCAGTGCTTTTCTCAACACTTTGAATATATGCCATAGAACCTTAAAATAAATAATCACCGTAGCTAAGGTGTTTTCGTAAAATGGTACCTTTTTTTTTAATGATAAATTATCAAGATTGATACGAGCTTCCTCTGTGTAGGACGATAAAAAAATTAAAATTCAATGGCATGCAATTTTCAAGAATCCAATAATTTGTGGTAGATATGCCTCTATGAAATGTCAACCGAAATTATATATATTTTACAAAATATTCAAAGTACGTAAATATGAAGCTACTTTGAAAAATTAAGGAAATCATTTGTTAGTATTTTTAATCATGTTAAGGAAGGCACCGTTGAACTTGGCCCACATTCTGATTACAAAGTTATTAGTACTTTCGATTTTTTTTATAAGAAATAAATAATAAATTTAAGATGTATTAATTGTTAATTTTTTTATTAGTATTATTAAATATATAAATTATTAACTATATCATTTAATATTATGAGTATTTTTAAAATAAAATTTATATTTATAAAAAATATAATAAAATTAATTATTTTTCTTAGCCTTAATAATTTAATTTTTTTATTTCTTATAAAAAGGATGGAAGGAGTATAATTAATTAATCATTCTAAACCATGTTGGTAATCGGTATCCATGGACAGTACCTTTGCTTGCTACTCTACAAGAAATTAGTATTTATCCGTTTCATGTAACAATAATAAATAATAATGTGTACGAAACAGTCAATAGTGATTGCTTTTTCACTTTATCGTATAATCCCAATTTCATGACTAAGAATACACTTTATTTGGAAAAATATCGACTCACATATTAAAATTAATTATAATATATTGATAGTATAAAAAAATTATATTATCATCTAATAATAAAGTATTATATAATAATTATTTCCAAAGTTATACGTACTAAAGATAATTTCTAATCGATCCACGTTATCCCCAAATCAAACTCTACATTAAATTATATTTTTTGTCTTCATGAGATGGTTGGGCAAAGGCAACTAACTGCAAGCAATTACGGAGATTTTCAAAGACAATTTAAAAGTTTTAAATAATAGTCTAATAGTGAAATGACAAGGAGCGGGGAGTAAGTAAAATTACTAGTTCAACGTGTTTATTTAAGATCAAACTTCTACTAAGTTGACAGAAAAAAAATATAAAAGTTAATATATATATATAGCATTAAAAAAATTAATTTTGAAGGCTAAATTAATTGAATTTTAAATGTAAAAAGTATTGAAGAAAACTTATAAAATCAAAGTGAATTAAAAAGCTAGATGATTATACTGAACCTTAAATTAAACTTTGTATTTTAATTGAAGATTGAATAATTTGAAAAACATGAAAATAAATATAAAATAAATAATAATCATAATTTTTATGTAATTTTTAAGATTGTTATATTTTTTCATACTAAAAAGAATGAAACGTTCAATCATAGTTAATTATTATATTAAATAACTATATTAAGCTACAAGTTTTTATTATTTATTATATTCTAATCATATTTTATGTTAAGTAGTGCATCTTACGGGCAGTATAATTTAGCAGCAAATGTACAAGTAACCTTTTTTTTTAATTGAAAATGGATATCATAATCTACTGCAGACGAAATGACGAGGGAGGAGATTCTCATCAATCCCTAAGACAGCAACTCTCTGCATATACAAATGGTAAGAGAATCCGTCATCACTATGTAACGTATGTCTTCTATTTTATATTTTATGTATTTGAAAAACAAAACAGAATAGAACATTAGACTAAAGAGTGGTTCATTTTAATTCCACTACTGCATTGTTGTTCTAGATAATACAAGTGGCTTCCCAGCTTATAATAAGGTAAAGATACTTCATAAAATGGAATGGATCAACACGAGGTGGTTTTTGCTTAATGCATTATGAGATCTTTCCATGCATTTCATGCAGAATAAAGGTTCTTGACTATCGTAAAGGCGAACGTGTATTTTATACATCCTTCATATTCTTCACTTCTTTCCACCATTCACTGGGAAAATAAAAAGATTGCATATATCTTCCAGGTTTAAATATTTTCATATTCACTTCTATAGAGATGCGGTTTTAATTGGGTAAAGCTTTGAATATTTTATTATTACACCATAATAAATTATTTGAATGAATAATTTTTCACCATTTATAAATCTGTACTGGTAACTTTTTAACTTTAGGAATTTGAATGAATATAGTAATGATATTCATAGATTTTTTTAAAAAAATTTTCCAACTCTTTACGTTTTTTCTATTTCTCCTTTTTATCAAATATTTCTCTCTTTCTTTCGTACTCTTGTTATTAATTTAAGACGAATTTTCACTAATTTTTTTAACGTTTCAATAATACAGATGTGATTCGGCTAGAAAAGGTTAGTAAACAATCTGACAATTCAGTGCAGTGTAATTTAAATCATTCTCCTAATATATATTTACATGCTCAGTTTTTTATTCAAGTTGTTATCTCTATTATCTATCATCTATTTGAGTCATATTGTTATGGGAATATTTTGATATTTCTTACGAAGTTTAAATACAACGAAACATTAATTTATTAAATCAATAATTAATGAGAGATTTTTATGTTAGAAAAGAAAATGTATATATGCCTTTATCTAAATAATAAATTAATACATCAATTTGAACATTATCTAATTAATAAAAAAATTTAAATATGTAATTAAAAATATAGTTATATTGTAATAATTAAATATAATTAATTTTAACAATTATTTATTTGTATAATAATTGAAATTATATTTCATAAATATGATTTTTAATAAAATTATTGTATAAATTATATTTATATTATTTGATATAATTAAATGTTTTATTAATTAGATATTATTAAAATTAATATATTTAAACTCTTTCTTTGTCCATATATGATATATGGTTACATTAAACATCATGGGAGCGAATACGAATTTGAAGAAGTTTTGTTTGGACTTCGAACCAAACAGAAAACTTTTTTTCTTTTCTTGCAACTGGAGAAATTTATGTTACATAATTAATGAAAGTAAGTGCTTCATTAACAAACAATATACTCCTATTATTATTTTTATTAATTTATTTAAATAAGTATATTAAATGAGAATATTTAAATGCATTCAATCACCTAAAAAAAATGCGTTCAATTCCTTTTATATTTGACAAGTAAGAGGATTTGTAGGAGGATGTTGTAAAGGGTTTTAGAATTATTCTTGCTGAATAATTCTATTTCTGGTACTTATCTTCTAATAATTATTTTATAAAATAAGCATTAATCATAAAAGTGCATGTATTTATTGTCTTAAAAATATTTTTTAAGAAATAATTGTTAATATTTTTTCTAATTATACAAAATAAAGACTCATTTTTAAATGTATTGACTACTTAAAAAACTATATTATTATTTATTGTAAGATTTGTCTTAATAAGATACTCACATGTTGTTTATATAAGTGATTTTTAATATATAAATCATTAATTTAATTATTTAATATTATGAATATTTTTATAATACAATATAAATTTATAGTATATAAAAAAATTTGTCTCAATAAATTAATTATTTATTTCTTATAAATAGAACAATTGGGTATGTGAATTTTATTAATTTTAACTTTTAAAATTGAGTTTAAATATTTAAAAGTAGTAATTTTTTTAATTAAAAATAACATATTTATTACCTTAAAGGTATTAAAATATAATATTTTTTTCAAATAGAATCTTATTATTAGTAGTAATTTAAATTCAGTCTTACGAATTAAAATTAACATTTTTTTAATAATATCTATAAGAGGATGTTGTATTAAGATTTAAAATAATTGTTGGTGGATATATATATGAAGTATGTAATTTTGACTCGAGTGCCATGCGTAAATGATTTAGGTACGAGACTCGATGTGCTTTAAATTTACAGAAAGGAATCTCATTCAATTTGGAGGAAAACATTTACTTTCATGGAGAGGGAGAGAGAGAGAGAGAGAGAGAGAGATCTTCTATAAACTATAATTAAGTTTACATCTTCACCAAATTTGATATTGATGTTAAAAGGAACTGCTGACGATAGATGGTTAAAAATATTAAATATTTTAAATTATTAAAAATTAATATATTTTTTAATGCACACAATAATTGAAAAAAATATCATCACAAATTCAAAATATAAAATTTATTATAAAAGACTGATTCAATTTAATTTATAATTTTGAATTTGAGTTTTGGTAAATGAAACTATATTAAATACTAAAAATCCTGCAAAAACGTGCTTCACTTACGCTATGTTGGAAGTTGTTGCTACGTTAATCTTCTCAAGCAGTGCTTTTCTTTTTAAAGTGCTTTCCCTGCCAAGTGGGTGTGCATGCTTTTTACTTCATTATTGTATTATAATTAACGCTTTTACCTATGTAAGCAAAATGCGTGACTTGCATGAAATGTTCCTAAAATATGGATCAGAAATTTACCACAAAATAAGAAATTAACCACGTTTGTGCAGTCAGCATAATCAACAGTGGGCACACTGTATATTTAAGAAAAGAACGATAGCAAACGTTTATTAATAAACTTCTTGTTTTTAGTTAAAATTTATTATAAATTATAAAAGAGAAATAAGTTTGATTAACAGAGTTGACCTCCTTATCTTGCATATGCTTTTATATTTAATATCTCTTTAAGCAAGAGTCATTTATCTCTTCACTTTATTTGATATACAGATTTATTTTTTATTCAAAGAAAGATAGATGCTCTAATTATCTAATATAGAAGTACATGAATAGGTTTCTCACAATCATTAATGCAGAACCTACATAGTAACAATTCTCTTTCCTACATACATTTAAACCTACTAATGAGGCCACCAACCCATAGATATTACTTTTTTCCTCTGTCTATATAACATTCCATCCGACTGAGGACCCTTTTAACTTGTGTCTTCCATTTGCAAGGAAAAATAAAAAAAAATCAAGAAATGGAGAACAATAAGTGTGGTAGAATTGAAGAAGGTGAAGAAGAAAAGTGGGTGCATGATGCATCTGTTGATTACAAAGGCAGGGTTCCACTCCGTGCTTCCACTGGTGTATGGAAAGCTTCCCTCTTTGTCCTCAGTAAGATAATTGTTCACATGAGTTTTGTGTATCAGCATTAAATTTCATGTTAATTTGCAACTGTGGTTTTTTTGTTTTTCGTTTTAATTCAACACTGGTTCGTAGTACATTTTTTAGCTTCTTTTTCATCACAAATTAATAAAACGTGATCTAGCATGTCAAAGAAAAAAAAAAGTGGCATCCCCTACATGAAAAATTCAAGGGGCAAAATTTCAGCAAAAGGGTGTTAACATGCAGTGTCACAGTAAGCATTAGAATCAGCCAAATAAAGCTTCAAAAAAAAAGTGAATTCCAAAACTAGAGAAAAATCAAATCCACATCTTTAGGTATTTTTAGTATTCTCTTAGATTAAAATTAGACTTTTTATCTTTAATAATTCACGTATTACGAAGGTAAAACTTAAATTTGAATTAAATACTGTCTAATATTTTGTCTTTATAAAAACAGTGTAATAAACGTCGTTAGACTTATACGAGCATCACATAACTTGGTGATTCTGTTTCAATTTGGAGCAGCAATTGAATTTAGTGAAAGGATTATCTACTTTGGCATAGCCTCTAATCTTATATCGTACCTGACTAAAGTGATACACGAGGACCTCAATACAGCGGCTAAGAATGTAAACTACTGGACAGGAACGACAACCCTTATGCCTCTCATTGGTGGATTTCTTGCTGATGCCTACACTGGTCGGTTTCTTATGATTCTGTTTTCTTCCCTCGTGTATCTAATGGTAAATCTATTTTTTCTTTTACCTAATCAGTAATCAATGCACTACATCATATTTTAATTATAAAAAATATCTGTGAGACACTTTTTTTTAATATGGTCTTCAATTGTGGTTGATCGGGTTTTTAAAAAAGTGAAAACTTTTACTAAGTAAATTAAATATTTTTATTGTTTAACTTTTTGAAAAATTGACCAAATTACATGAAGAGTACTTAAAAAAGTGTATTGATAACATCATTCAGAAAAATGTTAATCTCAGCTTTTTAACTGAATTTAAGTACTCAAAAAAGTAAATTTTTAGTATAACTTTAATGTAACAAATATATTTTTTTAACAAAAAGTTCATTACTTTTGGATCAATCTCATGAATTGAGGTTAACTGAACTCCATCTTTTATAACTTTGTAAATTATCCTTTTACATCTCATTTATGTTGTCTTTGAACAACTTGACATACCTCGGGCTGAATTTTATTTTGTTTTTTCAATTAGTTTGTTTAAACATCAATACAAGAACTAATACACTGTTGTCATGGAAAGTAAGTCTCATTTCTAGTTGTCAAACCAGGGATTAAGCCTATTGACCATGTCCCAATTCATCCCAAGTTTAAAGCCTTGCAACACTAAGGTATGCCTTCATCCTAGGAAGGTTCATGCAGTGGTTTTCTTCCTTGCCCTTTATTGTATCTCCTTGGGCACTGGAGGATACAAACCATGCTTAGAAAGCTTTGGAGCTGATCAATTCGATGATGATCACTTGAAAGAAAGGAAGAAGAAGATGTCTTTCTTCAACTGGTGGACCTTTGCACTGTGCATTGCATTACTTCTTGGTGCAACAGTGGTTGTTTATGTTCAAGACTTTGTTGGTTGGGGAGTTGCTTGTCTTGCCCTCACTATTCTTATGGCTCTCACTGTTATAGCTTTCTATTTTGGAAAGGCTTTTTATAGGTACAGAAGGCCAGAAGGAAATCCTTTTACACCAATTTTACAAGTCATAATTGCAGCAATAAGGAAAAGGAATCAGACTTGTCCTTCAAATCCTGCTTTGTTGTATGAAGTCCCAGAGTCAGAGAACTCTAGAGGAAGGCTTTTGAGCCATACTAGCAGACTCAGGTATCACACATGCACTTGGTCAAATAGAGACTAGTATTTTTTATTGTTAGAATTTAATGAATTGTGAGTACTTTTTCAATTTGTGTTAATTTACCAATAAAGATAAACACGACACTAACCTATTGCTTTCATTGAAATTATTAAACATAATTAGAATTTGAGTATGGACCTAATGTGAGTGTGTGGATAGCGAATGAACTTTTAAGTTTTGAATAACTACTTTATCTTTAACAATTTAGACTTATATTATTTATATATTTTTATTAGTTGCTTATCCATCAAGGTGAGACTTTTATTATTTTAATCAACATCAACTCAATGAATAGGTTTCTTGACAAGGCTGCAATAGTTGAAGAGAAATATATTGAGCAAAAAGACAATCCATGGAGATTAGCAACCGTGACAAGAGTGGAAGAGACAAAACTTATTCTGAATGTGGTTCCCATATGGCTAGCTACATTAATTATTGGAGTAAATTTATCACAAGGCACCACACTCTTTGTCAAACAAGCAGCTGCTATGAACTTAAAGATAAGCCATAATTTCAAAATTCCTCCAGCTTCCATGGCATCTTTTTCAGCTGTTGGTACCTTAATATTTTTGCCTATATATGACAAAATTATTGTTCCATTTCTGAGGAAAGCCACTGGCAATGAAAGAGGCATCAGCATCCTAAGGAGGATTGGCATTGGCTTCACATTATCAGTCATGGTCATGGTTGTTGCTGCCTTAGTAGAAGCAAAGAGACTAAGAATGGCTACACATGGAGTCCTGATAGGAGGGGAAAATAGACAAAGGACTATGAGTGTGTTTTGGTTGATACCCCAGTATTTGATCCTTGGCATTGGAGACTCATTTTCTCTAGTTGGTTTGCAAGAGTATTTCTATGATCAAGTTCCTGACTCAATGAGAAGCTTGGGAATGGCTTTATATCTTAGTGTGCTTGGATTAGGAAACTTCATAAGTAGCTTTCTAATCATCATTGTAGACCATGTCACTGAGAAGGATGGCAGAAGTTGGATTGGGAAGGATATAAATTCAAGTCGTTTAGATAAATTTTATTGGATGTTGGCAGCCATAAATGCTTCAAATTTGTGTTTCTTTCTCTTCTTAACTAAAAGGTACACTTACAAGACAGTACAGAATAGAGTTACGGAAATTGATTGTTCTAAGGATGATGGGGTGGATATGAGAGCTTGATAAGAGCTACTAAGGCGTATTTAAACTCTGATATTTTCAGCTGGACCAAATGTTTAATATATTATTTTGTTATATTTACTTGTATTTGGATTGCTAAATTTACATTGTCGCATATTATCCAAAGTATGACTAATTAAATAATAGCAACAATAACAAATAAATATAGACTTTTCTTTGTCATATTGGTCAGAGGATATATGCTCTTAAATCGTGTCTGATTAAATAATAGCATAGAATCATAGATGATTGTAGATGAATTTTTTCTTTTCTTCATATTATTTAGCGAATATATTCTCTTAAAAACTTTCAATCATGGGGAGAAAAAAATCTGCAATTAGAAAAGGGGGCATTTCTTCTGTTGGTACATTTGCTGCATAAAAAATCAAACACCTGTGATGAAGTGTGGATGATTGGACCAGATGTCCCTACATATCAATTCCTAGTACAGTAGCCTAGACAATCTGTCACCACATCCCACCTACGTGGAACAAATCTCCTCGAAAACAATTAAACCGTGGTGGAACAAGATTAATGTCCCTATATTTTGACTCGTTATATGCAATAATACTAATTACTATTTGTATATGTAATATAGATAGATTTTGTAAGGTAGCCAATTTTTTTTTCAATAAATATTGTTTTCTTGTAGCCCAAGAAAATTATTTTCTGAAGATTGTCACGTTAGCCTTCTTGGTATCCAAATCAGTGAAGTATTTTGCAGATTTAAAAGAGCTGCCTTCAGAGTATAAATAACTTCATTTATAGCTGCTTTGAATATATTTATCTACAATAAATGAAAGCATGTTCAGCCATCTGATATTTACTAGTTTGGGCTTAGAAGAAAATGGCCAGTGCTTTTGGGCTTCTTAAATATCTTTTGGAACTTCTAGTAGTGCTATTGAAAAATATGGAACGTTGACAAAAAAAGAAAAGAAAAGAACGTTATGGAATATATTGCCTAAAAGACATTATACTCATACAGAAGAACAAAAATGTAGATCAAAACCGATAAACATGAAGTAAAGAAGTCCTTATCCTATGGATTATTATATGGTTGATGTCTATATATCCTGTGAAAGTCCTTATCACGATCTGCAGTTGGAGCGTTTCCAATTCTTTTGACTAGTGTAATTAGAATGAATTGTGGCTTTAAAGGAGTTAAATTTTAGAATTATTTACATGAAAACATTAAATATGATGAGAGAAATAAAAATATTGTATAGGATTCAATCTCTTTGAGAAACAAAAAAGAAAATTTTCTTTTCAAAAAAATTGTTTTGTATAGCTGGTGAATTTTTTCTTTTGTTGTGACATAATGATAGTGATGGATTGAATGTGAAATGTCCGAATTTATGAAAGAACCTCTTTCAATTGGGAGGAAGAATATAAGGTGCATCCATTGAGAGAGAGAGAGAGAGGAATCTCTTGTAATTAATAAAGTCAAAATATTAATAAACTATTTTTTAATTGTGATATAATATTTTGAAGTGAACAAAGTAGATTAGACAGAAAAGAATAAAACTAAATTCTGTAAGTGTGCTTAATGGTTCGCTTTTGAAAGCAACGCGTATCTCTCTATATAAGCAAGCATGACAGCACATAGAAAAACACATGACAAAACATTTTTCTTCTTTTCCTCTTGGTTCATTCAACACCACATATTTTTCTGAAAAAACAAATCTGCAGGTTGCTTTGTTTTATTGTTGGCTTCATTGATCAAATAGTTGATTGGAAAAGTTAATTTGTGTAGATACAGCAAAGTCGTCATACAGTTGAAGAAAAATTATAAAGCTTTAATTTAAGAGCTTCGATCAGGTATTTCTATATATATAACAGACAATTATACTTGTGCATTCAAAAGTACCCATTCCCTTTTATAATATCTTTTAAATTTATGTTCTTACATACACAAATTAAGAATAAATTTTGCTAAATATTTTTGTTTTAATAAATCTGAATTACACATCTTTTGGAAGTTGGATTTTTATTTTGATATTTTAGCATGTTGTATTCATGTGAAAGACATCTGTTTAGTTTTAATAAATATGTTTTTAGTTCTCAGATGTAATTTAAACAATCATCTTAGTTTACTTTGTTTCCAATTTTTAAAATGGTATTTTTATCATTTCCTATAAAATCTTAAAAATGAAAAATAGTAATATTTTTATAATTATTTTAAAAAATTAACATTTTTTTCTCTAAATAAGCATGAGATGTCATGTTTCTTAGGTGCTATATTTTGTACACAACTATCAATCATAGTGCTGATTATGTGCCAAAATGTTGTAGATATACGTTTAAAATCGTGAATATGTATTGTAATTAGCATTGTAAGAGAGGATGAGTTAGGTTAGCCTATATGAATAAATACAGATAATATAAGTGAGAAAGAGGGGCCATGAATTCAATAAACTTTATATATTAACAAAATTTTCATGCAGTAATTGTAAATGTGTGTATCTTTATATCATAACTTTTAAACAACTAAAAATATATAATTCGATATATGTTAATTGTCATATACGAATGAATATTTGAGATTTTACGATATAAAAAAAATAAAGTGATAAGACATTTAAAAACAATAAGTAAATTATGAAAATAAATTGTGATCAACTTGTAATTTGGTATGGTGTTAAAAATCATATACATTAATTGCAAAATTTTAAATGTAGAAAGTTTTGAATTAACAAGATAAATTGTAGGATTGACTAAATTTAAGTAATTATATTTGAGAAAAAATGAAAATAATAATAAAATATAAAGTGTTTTATATATAAAAAATCATTCAATTAACACGTTAAAAAAATGTTAAATGAACTCCGTACTCTTAAGAAAAAAATAATTTTTTTTATTAGGATTGACTCAACTAAGAGCATTAAGAAGGTGTTGGCTTCATTTCATATGCTACTATATTTTAAATGATATGCCATCTGAGATAATAAGTCCTTATTCAAACATAAAAGCAAGACTAAAGACCTGTTTGGATGAATAATTTATAAAAGTTTGTAATAAGCGCTTAATTTATTTATTTTAAAAATATTTTTTTTAAATATGATATTTTATTTGCTTTAAATTCTTAAAAATTAAAAAATTTATATAATTCTAATTTTCATAAATTACAAAAAATATGTTCTTTTAGTTCTTGAAATGAGGAGCTAAATCAAATTATTTTTATTAAATGTAGGAATTAAAAAAGAAATTGTTTTTTAAAAGATTTAAAACATAAAGACTAAATATATATTCAAACTTTAATTTTTCAATTGAGGGAATTGATTGAATGTAGTTATTATATGTGCAGTTTAGTGTTACTCTTTGTGACCCTACAAATAATAATGGAGCAACTTTGAAATGTCTTTGACCATGAAAATGCTATAAAATAGTAAGCAAAAGAACTTATGCTTCTTATAACTTTGAGACACTATCTTTATTCTCTTCTCCTCACCCTTCCTTTCTAAATAATCTGTCACATAAAAAGGGACGTCTTAAAATTCTTATTCTCTATATACGTACCCTAATGCATCCAACAAAAGTCATTATCAACTTTTAATATTTTTTATTATTAAATCATCAAAGTAATTTTTTATTTTAATTAAAAATAATATTAAAAGTACTTTAAATTTTGCACCTAATCTTTTATAACATCGAGAGAAATCAAATTGTATCAATCTAAATTATAATAATTCTTATATCATCAATTTGATTTCTCCCCTTAATAGAATGATGTTAAAAAAGATTACGTAAAATTCAATTGATGATATAAGAATTATTAATCACCAAATTATATCTATATATTTATATTAAATTTGTTAAAATTAAATAACTATAAAAATATAACTAAATTATCTCTATTTTTATGTATTTTAAAAAATTATTTATTTTATTATACATAAATGAAGTATCAAATACTTTTAAATTCATCTAAAATTCTATTAAAAATTTATTTTAGAATTAAATTATTCAATAAAAAATTATTAAATACTGGGAAAATAAATATATAACGTACGATCATTCTATTAATATTAGTTTACAAGATCATATGGCCCTTTTTCTTATTTGACTCTTTTAAATAGGTACAGGACATTTTAATTTAGAGATTAAAATGTATAAATATAAATTAATAATTAAAAAATAATATTGAGAATATAAGAAAATATATGTACAATAATTATGAATTTGTTAATATATATTTAGTTATTTGAGTCTTTATTCTTGAATATTGATTTCGCTTTTTTTCCCTTCTTAGTGATGTGCCTTTTCATAAAAATTTAATATTACTTTTTATATTTTTAATTGTCAAATTATTAATTATTTTAAAAAGTTTCATTTTCATGAAAAATATTCGTCATATCTCAGCCTTAAATTTTGTAAATTTTTTATATTAAAATTTCATTTTCATCCCAAATATCATATATTTATATTATCAAATAATTATTAATATTATTTTTAAATTTTACTCTTTTACCTTGAATCTCACTTACATAAATTATTATTTATGCATTAAAATTAATTATTCATTTCTTATAATTTTAATTTTTTTTACTTAAATTAGAAAAAAAAAAGCCCATGCGATGTATAAAATATTTGCTAGTTATAACTATATATTATATCTTGTAAAATGCATCCTTCACTTATACAGGAGCAAATTTTCTTTTTCTGAAGTTATAATTTATGTATGAATTGTTGACAGGAGAACATTAAACGGTGATGGGGTAAATAAGAGTATGAATTGAGTAGTTTCTGGAAACAAAATGGGAACTTTTTCCAGTCATTTGAATAAATGGATTGCTAGCACTCACTGAGTCTATATCTCAGGGAAATTTGATTAACAAAATGTACACATTATCTTGCACTGGCAGGTTCAATTCCAACAAGTTAATAATGAAGAACCAATTGAAGTAACAATTTTCATTACTATATATACATTTCAAATGTCACTAATGAGAGACCACCAACTACAGATTTTTCCGACCCTTTTCCTTTGTCTATGTAACATACCTTCAAAAAGTTAGGACCCTTTTAACCTGTTTGAATTTGTAAAGATGGAGCAAGATATGGAGAAGAGAAAGCGAGGCAGAAGTGAAGAAAGTGAAGAAGAAAAATGGGTGCATGATGCATCTGTGGATTATAAAGGCAGAATTCCTCTGCGTGCTTTCACTGGTGTATGGAAAGCTTCTCTTTTTATCCTTTGTAAGAAACTTGTTTCCTTTAGTATTATAAATATCATCACTTTTTTTCCAGTTTGCTACTACGGTTAAAAAAAAGTCATCTTGTTTTATCATACGGTTCGTAGTTCATTTTTAGCCTTCTTTCTCATTAAAAAACTATTAATGTGTTTAACCATGTCAATTTAACAAGCAACAATTTTTAGAAGAGTTAGTTTATTATTGGCTAGTGGCTACCCACATGCCTCACCAACAATGTGTGTTTAGTAATAGGCCAAATGAACTTCTTCAAAGTAATGGTGCATATCAAAACAAGAGAAAATCAAATCTTTTTAGCTAAATTCTCTTCTTAATTATTGATACTGCTGAGTAGCAATCATAAAAATTATGCAATAAATGTTTTTAATAAGAGCATGACTTACTGATTTTATTTCAATTTGGAGCAGCAATTGAATTTAGTGAAAGGGTAAGCCACTTTGGAATAGCTAGTAATCTTATCACGTACCTGACTAAAGTGATCCATGAAGACCTCAAAACAGCAGCCAAGAATGTAAATTATTGGGCAGGAACAACAACTCTAATGCCTCTAATTGGAGGATTTGTTGCTGATGCCTACACCGGTCGATTTGCTATGGTCCTGTTTTCTTCCCTCGTATACATCATGGTAAATTCAATTTTTATTTTCTTATCAGTGTAATACATATGTAGTAACAACTTAGTAACAAGTGCTCTTACACTTTATATCATGTCTTGATTAATTTGACATAATCAGGTTGGTAAGAATTTCAATTCCTTTGTTTATACATTAAATGCAAGCCCACATATATATTGTTGTCTTCAGGGATTAAGCCTTTTGACCATGACTCAGTTCATCCCAAATCTAAAGCCATGCAATAGTAAGATATGTCATAGGCCAAGGAAGGTTCATGAAGTGGTATTCTTCCTTGCCCTTTACTCTATTTCTTTAGGTGCTGGAGGATATAGACCATGCTTGGAAAGCTTTGGAGCTGATCAATTTGATGATGATCACTTACAAGAACGAAAGAAGAAGATGTCTTTCTTCAATTGGTGGAGCTTTGCACTGTGCTTTTCAATGTTGATTGGTTCAACAATGGTTGTTTATGTTCAAGACTTTGTCAGTTGGGGAGTTGCTTGTCTCATTCTCACTGTTTTTATGGCTCTCACTATCATAGCTTTCTATTTGGGGAAGCCTTTTTATAGGTATAGGAAACCAGAAGGAAACCCCTTCACCCTAATTTTACAGGTCCTAATTGCAGCCATAAGGAAAAGGAATTTGCAATATCCTTCAAATCCTACTCTATTGTTCGAAGTTCCAAACTCAGACAAGTCGCAAGGAAGGCTTCTCAGCCATACTAGCAGGCTTAGGTATCAAACATGCCTCTTCTTATATTTAGACTAACATTTTTTGTTGAGTAAAACATCAAATTAGTTCCTAAAATTATAAAAATCAGATAATTTAATTTTTGAAATAACAAAAAGAATTTTAGTCTCTAAAATTATCAAATGAAAGTTATTTCAATCCTTAAAATTACAATGCGATAGTAATTTTAGAGACTAAATTGACACTCGGGGACTAATCTAGTATATTACTCAACTTTAATTGTTAGAATCCTAAATGATTGTTAGTTTACTTACCGTGAAATACTAACTTGAACCTACCTACTAATATCCATGGAAATAAAGACTTGTTTATTTAATAATTGAATAGGTTTCTTGACAAGGCAGCAATAGTTGAAGAGAAACATGTTGAGCAAAAAGACAATGCATGGAGACTAGCAACAGTGACAAGAGTGGAGGAGACAAAGCTTATTGTGAGTGTTGTTCCAATATGGCTAACTTCATTAATGGTTGGAGTATGTGCATCACAAGGGTCAACACTATTTGTCAAACAAGCAGCTACCATGAGCTTAAAGATAAGCAACAACTTCGAAATCCCTCCAGCTTCAATGGTGTCTGTTTCAGCTTTTGGTACCTTAATATCTGTCCCTATATATGACAGGATTATTGTTCCAAATCTGAGAAAAGTCACAGGTAATGAAAGAGGCATCAACATCCTAAGGAGGATTGGCATTGGCTTGGCATTATCAGTCATGGTCATGGTTGTTGCTGCCTTAGTAGAAACAAAGAGACTAAGAATTGCTAAAGGGGAAATTGGACAACGGACTATGAGTGTGTTTTGGTTAATACCCCAATACTTGATCCTTGGCATTGGAGATTCATTTTCTTTAATTGGTTTGCAAGAATATTTCTATGACCAAGTTCCTGACTCAATGAGAAGCTTAGGAATGGCTTTATATGCTAGTGTGATTGGAATGGGACACTTCTTAAGCAACTTTCTAATCATCATTGTGGACCATATAACAGTGAAGACTAGCAAAAGTTGGATCGGAAAGGATATAAATTCAAGTCGTTTGGATAGGTTTTATTGGATGTTGGGTATCATAAATGGTTTGAATTTTTGTGTCTTTTTGTTCTTGGCAAAGAGGTACACTTATAAGACCCTACAGAGGAAAGCTATTGAAATTGATGGTTGTAATAATGATGGGGGGGAGACTATGGCATGATCAGAGCCACTAAGGTGTAGCTTGCTATACTTTTCATGGGATCGAATATTTTAATATCCTTTTTTGGGTAAATCGGAGAAGTGAAACCCCCAAATATTTAATATATTGCTCCTCTTATATTTATGAAAGTTGGATTGCTAAGTTTACACTGTGGCAGATTATGCTGAGTATGCTTTACTATGCAATATCATAGTGGAGCATAGACAATTTTTATTTTTTATATTAATACTAACAAATGTAGCCGTGCAGATGCACGAGTTTTGCTTTAAGCAAAAATAAGGATTAAATGGTGAAAAATACAGGTCGTGGAAGACCTGATTTTCTTATGAGTGTACATTCTATGAAATTTTTTTTCCTCAGGAAAAAAGAAAAAGGAGAAAGAAATAGGGTCCTTTTTTTCTTCCCTGATCAATATAAAGGAAACTTTCTGGGTCAAACTCCGCATTGGTTTTAAAAACCTTACGGTATGGTAAGAGTTATAAATAAGATGATTATGTTTGAATTTGGGTCAAAATTATATCTTACAACAGAAGCCTCTGTTAATTTGGGAAATAGGTTTAACAAAAGGAAAACGTTAAACCTAAAAAATAAGTTGCAGAACTACATTGAGACAAAAAAAAAAAACTAACCTTAAATTAAAAGTAGAAATTAGAGAATAAAAAGTATAATTGCTTTGGTTTGGATATTGGATTAGAACCTATTCTGTGATCTGTGGATGTACTGAGGTAGGAAAGAAAAAAAAATTATGATTAAAATTCCTAGTGAGTATTAAATTCGGTTATTCTAGGTATATGTCCTTAAATTATAATTATGCTAACTCAATTTCAGTTATAGTTATTGTGAGCCTAAGTTGCTGTCGAAAGCCTTTAAATTCAGTTCCTTCTTTGTGACATGAATCGATTGCTAGTGGATTAATGTTTTAATTTTTGTATATTTGGATAGTTTAGAATAAATTATTAAGTAATTCAGAATCACCACAAATCTGTGATTTTGGTCAACCATCATATCATATGTGATAAAATTTTAGTATACTTTTATTAATTAAAAAAATTATTGCATGATTATAAATACATAGCAGTCTCAAAACATTGAATAATTTCTTGTAATCTACAATGTAAAAATAAAGTATTATTTAATAATATGTTATCGTATTGTTATGATCAATCTATCCATTATTTGTTAAATATTTTTCATACTTCTTTATTTGAAAAATAAAATATATAAAAACTATTCGCTAGAACCTTTTATTTCATTATTTAAAAAGCATTCAAAAGTTATAATAATGAATAGTGTGTTAGTATCAAGGAATGTATTTTCTCATGTAAGTCATTTAAATTTATATTTATCTTTTTTTATAAATATTAAATAGATAAACAAAAAATTTAAATGATATTAAAATTTAAAATGAAAAGTTTTATTCGATTTGAATAGGATTTTCTTTTGATTAAAAATACATGTGATTTAGAAAGAAAAAAAAAATCGCTGCTAATAACATTATTATTGTGGAAAAGCAACACAAGGAATAGAAAGTCTTAAAATAAAACAAGGTATGCATAATATTATTGAATTTGGACACGAACATCCTTAATAGGAACATCACTTTCCCCCTAGGGACATGAAATAAAGAGCATGTTCTTGTTACAGTGGGAAATTACCAGTCCAACGAATATGCTCCAAAGTAGAATGTAGACCATACTTATTAACAGCTTCATTGGCTGCTCTAAAGCCACCACCATAAGCAGGGGAAGAATCATTGGCTATTTGGTTCATGAAAAATTCACCCAATTTATTTTCAACTTGAGATTTTGCACCCTTCTTTGATGAGTACGAGGAGGAGGAAGATGAAGAAGCTGACGATGATGATGATGTTGACGGCATGGTTCTAGAACCTGACATTACCTCTGCCTCAAGCCACATGTAAGAAAGAACCTGACAAATACCTTCCTCTACTTCAGGATTAAGGTTGCGATAACCTGTTTATTTCAACGAATTTTTTTAGTATAATTTATCAAAATAAATTATGTTTAGTTTAATTTAATAATTTTATTGTTAAATTTATAATATAAATAATTATTCAAAAAGGTTTATTGAATAAGTGAGCATTTTGAAAAAATGCACCACCCCTAGTACAATGAGTAGTTGAACAATGAACACGAATATAGGATCATAATATCTAACCTTTAAGGCGTAACCAAGCATGCATCAACTCGTGGGCAAGGATAGCACCTGTGAGTAACCTGCATACAAATATTTATGAAAGGAGAGACAAATATAAAAATTTTAGGTGATAAAATCATGTTAAAATTCAACGTGAGAGATTCTATTATCATGGCAACATTTATTATAAAGTTTCAACATTATCACGAGCATAAAGTAAATGTAAATTACCTCGGAAGACCATAGAGAACAAGAATAGCTGTCACTTCGCATTTTCTATTCAGCTTGTGAGGTTGACTTCTCATCCCATTTAATCGATGGCCTCCAATTCTTGGCCATCTATATACCTGAAGCAACACAAGATCATAAATCAGGTCAATTAATTACCTGATAGATAATTTATAACTTGGTTCATCAAGGCTTCCACATTCTACTATGATAAACAAGAGTTAAAATATGAGGAATAAAGAATCATACACTTGTGACAGTTTGCTCTTCTGAAAGGCATAAGCCTCTTGTTTCTGGCATGTGATGGAAACCCTGGTAAAAGCCAATAGAGAGTAAAAGGAATTGAATTAATTCTACGGTTTTGATAACTTTTAGTCTTAAGAAATAGCTTTTAACATCTAAAAATAGTGAATATTTGTTTAAAAAAAGAAGGTATTTATTACACTTTTGTATCGTATCTCTAATGTAATAAATATTTTTTTTTTCAATAAAAAAATACTACTTTTGAAAACTCAGCTCTAAGGGTGAAATTAATAAAATCATTAATTCTTTGACTGAAAAACAAAGAATGGATGGTTCATTACATTCTTCTCCCCAACAATAGCTTCATTGAGTGCTTCTCTGCCAACAAGAAGCATGGGAACTTGTTGGTCTATTCTCATATTCATTCCTTCATAATAATCTCTGATAGCATGATAAAGAGGTTGGCATTCACCAGTGTCTGTTATAGCAGATTCCATGCACTCAAAGCACAAAATCCTTCCATCTTCCAATCTCAAGTATCTTTCATCCCGGGACTTGAAGAACAAGATGATTTAAAAGAACATAAAAATATCAGAAAAGGGACAAACATATAGCAAAGAAAAGAGTAATAATTAAATATTCTGTGTTAACAGTTAAATTAGTACCTCTAATCTTTCACAACTACAGCAGCGAACTGTATTATCATATTCATGAGATGGACAGTACTTTTGGTTCCAATAGGGGTGGCATCTATACTCAATCAAACCAGCAGCATTTATAGGTATCTGAAAGTGAAATAAAATACTATAAGCGTTAATATTGCTTTTCAGCAACTGTTAATCATCTTTTTTACTAGGCTAGTATTACGATAAATAAACTAAATTATCAATGGAAAGCTCTTGTGCAATATGATAATAATGTCAAAACATAAAATAAAACAAATTGTCCACAATCTTCTAACAATTAATAAATGAATAGGATATAACTATATTAATGATGACTACAACTAAAAATTATTTGAAATGTCATAGGAAGACTAATAATACTATTTGGTTCCGTCATCTCATAAACTAACGAGTGCAATGGTCCCTATTAAGGTATATGAAATTCATTGAAATTTAATGACCTTTCACATTGAAGAAAACTAAAAGCAACAACAGCAGAACAATGTGAGTAAGCAAAGATAGTGGTAGACTAATCTTACATATTGATGGCAAACTTCACATTTAGGGTGGGTCAATTCTTTAAAACAAGACTTGTGATATGGATGCTTCCCTGACAAAGAAAACTTGGATCAAAAGAAAAGAAAGGAAGTAAGAGAGAGATAAAAGAGAAGTGTCAGAAATCAATATTTTTGCAGGCATAGCTTTTCAAAGAGTAAATAACATGCATTTGTGGGAAAAATTGAAGAGAAGTATAATATATGTATGAGGACATCTGCATGCTGTGTTTGTGTAAATAAGTTTTAAAACTTACAATGTAAAATAGATTATATCAACATCCTCAGAAGAATCTCAAGAGAATCAAATTACCTCATGCTCAGTAATTGGGTAATGACAAATGTGACACCTAAAACAGTCTGGATGAAAATAACTATGCCCAATTCCTAAACAATTTCCATGAAGTATTTCTTGGTTGCACCCTCCACATATTTTGATATGAGATGCCACACTGCACAACAGAAGTTGCAAATAAGCAATGATGGAGCAGGACCATCATATATTGATTAATTGAAACATATAACTGAAGCCAAAATTAGTTACATGATGTATGGTAGTCAACTGAGAAATAAAAACTTATTAGAAAATCTTGTTCAAATTTATATTACAACACATAGTCATGCATATATACATAATGCTATTGATTCTTAAGTGATTTTGACTAGCAGAAGCCAATAACAAATATCAACTATCATGCTATTTTGATCAAATTGGAAACACTTGATGTATGGGCTACATATATGTTAGGAGAGAAAAAGCATTACCCATATCCCCGTGGATAAAAAGGTAAAGGGGTATATGGAGGATGTGCAGATGAGAACATGCGATCCTGAAGAGCCTTTGCATAATCTTCATCAGTTCCTGTTCTCCATCTATATCCTTGATGATCAAATGGAAACCAAAGATTAATATTTGATTACCAACATCTCAATAGCTAGATAGCAAGCACATTATTTTTGAAAATTTAGTACTTATTGGTCTCTTTAAATCATCGCTCAAAGAAAGTGCAATTGCATGGTCCAAATCCTCTTCCTCCTTCCGAAATCTAGCTCGGTCATCCTAATAACATCAAGAATATTATTCAATAAATCATTAAATCTTTTTCCAATTAGAATATCCTTGTATGTTCTAATTTACTATACACAACTAAGACAAGATGACATTACACAATCAACTCATTAAATTTATATTTCAATGTGTAAGTTATAAATTGTAGCGTTAAAATGGATCCACATTTGAGTGGATTTGAGGCAAAACCAAACGTGCCCGATATCTAATTAACCAAACAAGCCAGAGGAAGTCAAATTTCTAATGCCTATGATTATGTAATGACTGATGACAATTAAAACCATCTTGGATTCGGCCAACAATAACGACCATATTAATGACAAGAGCAACAATGCAACAATAGATATGCTTGAATAAAACAGTGTTGTCAATGAGAAAAAAAAGAAAACAGAAAATCAGTGCTTGTGTTTACCAATGATCTAGCTGAAGCTGGCCAAACCATGTTTTCCTCCACAGGCTGCTGTATATGACGGCCACCACCCCTTCCTCTACTACTGGACCCAAGTTTGAAAATCTTCCCAAACCATTTCATAAAACCAGACTTTCTCTCTGAGTATGAAGAAACAAAGTCCCCTGCATCCCCCCAAAAGTAAATCAACAAAAAACAAAGTATAAATTAGAATTTCAAACCATTACTAAATCAGTTAGGACTATAACTACAAATCGAATTGGGTGTACCAACAAGGTTATAACTTATAACAACACACTTTACATAATCTTCTGTAAACATATATATGCAACGTAAAATGAGAAAGTTTGAGTATAACCATTCATACCCATTTGGTAAAATTAACAAAATAAATAAAAACAAGGACAAAAAGTTTATAAAAATAGCTTCATGGGGTTATTCTGAACTTTGCAAAATCTATTTTTTCTTCCACGTACTGGTGGCAAGTGTTAGGTACATGAAGCTCAAGTTTTTTTTTTTTTTTTTTTTTGTGTTATTGTTACAGAAGGAGAAGAAGAACGTAGAGAAAATATAAATACCGTATATACAAGGGTGAGAAAGATGATTGATATGTGAGGGAGGAGCCATGGGCTATGTATAGATTTTTTGTTACGTGAGAGGTAGAGGAGGCAAAAGGAAACACGAAAAATGAAAATGAAAGAGAGAGAGAGAGAGATGAAAAACAAGGGTCATTAAACATCGTTAATAGTGGTTGAAAAAGAGGGAGAGGAATCTAAGAGGAAGTGGCACAGGGAGAGATTCTTGGCTTCGAAAGCAATGAAGAGAAAGTAGAGAATTGCAGAAAGATATGTTCTTGAACAATGAGAGAGAATATTAAGTAACGGTGGATTGCGGAGAATCAAAGTGGAATATATATTAATAATAAACAGCAACACAGAAAAGAAGTGAAGAAGGGAAGGTGTAGTGCATGAAAGTTGTCTTTGTTGCTTTCTGATTTAAATTTGGAAGCATTTTGCAGAGTAAGATGACAGAGACAGAGAGAGATCAAAGACATGCAAATGGTCAACTTCCGAGGCAGCTCATAGCTGTACATTGGACAACAATGTCGTATGCTATTCATCACTTTTCACCAAACAACTTTCACATTACCTTAATAGGAAGAGTACCGATTCTTTAACATGTGCCAACCGAGTCATTTTTGTGTGGAGTTTTGCACCACTCATCTAGTTACGTTTTTTTTTTTATGTATATAAATTATAAAATTTATTTACATAATATAATATTATTGATTAAAAACAACATGGTCATGAATTATGTAATTTTTTTCAACAATTCTTAATTATCTTTTATTAAAAATAATTATATATAATGTTATTCATATATTAGATTATATAATTTAAATAAAAATTTATCACAATTTTTTTTATTAATGTTATTAAGTATATATTAAAGAAAGTAATCTTATTAATTTTCTCTTTATTATTTTGACAAATTTCAAATATAATATTTTTGGTATATTTTCTAATTAAGACCAAATTTAAATAAATTTTTGAACAAGCATTTATAAAGAAAAAGTATTAAAGAAATTGATGTACATAATTAATATTAATTTATAAAAAAAATAATTTATTTTATAAAAAATTGTCCAGATTAAGTCTAAAATTAGAATTTTATGTTAATAATTTGCACAAACAAAATTAGCATTCATAACCAGCATTAGTCATCAAAGTCAAACTCTAATTTTAATTGCATAGTTAACACTAAAAGAATATAAAATATTATATTTAAATTTTATCTTTATATTATCACGTAAAATGTTATATCAATGCAACTAAATAATGCAATTCTATTCAATATTGGTGAGATCAATATAAAATTTCATTAATAGTAAAATCAATATTAAAATATATTATTAGTATTTTTCCTGAATGAAATTCCAAGTGACTTTTGAAGTAATGCTTCTTCCTTAACAAAAAGCACAATGAGTAACATTGAAACCATGGTTATTTCAAAATAGCTCATTCTCTTCATCTTTTTCATTCCAGCAATTGTGACAACATGAGTTCATCTGAATAGAAGGACTTGGAATTTTTTGAACATACAATCTTATATTTGATGTGCGTGTGTGCTCTACTTAATGTTTTTATTCATTTTATTTTTTATTTAAAATAATTATAAAAATCACACGTTATCACTCTGAGAAAAAAGAAACAAACAAATCATAAATTAAAAATGGTTTATTGCCATATTTTATTTTAAGATTTGTTTCCGCCACAAGTTTTGTATTTTTTTTATAGTAACGTCTAACATTAATTAAGACGCATGAGTGTATTATAATGTTTTAGCTATTAAATATATTAAAAATAAATTAACGATTGAAATTTATTATTTTTATGTTATAATATTAGTTCTTACAAATTTGTTATTTAGCCCTTTCTTAAAATTTTGAAAATTGCTAAAGGAAGACATGTTATATGAGAATGTAACACTGAGTTGGGGATGAATGTCTCGTCTTTCAAAAAGTGAGGGACTTAAGTATACCATATAAATATACCAGAAAGTGAACCGAAAATGAAATGAAAAAAAATGAAATTAAATGTTTTCTGAACTAAATCAAGTGACATGGCTGATTTTGAGTAAATTTTTAGAAAAAATTAATATAAAAATAAATATTTTTTTAAGTTATAAATAATTTATTTTTTTAATTTAAAAAAATAAATATCTGAACCTCTAACAAAAAAACATAAGTTGTTTTTAATTTATGATAAAAAAAATATTTAGTATTTTTATACTAATTTTTTTATAAGAATTTCTCTAAAAAATTATTTAAAATAGACTTATGTCAAACCTTATCAAAGTAAAAATAAAACTAATAGCTGAACATAAATGAATATATATTAGTGGTGTACAATGTTTTTCGATAAATTAAAGAGAAGTTATAATTGATCCCCACAAGTCAATAAAAAGTTTATTATCAAAATTAAAAACAAAGGTATAAGAAAGGTAAAAAAAGGTACTTAAATGATATATTGACTAAAAAGTACATAATTTGTAAGTTCATTGTTGCTTAAAGAACAATTTTAGAATATTAGACATTAATATCTATACATAGTAATAGCTTTGACAATTGCCCTCTCTCTTTATCTTTTTCAAATTCCATTCCTAAGCTGCGAATATAAATCATTATCCTTTTATTCCTTATATGATCAAAACAAACCCTTTTCTTCTGTATATCTTCTATTCGACATGACAAGCAACAAACAAAAAGTTTCTTCATCTGCTAAGTTCACACACAAAGGGAATCTATGTCCACCTAGGTTTATATCACCTGATGGAAAGAAATATAATGTTTACTTCATAATTAAAAAAGATATACAGAATCTATAATGTTTAGAAAAATCCTTTACACTCCTTAACAAATTAAACAAATAATTCAAAAAGAAGAGAGGGGATCGTATGTTTTTATTTACTTCATAATTCTACGATAGTGTTTCATGAGTTTTTGTTGTGTAACTTTAACAAAATCGATTTCAATGGATGAAAGATGTTTGAAACAAAAGTGCACCTAAAAAATAAAAAATTACTTTTAGTTTTACTTAATGCATTATATCAAAAATACTTTTTCTACCAAAAAATTATCAAAATTATTTCAGGGAGTGTGAGTATTACACGTAAGTTAATTTTCAAAATAATCTTTTAAAACTTAAACCAAATACCAGAAAAAGAAAAAAAGAAAGAAACCAGCAAACAAAACAAAGAAAAACTAAAAAAGCATTAGAAAGATGATCATCATTATAAATTTGTAAAAAGGGACACTGAAAACTAGGAGTCTCAAAAGCAAAAATTAAAGAAAAGCATCTTACAACCATGCCACCTTCCTTTTATAGTTGCATCAGATGCATATCTGGATTTATTTACCATAAAATTCGACATAGTAACCTTTTGCCCTGTAACATTTCTCTAATAAACAGCGACATAGCCATAAAGTTGGGGCCAATTATATTGCACCCAATACAAAACAAGGAATTACTTTGCAAATCTTTGCTGCAAAATGATTAATTGATGGAAGATCTTTTCTTAAATTCGCATGATTTTTGGATTAATTAAGTAAAATCAATATTAAGATTATTGTTAACATTTTATTAATGATACAAAAATATTAACTTTAATCTTTAGAATTGAGTTTAAGCAAATAATAATAGCAAAATCTTATTATTATTTTATTTTATTTTTATATCTTTAATATAATAAATACATTTTTAATTCAAAAAAATAGTATGTTTAGATGTTTAAACATGGTTATAAGAATTAAAGTTAACCAAAGTAATAAAAGTTATGATGCTATGTTAATACAATATAAGAAAAAATTGATGATCTGCTCTTAAGACTAAGGTGAAGGACGGGTCTGTGGTCTTCAATCTCTAAAGCGGACATGTCTATCCCTTCAAACCATGTGTTTGGGCTTATAAATGAGGTGATGATGTAAAGTTTGGAAGCATAAAAGCATAGACAAATTACTTTAGCAGCCTTAATCTTTATCTAATAGATATCTATAAAAGTGCAGATACATATATCTTATAATGAAATCAAAGTAAGAAGGAATCCATCATCATCATCCTCAATCTCTTCGTTAATTTTTCTTTAAAAAAAAGGCCATAATTTCTGACACAGACCACATGTTATTAGGGGATTTACCCAAAAACAAAAAGAGACCACATGTTAGGAGCATCTTGAAGATATTGTTTTTCCTATTTGTTTTGGTTGATACTTGATATAGCCATCTATGTCATGAAAGTTAGATCAATATATACACACGAAGATAGATAAATAAAGATATGTATCTAATAGGAAAAGTCTTTTTATGTAAGAGAGGCAAATCTTAATTATTAAATCTCACTATAGTGGTTGTACGATTCATAATTTTTTTATGTCAAAATTCATCAATCGTATATATAGTCACAAAATAGATATTGTTTTCGTAAAAATTGCTTGTGGCTCAGGTGTGTGTTTTGTGTAGAGATACACATGAGAATTTGAAGCACATATGAGCACTAATTACTAATTAATTGCAAATTAGCAGCTAGCAATATCATCTCCATAAAATTTCCCTTTTGTTCCAAGTTTTCGCTTGCAAAGCAATTAGCAAAAAAGCTCATGCAAAAACTTATGGCTTCCCTAAAAATTTAAAACAGTCATTTTGCTATATTGAATAAATCAAAATCAGGGAATATTCGAGTTCTTGCATCATAAATACTTGCAAGCATTATACAGCTAACAAAATTGCTGCTAAGATGCTGGCAGTGAGGTTCAGAATTCAGACGAAGGGAAGGAAAAAATTATCACGTGCATGCAACCAAAGTTAATTTTGATAAAATCGAGGGTCTTTTTACTTATAAAATCGAGGATATATTATATTACAAAACTTTATAATATATCTTTCTTTTTTTTATGAGTACTAAACTGCCACCTTTTTTTCTTGATTTACACAACATGATTTCTTCTAGAATTACTGAGAGACACCGGCCTGTTTTTGACTTTTTTGAGCCCGTAAAATATTAAATTGGAGCCCTTTCAAAAAAAAAATTATATAATATAATACAACAAAATAAAAGCATAATTTTATTAAAATAATATTTTTTAAGTAAATAGAATTTTTTTCTAATAAAATTACAAAAAAAAAAATCATTCAAATAATTCTTATGTCATCATCAACTACAAAAATACAAAAAAAATTATAAAAAATGAGTTCTACTAGTATTTTGAGATATAAAATCATTAATGATAACATTTGTATCAATATTTTTCAAAAATTTCTTCTCGATCGATAAAATTGTAAGACCATTTAACCGTTCTTGTGACATTGATAGCCTTAAGTAGGTTTTGATCAACTTTAACTTTAAAAAATTTCTTTCAGTTGATGCCACAGTCACTGGAACTGTCAAAAAAATTCTATAAGTAATTGAAACATTTGGATAACAATCTGCAGATTTGACAAACTCAAAAATTTCAATAGCTGACATTAATTCATTTGGTAAAGTAAATTGCAACATTTTCAATTCTGAGTAAAGATCATTTAAATCAACACTGATGAATCACCATGAGAAAAAGTATAGTAAAAAATAGCACAACATTCTTTCAATTCCTTTTCATCCAATGAATTTAACTTATTTGAATCAAACAAAAACTCAAAAATACTTTCAAAAGTTTTTAGTTGCTCAAATCAGTTTTTCAAATAAGTAATTGTCATGTCCACAACAACCAAAAAATATTCAACTCTAAATAATTCTTCAGCCGATTGAATTTCTTCATCCTCTTGATTATTTTTATCAAATTGTTTTTTCCTAATAACACGACGCTTTGTTGGAAATGTAGGCTCTACATCCATACTAAGTGCAATACTTTTAGCAATATTCATACTAGAAGTATAGCCTTAATCTCTATATTTTTCAAAGTATGACAATATACCTTCTAATTATTTTATAGTGGTGTCAATGCACATAGATTTAGATTGCAATTTCTTGCTCACCATATTTATAGTAAATAAAATTTCATGCCAAATAACCATACCAAGCAAAAACTCAAAACTCCCAAGTGCATTATATAAACTTTCCGCTTCACTCTTGGACTTTGCATCTTCACAAGATTCATATAATTCTGACAAAGTCAATCTTAACTGGGGAGTTTGAAATCTAATAGCTTTAACACTTTTAATTCGACTCTCCCAACGAGTGTTAGATAAACATTTCACAGTTAATTCAGGGACATTGTCAAGCAAATTTTTTTATCTTTTTGTAGAACCTAAAAATAATGAATATATGCGTTGAACAATTTTAAAAAATAAAATAGCTCTAGTGCAAGAATGTGTCATGTCACTGAGAGTAATATTTAGACTATCACAAGCACAAGGTATATATAATGCTCTCCGGTTTATTTCAAGAAATCGCTTTTGCACACCCTGATGCTTCCCTTTCATATTGGAACCATTATCATAACCTTGACCCCTTACATCATTAACATTAAGATCTAAAGACTTTAGAACATTTTGTAATTCATTAAAAAGTCCAAATCCCGATGTATCATCCACCTTCAAGAACTCTAAAAAGTACGCCTAACTGGGTTTGAATTGCGGAATAGCTCTTTTAGCTCTCTTACTTTTCCCACTAAAAAGAAAAGCAAAGATGTACTTGGAACAAATGTGGATTATCTGTACATAGTAAATAACAAAATCAATTTTTTAGGTAAACGATTTTTTTAACATTTGTCGAATGAGAATTGAGGAACAGGGAGAAAGAAAGAAAAAAGAAAGAAGAGTGACGAGGAAAGAACTACTTGCAACAATGGTGAGTTTTATGATAAAATGCAGAATTGCACACACACTGTTAAAAGGCTTAGAGAAGTCGAAGAGGTAATTACGTTTTTAGCAAGCAAAGTGTGATTGTGTGAAAAATTGAAAAGTCTTCTTTATTTTTTTATTTTTGCAACTGCAAATTACAAGTAAGTATTATAATTTTTATTTTGGGCCCCTTTTAGGTCTAGGCCCTTGGCGATCGCACTCTCAGCCTACCCTCAGAACCAGGCCTAGAGAGACATACAGTAGGTTATCCTAGAACCATGTTGGCTCAGTCAATAAAAAAGTAAATTTTGTTATTTGAGATGAGATGTCTACTTATCTCAAAATTTCTTCTAAGAGAAAGATTAAATTTGATGTTACTAAATTAATATCGAGAATTACCAGACAACAATTAATCTCTCACACTAAAGGTTTATGATGAACTTGTCATAAATGTAACTACTATGTTTGGTTGAATTTTTTTTTAAAAAATAATATTTTTTTTAGTTATTCAAAATATCTGGCAAGTTTTATTTTTCTGGCTCGAAAAAAATAAATTCAAATTGAATGAAGTAAAAATTAGAAAAAAAAAAACTTATCAGAATAATATTTACATAATTCGTCGTGGTTTTGAATAGAGCCTAGAAGCAAGTTTTTGGTTTTGACCCTTGGAATGGAACAACGACCCTCACTGGCCTGCTCCTAAATTTTATATATTAAGTAGAAAAAAAAAACAGTGTGGCTTGTTAAATTAAAAGGAAAATGTTTTGTTGAAAATAAAATGAAATAACTAAAAGTTGTTTCTTTTTATTTTAAAATATGTTTTTCAAACATGTGTATATAAAAAAAATAAAGAAAATAAGTGAGTTAAAATTAAATACTTTCTTTATTTCTTTTTAATAAGAACCTTTCAACTAAATCACACGTATTAAAAAAAAATTTAAAACCAATGCATTAACTTTTAAAAAATTAATTTACAGCACTTTAAATTTACTCTTAAAGTTAAATTTTATTATTATATTACTTTTAATAAGTTAGAAAGATAAAGATAAATATCTAAAAAATAAAGAAATCTCCAAAAATTTTATAAATGATCTTATATAAAGAATGAACAAAAATCTACAAAAAAAGTTATTATAGAAAGATTTAGAAAATGTAGACAGTAAAGCTGTCGTAAAAGCTCGTTATGTAAGAAAAAGTAATAACTAAAATTTTAAATTAAAAATTACTAAAAATTATAATAATGTACCTTTTTTTATAATTTTACAATTTTTATTAATTTCTTAATTAGCAGTATAAACAATTCATTCTTAGTACAATTTAATTTCCTTTTAGCGGAGTCAAAGGAAGGAAAAAAGAGCTACTTTGGATTCTTACTTAACAAGAAAGATTCTATGACGTGGCAATACATCAACCGTTCATGTTGAACATCCAACAAACGTAAGACAGCATCCTCATAGGAAAACTGACTGTTCACGCCGTTGGGCACTGAGAATAGAATGTCAAATTGTCAATAACATTGTAACGTTGCTGAAGCTGTCTTTCTCTGCAAAAAACATCCTCACCCTTGCCACAAAACACTACTCTTTCTATCTTCCGATCCTCTAATCCCAATCTCACTTTCCATTTTTCACTCCACGCTGTAACTCTCTCTCTCTCCCCCTCTCTCTATTTTATCTCTCTGCTTCACAATTCACAAAAAAAAAGTACCTTTTTTTGTTGTTGTTGTTTGATTCAGATTTCTAACTCCAATGGCCTTGGTTGAAGGTATTTGCTTTCATTTTCTAAATTCCAGAATTGGGTTGTTTTAATCTAAGTGTTTCATGGGGTGTTTCTTTTCAAGATGAATGCCATGTGCTTCAACTCAAGTTTAAATTTTAATATATATTTTTCTCTCGATTTTGCATAAGGAGATAATGGGTCTCCAAAATCGGTGACAGCTTATGAAGACGCATTGGATGCCTTGTCATCTTTGATTACACAACGCACCCGTGTTGGCAATGTCGATGTGGAGGAACGATTCAACGTGCTATATGAGTACCTAAAGGTTCAGTGTTTGTGAATTGCGTTTTGAATATAGTTGGTCACTATGTTGGACAAAAAAGAAGAAAAAATTTAGTTGTTTGGTAATGTTAATCATGGCGTGCTGTTGATCCATAGATGCTTGATTTGGAGGAGGCGATTTCGAATATGAAGATTATCCATGTTGCTGGCACCAAAGGGAAGGTACTCTCATTCAACTTCGATTGTTGCTGAAATGAAGAAATGTTATGTGCTCCTGAATCTTTGGATTGCTGTTTACATGGAGTTTTTTATTGCATTGGTTAAATTTGCTAAGGCTTTAAACTTAATCATTTCTGAATTTATGTTTCATTTTACTGTTCAATTAGAGATTCAAACTTTTTCTATGATTGATGTGGTTGGTAGTTTGTGGTCTCTTAGACAGAGGAGTAGGTACGGATTTCTAGTTTCATGTGTGTGTGTGAGAGAGAGTGTAGATTGGCTTCTGTATTTTATCTTGTGCATTTGTAATAATACAAAATTTTCCTTTGCACCCTGCTTCCATAGGGATCTACATGCACCTTCACTGAATCTATATTACGCAACTGTGGTTTTCACACTGGACTTTTCACATCTCCTCACCTAATTGATATCCGAGAAAGATTTCGTTTGGATGGGTGAGTATCTCAGATGTATAGATGATTTTATTTCCATTTACTATACTACCACTCGTGTTATTTTTCATATTAAATTCATTTTCTTTTTTGAATGGGTCATTAGTTTTTTTAATCTCCATTATGAGTTTGTCCTTTGCTTTGTTATGGCTGCATATCAGTTAAACAGCAACAATGTTTATTCCGTTTATACCAGAGTGGTTTTGTTGCAAATTAATCTTTTATGTTGGTAACTACTATAATATCAGAGTTCTTGTACTCTTATGATGTGATGTACGAAAATACATTATATGCTGCCTTTTAATTCACCTTTGCAGCATAGCTACTTAGCTAGTGTGCTCTGATTTATTAGCATTATTCTTGTTGCTCATGCAGTGTGGAAATCTGTGAAGAGAAATTTTTAGCATATTTCTGGTGGTGTTATAATAGACTAAAGGTATATTTCTGTGAACAAGTACTTCATTATAACTTTTATGGTCAGAAATTTTGCCAGGCATAAAGCCGGGTTATCATTTTCCCCTAATTTTAACCTGAACCAGAATAAACTCACATTCCTAATATTTTTGAACTGCTGGTAACTTTCATTGAACCTAGCTATATAGGTCCATAAACTAGTTTACCAGTTACAGTTAAGAGTGAGAAGATGGGCATTTCCTGCTAAAGGGGTTGATGTTTTTGAAGCTTTTTCATTTTTCCTCCTTTTTGAGTGTGCATGGTTTTCAGAAGATAATTGATAAAGCATATACTGAGATCACTCAAAGTAGTTAGTGTTAATATTTTATCAATCTTAGTATCTTTGGAACAACAGAAAGAAATAATGGTTTTTATGGTCACTATGGCAGTTCTAGCTCAATCAATTTGCAATTTTTGTGTTCCATGATAGTAATACCATATTAAATTCATGCATGACCTGAACCATCACAGTGATCTCTTCAAATTGATGTTTACATAATTTTAAAAAGCTTTTGTGGTATAATGTGCTTGCTTGTGATGTTTCTTATTTTGGTGGTGCACAGGAAAAAACTGATGAAAATGTTCCAATGCCTACCTTTTTTCACTTCCTTGCTTTACTTGCCTTCAAGATATTTGCAGCAGAGCAGGTTTCATCCATGTGCTCTAAATTCTCTCACTGGCTTGTTCCATACTAAATTTTTTGTATTTTTTAACTACCAATGAATAAAAATCACTTTATTTCAATTTTTATTCAGGTAGATGTTTCTATAATGGAGGTTGGATTAGGTGGCAAATATGATGCTACGAATGTGGTATGCATAATTGTCATTTCAGCATAAATGTGGTGGTCTTTAGCAGACTACCACTATAAAGCTGCTTGAATATTGATGTTTTCTACAAAGTTAATATTGGAACTAGATCATCTAAATGTTTTGATTTTTCAGGTGCAAACACCTATTGTATGTGGTATAACTTCCCTTGGGTATGACCACATGGAGATTCTTGGTTAGTGCTCTTTTTGGTATATTTTGGAAAATTGCTAATTTAATGCATATCTGTGAAAATCTTGAAATAACATTAGATTTTTTTAAAACAAATTAGGTGGTATGATGTGTATTGCCCATGCAAGAATAATAGAAGAAAGCTAGTGATCACATTTTTCAGAATATTGTACTAGGATATATTTAACTTGTAAATTTTGCATAGTTACATAGGGGAATGATTGGACTTCTTTCATACCTGATTAAATGTACAAACCATGTTAAATATCATTGTGCCATAATTTATATTAATGCAAGTCATGATATGTCCATCTGCAAGGGGAGAAGTGAAAAAAAAAAAAAAGGCCTTATAAGTTTTAATTTTTATTTTTTTTAATACAAAGTATCAGAATATGGTTGAACATCATTGCACAGCTGCTGATTTGTTTGACCAGCTGAGTTTACCTCTATCTTCTGGATTTTATTTTACTAACAGGGAATACACTTGGAGAAATTGCTGGTGAGAAGGCTGGCATCTTCAAGGTAATTTTTAGACCAAAATATATTTTACCCCCAACTTTTCTGATATAGAGAAGAGTCTACAACTTAAAGCCAGGTTGTTAAGAGGTGATAGCCTCAACTTTAAATGGAACTTCTTTGTTTCACACCCATGACCCAACCAATATGGGAATCACACTCCTTTGTCATTTTATTTTATTTTGTTTTTATAGAAAAGAAAAACTCTTTTTGAAGTTTGTATCAACAATGTGCACTTTCATGTGCTGCTCAGCTGCAATTGTATTATTCTTTTCTCTTACACTTTTGTGTATTTGCTATGTCTAGCATCAAATTCCAGCATTTACGGTGCCTCAACCTGATGAAGCAATGCATATACTCAAAGAGAAGGCTTCTGAGTTAAATGTAAGTGCATTCTTTCATGTGCATACTTTCTCCTGAATTTACATGCATGACTCTTAACTTGGCGTAATAGTATAAAATTGCTATATCAAAGTCAGATAAGAGAGTACAAGTTGGCGCTTATTTGTCTTGCAATAAAATTTTTAATTTATTGTGGTTATAGCTTAGCTACATTTTCTGTAACACTTATCCAACAATCCAATATTTTGAAACAAATTTTATCAGCGTTTGTTCCTCTTTGTACATGAATGTTGAACTATGTGCTGATATGTACATTCCTTGGTTCCTTTGCCAAAGTTCTGTCCTATGATTCTATGAGTAAGTCTATTATATTCTGTCAAAAGGATGATGTATCATGAAAACTTATTGATAATTTATGGATTGTCTTGAAAAGAAAATAATTCCATCAATAAGGTTCAGCATGCTTGGCCATACACATGCTACATTTAATTAAGTTGTTTCTAACATACTCTGCACTTTACATTAGTCAATCATCTCTTGAAAGTTTAGAGATCACTAATATGAAATTCAGATAGCTTTCTTTGTTATCCTAGTTAGAGTAGGTCTTTGGTTTTAATATTCAATCAGCTGGAAAGATCTTTCTGACTCTAGGTACCTCTTCAAGTGGTAACCCCATTAGATGCCAAGTTGCTAAATGGTTCAAGTTTAGGGCTTGAAGGTGAGCACCAATATGTAAATGCTGGTCTTGCCGTTGCACTATGCTCTACATGGCTTAAGATGAATGGGCATCCTAAAGACTCTCATTTGAAACAGACAGTAAGTTTTTAATCCAAAAATTAGTTCTTTTTATGACCTTTTCGTGCGTTCATTTCTGGTTTCTATCACGCTGCTGAAGTGACTTACCTGCCTGCATGAAGCAAAACACTTTGCCAGAGCAGTTCATAAAAGGGTTAACAACTGCAAGTTTGCAAGGAAGAGCTCAGATTGTTCCTGATCATTTCATCAACAATGAAATATCAAATGAACTTGTCTTCTTTTTAGATGGGGCTCATAGTCCTGAAAGCATGGAAGTATGTGCCAAGTGGTTTTCTCTTGCAATTAAAGATCAAGACCAGGCTTTGAAACCTGATGATCCTAAGTTTTCAAACCAAGTAGTGAAGATGTACCACAGTGAAACTGTACCGAAGAAATCTGCACAGGTAGAGAAATAAGCTGTTGTAGAATGTTCAGCAAACATTAGCTGGGAAATTAGCAGTCAAAGTTAACTATCTAATAATATCTGTTGAGCAAGTTCTATGGACAGAAATTATAAGAATGTCACTAGAAGCAAACAAAATAAAAGTAACTAACAGTTTTTTTTGGTAGCAAGTAGTATGGAAAATTGCTTTGTTGAATAAGAATCATAAACATAAGCTCTTGGAAGTGATTTGGATGACTCATGTACAGAATGATTTTAAAAAAATTAAAAATCTGGTGAGTTAGGATGATAATGCTAATGTTTTTATCAATCTTGATTCTATGTTATGGAATTATTTATCTGAATTGAATGTTTTGTAGATTTTGCTGTTCAATTGTATGTCTGTGCGAGATCCTCAATTGCTTCTTCCTACCTTGATGAAAACATGTGCGGATCATGGTGAGTAATCTCTGAACTTTGCTAGAACATGATTACTCTGTAATGGCTTATTGTTGGATTAAAAATTCCTTAGAATAATAAATATTTAGCAAACTAGTGACGTTGTCCTCAATAAATTCTGTGATAGTTTAGGCCTTCCAGGAGACAAAGTAGTGTCGAATATTTTTTCAACTGACAATTTTGTTCTGAACAAGAAATAAGCAACTAGATTGAACTGTAGGTGTCTACTTCAAGAAGGCACTCTTTGTTCCTGGTCTATCAGTGTATCATAAAGTTGGATCCCATACTTCAACACCGACTGATTCTAATGTTGACCTGTCATGGCAGTTCACTCTACAAAGAGTGTGGGAAAATCTGATGCAAGTGAACAAAGGTATTGTTTGATCACATACAAAATATGTGTTTCGGTTCAAGTTTTTCAATAAGCAGGCCCTACACTGGCCTTGAAATTGATTACCTAAATTTGATCCACTAAACATATAACATAAAGCTAGGCCCTCAAATTATTTTTGGATTGGTCCACTCTAATGGTTCCCTTGCTCGTGATTAACTTAAACCTGAATTTAATATTTATGCTCGTTATGGGTTCATGAGAAATTATTAGGGATGCATTGCCTACCACAGGCACTCTAACTTAGTTTAAATAAGTAAAGGCCTTGTTTAGAAATATGTACATTTCTAACATGGTTCACACAAATTTATACATGTTATAGATTATCGAGTGCTTATGCCTGGCAAGTGAAAATAGCTATTTAATATTTAAGAATTTCTGAGTTTATTGAGATTGACTGCATCATGAGAGTCTCTTTTTTCCTTCTCATAATTTCTTAATTTAGAGCAGTAGAAATTTTTTTTACCTTAATATGTTGGGATCACTTGGCTAGCAGGCAAGAGTACTGATGCTACTTCTGAAGAACTAAATATGGAAATGAATGCCAGTAATTGTGAACACAGTGCAGTGTTTTCCTCATTGCCGCTGGCTATCAAATGGCTTAGGGACACGGTGCAACAAAACCAGTCAACTCGTATTCAGGTAATATTAATATTTACACTGGAAAATTGTGAATATTTGATATGGCAAGATATGTAATATGTTAGTTTTTTCTTCTCTTTTCTTATGCTTGAGTTTCAGTTTTGTTGTGGTTAAATCGTGAGTTTGAGTTTGGAGTCATATTTACATGGAATTAAGTTTCTTCAGTAGACTCAAAAAACTGTCATCTATGCAACACATTTTTTTCTTCTCTCCTTTTGCTCTCCCTCATAAATGGTTTTCTTTTGAACTTTGTGAGGCAGATCAACCAATATTTTAGTAACATACAAAAGTATTCGTTGACGCAAGAGGCTATCAATTAAGAATATCTTTGTATAAATAATATGTTAGGTTCAGTTTAAGGAATGTAATCCTAGTTGTTACACTTATATTTTCGTTGAAAAACAACAACAAAAATACTTAGAGCATGTTTGATTTTCTCTGTTTTAAAACAGAAATTAAACATGCTCTTATAATCTTCACCATTGAATCTTACATTGCATGGATGGTTAATATAAAATGTGCTCATGTCTTATGTTTATTATTATATGTATAGGATCTGACTGTAAATTTTGTGTGGTGGATACATTAGGTCCTTGTAACTGGTTCCTTACATCTTGTTGGTGACGTGTTGAAATTAGTGAAGAAGTGATTCGTTGGACTAATTGAAAGATTGGCTTCCATCAGATTTGTGAAGTGCCCTATTGTTCTTGACATTATCCAACGAGACGTTTCTGTCATTCACCGTACATTAAACTTGGCTCGGAAATTGTTGACAGAAGGTTATCAATATAATAACAACATCCTTGGTTATGAACATTTGATACATCCACCCTATTGGATTATTTAGCAGCAGATGAATAAAAGATAGACTACTGAGGTGGGTCTGCAACACAGGAAGTTGCACATAATCTTAGCGTGTGTTTGGTTTATATTTAGATAATCAACTTTTGCATTTTTGAATAAAAATTATGACCAAGATTAATTTTGATATAGATACTAATCATGTTTAACGATTCAAAATTTTATTAAAATTAATTTTTCTAATTTTAAAATATATGCGTCCTTCAAATTTACAAGGCTATCATGTTTCCTAATGTGTTTGGATTTATCCCTCTTGCCAATCCTTGCATGAATATTCCTCTTGGATTATGCCATATGAACGATCATGATGATGCAGATGCAAGTATTAAATTAAAATTAAAATGTTGTACAAAAATAATATAATGGCTTAAAAGCATATGTAAAGCTTTAAAGATGATCCTTTCATGGCCAATCTGATACGGGGATAAAAATAAGAGTGAAGAATCAATAGATCAATTTTATTAATAACTTTGTATTGAAAGCTAATTTTTTTTTCCCCTTCCATTTTAATGATCCGAAGTTACTAGCCCAAGCTGATAACTAACTTCGGCTATTTTTCATGTGCACGCTATAAACAATGGTGTATCGGTTGAACGGGAAAAAGATAACTCTTAATTATATACATAAAGAAGACAAAGTTGTCTGGGTGGTGTAGTTGGTTATCACGCTAGTCTCACACACTAGAGGTCCCCGGTTCGAACCCGGTCTCAGACAAGCTGATTTTTTTTTGGGCTGGGCTATTATCCTTAAGGTCCAGGCTTCAAGCCCTGTTAACAGTCAGGCCCGATATCAAATTCTTGTTTCATTGGTTGACCAAAAAACTTGTCTCAATGAAGAGTAATTAAATCAACGGCTTCTGCAATCTAGGGCTTTCCGATTAACTCACATGGATTTCCTATTTGCAATGGCTCTTTGACTCGAAGCTTTGTTTTGCGTTCCATGGAGGAGGAATCCTACACCACCCCCACCAGCACCAGTCATTTGCTTGGTTCTGTTCCCGTGAGTGTGCGCTCTACATGTTTGTTCATTCTATTGTTGATTTCTCAGTAATTTGGGAACGAAATTATGATTAGTTAATTAATTATTTTTACTTGTGATTCAAATTGTAAGGAAGGTATTAAAGAAATCCATAAATGATTCTAATAATATAGCGAGATTACCAATGAGCTCACTCAATTAAAACTCTAAAATACTAACAATTAATTACTAATTTTTGTTATTAGTTTTGGTTCTGTGCTTATTCCTCTTTGTCGCTCAGGCTGTTATTGCTGAAGAAAAGAACACCTCAAATCATGACGGTATGAAATCATTAACCATAATATGGATTTTTTTCATTTCTTGTATTCAGAGTGAGATGTGTGTGTTCTTCTCTTTACTTGATGTGAAAGTTTGAGTTGCGTAAAATGGTTGCTTATGAACTTACATGCAGTCCCTTATGCAAGTATGCAAACATTCCCTCCCAGCAATGGAGGAGACAGAGGAAGGGGATATCAAACTCTTGAAAATCCAACAGGTATGTGATCAAACGATTTTGAGTTACTGGTGGATGGTTATTTCTTTGTTTGTTCTCTTCACAAAAAGGTTATGATTTATGATGAGAAAAAAGAAAAATTGGTATTTGAAATTTGAATAGAGCATTGCTTGTTATATTAAAATTTGAAGGAACTAATGGCTAGTCTAGAGAGTAGTTTTGGTTTGTTTAGGTTTAGTTTTAGACAATGAGCTGTCTAAAACAATTGAATTAGTGCTTTCAAACTATATTTTAATTATGACTTTATCAATTTGGTTGTTGAATATCAAGTATCATGGTTGCAGTAGTACTAGTTATTAGTCTATGTAAAATGTTTTTTAGTGAACTAGCTTGTTTTCAGTTGCATATTTTGATCAAGAGATGATTCATACTGCAATTTTGTACTTCTAATGTTATTGCCAATTTATACTATAATAATGTCAATCATCAATTTTGAATCGTTCATCTGTGCAGAAACATTTGAGCAACAGCCAACAAACAACTGGCAGGGAGTATTTAGTGTCTCATCTTACAAACAGTATTTCAACGTGGATACAGATGTTGTCGTAAACAGATTGATAAGTTCATTGAATCCAGCTGGTGGTGATTTTTTTAATAAGATAGATGCTAACCCTGATTTGTGAGTTCTGCTCTTTTTCCTGTTCTATTATGTTTTCAAGAATCAAAATAGATGTACTCATTTGGATTACAATAGAAATGTCATGCACTCATGCTTGGAAAAAAGTATAAAACCTTTAGTTGTTAACTGAACTGTCATCATCACATTTATCAGGAAAAAACACCTTCCTTTTTGCTTCTGCCGCCCCTTTCTCTTCTTTTTGTCATTTTGGTGCATGTTTCCTTTTCATCCACCCAAAAATGTTCAATTCCCTAACCGTAAATTCAGAAAATGGAAGTCATGTGGGGGAAACAGATGGTGAATTTTGCAAGCATAACTTGTTGCTTTATGTAAACTTAGGGTTCTTGGGGGATGTGTCAAGTTACAGGAGACACATGAACTTTGACCAGATTTTTTTCAGCAACCTAACCCAAAAAAGCTTCAGTCCATAACTTCTTCACCTTCCTTCTTGCAATTTTTTCCCCATATAATGGAAGCAGATATTGAAATAATTATTCTATTGAATTCATAAGTATATTGATCCAGCTGTTTTTGGATTAAAAACAATTAATGAAAATTTAGATCTTCAAATATCTTAATCATGTTAATAACTTTTGTGGGTACCTCAACAGAGTTATATTGGAGCTAGGCAATATTTGTCTTCCCTTTCTCTTTTATTTTTTGGGTTAAAATTATTAAGTAAAACCTATACAATGGTTTATATTGAGTATCTAATAATGTGATGCTTTTACTTTATTATTTATATTGAGTATCTAATAATGTGATGCTTTTACTTTATTATAGGTATGGGCTTATATGGATCTCAACAACATTGGTTTTCGTACTTACCTTACTTGGAAATCTAGCTACATATCTTATGCAAAAGCATGCAGATAACAGCAGTTCTTGGAGTTTTGATGTTAGCTATGTCAACACAGCTGCATGGTCTATCTATGGCTATGTCATAGTCGTCCCAATGGCATACTTCTTTTTCCTCCAGTATATGGGTTCAAATGCAAACCTTGTACGGTTTTGGTGCATGTGGGGGTATTCGCTCACCATTTTCATCTTGTCCTGTGTAAGTTTTGGTTTTCTAAGTATGTCATTCTGTGTTATCAATTTTGTATGCTCATTCATTACAATAGTTCATTACAGTACTTCGATTTATTTTTCTTTTGCAAAATTTCATATTTGGAAAAGAGAAAATGCTAGCAACACCATATTATCCACTGAAATTCATGTGGGACCCACTAAATAAGGTGTGCTCCTCCTCCCTATTTAGTGGGTCCTATTGCAGATCCTCATGAATTTCAACTGAAAATAGTATATTGGTAGTATTTATCTATCAAGTTTGGGAGGAAGTGGGCCTAGAGGGGGAATTGGCCCAGGCAGGCAGGCAGGCACTGCTTAGAAAAAATGAGGCACACGCACACCCTCACCACAGGAGACGGAACCTTTAGGTACCAGTGGAGCCAAAACTAGGGCCAGTACGTTTTGTTTCACATTTCTTTTTGCCATGATATCTTAATATCTGGGGTCCAGATGAATAATAATGACTTCCTTTTCACATACGTTATGTCTTATCATAAATTGTGATTTTTTGGATGTATAATCTCAAACTTTTTTCCAGTTCTGATAGAAAGTTTAATGATTCGCTACCTTGTTTTGATTTAATACGCATATATTATGTCTTTCATGTTTTTCTCTAATACTTCTCTCTGGATTTTATTTTATTTTTTCCAGTTTCTATTACTTATTCCAGTTGAGTTTCTTCGTTGGATTATAATAATCCTTACGGGTGGTGCCTCAGCTAGTTTTGTTGCCTTGAACTTAAGGTCTGTTATAGATGGAAATGATCTTTCAGTGGCTGTAATTGCTGCATTTTTCTTGCAAATAGCTTTGTCTGTCTTCATCAAGGTTTGGTTCTTTGCATAACTTAAAGCGTCGCAGAAGTGAATAAAACCTGAACCACTGTCATTGTTACCCCACTCTACTGGCTAACTTTGTTTGACACGTGAGTAGAATCTGCAACAGAGATGGTTTATGTAAATTTGATTTCTTAGATGGATGCAAGAAGATTTGCAAAGTGGTGTGATTGGCTGCAGTGTCAGATGGGTCTGAATGATCAATATTTGCGAAGGGAGGAACAATCATTGGAGCAATATTTATGCCTCAATGTTTGACCACCTTTCGTACATCTTTAATTAACAGATCTCTCATTTCACCACTTTGTGAAATCTAACACCATACGTTATCCCAGAACAGCGGTAGAGTAGGAAACTATGAATAGAAAATACGAAGAATCCCACGATATAGCCTTGTATGGATGAGGATGGAGCTTGTTTTCAAACAATTATTATTTACTTATTGTGATTATTCTTATTTTATGAAATTTTATATGGCCAAATATCAGTGAATAATTGTTAAGGTTATGTATTACTCCTTAAAAATGAAGGGTATTATTGATGGAATATATGTCAAACTTGCTCAACTTATGGAAAATTGAGGATTTATAAATTTGTGATATTATAAATAAAAAAAAATCACTGATCAAGTATTTAAACTTTTCAAAGGTTATATGTTAAAGCTCAAACAATGTGAAATTATTGAATTATCTATTTGACCAAAAAATATATAGTAATTTAACAAAATTGTTTAAAATATGGTTCATTAGTTATATTATACATGATATTATCCTGTATTAAAAACTAAACCAAAGTGAGTAGTGAGTGGTTAGAGGAGGGATGACAACGAATTCTGTACTTATTGGATATTTATAAAAAAAAATAATTATAATAAATAGAATAATCATTAACTTGATGGGTATGAGTTTAAATATTATATAATACTTGTACCTGTTTAGCCTATTATATATTATTATAATCTTAATAAATAATAAATAAAAATAATATTAAAACTTATAATTATTAATTAAAGACTACTTTGATTTTATTTTTTTATATTATTTTTTTCTCCCTTGTTTAGGATGATGCTCTTTGCCTCCATTCACATTATTTTATTTAATTATTCCTTTTTCCAACTCATAGGTAACGGTGAGAGGTAATGTAGATTTAGGTGCCCACCACCATGTATGACACGAAGGTAGATCTACTTCTATCAACTTTGTTACTTTGTTGTGTAGCCTGCAAACTTTGTCATATATATATATATATATTCCACATTTTTGCTTAGAAAAAGAAATTTATCTGTTCTAAACCAAATTTCCCACTTGCATTCATTGCATGCGGCTGCGATGCCAGAGGAAGAGCACAACTAAGAGACGTCTACTTCGCAAATGAATTTTTTTTAGTTTAAATATTCAATAGTTACATTGGTTTGACTAATATTAGAGTTCAAGCTAAAATAATTTCTTATTAATTAATCTGAGATTTCCCACTTTACTTTTTGACACCAAGCGGAGTAACATTTTTCTTAAAGAAAAAAAATTCAAGCAAGTTAAATTAGCTTATTATTTTATAAAAAATGAAGTTTTATGAGATTATTTTTATTGATATAATTTTTTTAAAATCCTAAAATTTTCTAATTTTTCCAATCGTATGTCCTGGGAAATTAAACCAAAAGAAATTACAATAAATTACAATCGTTGAATAATAAATTAAACATATATTATTTTCTTAAAAACAAATATTTACTAATATTTTTATAAAATTAAAAAGATTTAAACTAAGTTTATAAACCACTATCATTGTCCAAATATATTGTAATCGGTTCACGAACAAAGCACTATTATTTTTGTTTATTTCTTTATCAGACAGGGAAAGAAGAAGAGCTAACATTGACTTGCAATTCCTCAAACTCCTAAGTCGAAACATTACACATTACACATTACACATTACACCCACATTTTATATTTCTTGTGGCATATATGACAGATGTCTCAAGCATCCCACCGCGTGTGGACTTGGGTTTTAAATGAGGATAACTTGCAATTCTCCACAACCTTTTTCATTAGAAAAATAAAAATAAACTATAAAATCTCTTATAAAGGATCAAGATGCTCTTCTGTGAAGGATTTGGAACATTAATTATACTTCATTTTCATTTTTATTTTAGTTTTGTCATTTTTATTTTAATTATTTTTATTTAAACAACAAATGTCCTTTATGGGAAACAATCTGTTCAAGTCAGTATAAAAATGAATCGTTTTCTTTTTATTTAGAAAAATGTACTCTCATTTTTTATAAGATGTAAAGGATGTAATTTTTTTCCAAATAAAAGAAAGTATAATAATGTATGTGGTGGGAGGGCAGTGAAAACTTAGAAGTGTTTACCCTTTTACCACCACGTGACATTAAGAATAAGATATACGGTTGAAGTGTTCACGGCTGAACTCTTTCTTTCTCTGCCAACCAAACCACACTGAGCAACACTCCATTGGTCAGAGAATGGAGAACGCAGATTCTTGTAAACATTTCATCAAAGACGTTAAGCGCATAATCATCAAGGTTCTTTTCTCTTTCCAAAAATTATCATTTTTCATTTTTCTGTTATTTACTTTGTGTGTTGTGTATGGTTGGTGTGCAATGTTTCAATCATGGGATGATGCAAATGTCTGAGGTTGTTTTGGTTGGTTTTTAAGGTTGGAACTGCCGTGGTCACTCGCCAAGATGGACGGTTAGCGGTTGGAAAATTAGGGGCACTCTGTGAGCAGGTAACTTTTGAATATTTTTGTGTTATGTGATTTTTGTTTGTTCAAGACAAAAAAAATGGGATTTTGAGTTTGCCATGTGTGACCCTTTTGAAAATTTTTGGCAGATTAAGGAACTGAACTCTCTGGGTTATGAGATTATTTTGGTGTCATCAGGTGCTGTTGGCCTTGGTCGCCAAAGGCTTAGATACAGAAAGTTGATTAACAGCAGGTAATAGTGTTGTAACACCTTTGTTTTGTTGCTCTCATTATATATACATGTGACATACCAGTTAAGATGGTTGATATTGTAATTTACTTGGGTTTTTCATGGGATTGTTACAGCTTTGCTGACCTTCAAAAGCCACAGGTTGAACTTGATGGCAAGGCTTGTGCTGCTGTTGGTCAAAGCAGCCTCATGGCTCTTTATGATACTTTGTTTAGTCAGGTGATTGATGTTAATTGATATTCATAACTGAACTGGCATCTTGTGCTTGTTCTTATTCACAATGTGTTTTTACGTGGACTTTTACTTTTTAGGTTTTCCCCATAATGGCATTTTATTTTCAGTTACTCTCTTTTTTAGTATGACGTTGATGTGTTAACCCTTTTCTCTACTTGCCCTCTAGCTGGATGTGACATCTGCTCAGCTTCTCGTGACAGACAACGACTTTAGAGACAAAGATTTCAGAAAGCAGCTTAACGAAACTGTGAAATCACTGTTAGGACTAAAAGTTATTCCCATATTCAATGAGAATGATGCTGTCAGTACTAGAAAAGCTCCATATGAGGTTTGTTATTCTACTTGTCTGATTTGTTAACAAACTGAACTGAATCTAGGAGCTGATTACTTCAAGCTATGTATGTACCTTTATGAAAAAATAGTGTCATTATTGTATTATTTGTTGGTGATATGATCTAGACTTATGCTAGAAAAATTTTCTGAACTTCATATGTTAAGACTTAAATATTGATTCTGTATCTAAGGTTTTCTTAAGGCTGATTTGTATGTGGTAAAATTTTATTTAGTAATTTGCTAGACCAGGCTAGGTATGAGAGTAAACTAAAGAATACTTAAGTTTCACCAAATTATTTTGTGCAGGATTCTTCTGGCATATTTTGGGATAATGACAGTTTATCTGCTTTATTGGCTTTGGAATTAAAAGCTGATCTTCTTATTTTGTTGAGTGATGTAGAGGGTCTTTATAGTGGCCCTCCAAGTGATCCACATTCAAAGCTTATTCATACGTACATTAAGGAAAAACATCAAAACGAAATTACATTTGGTGACAAGTCTAGAGTGGGAAGAGGAGGAATGACTGCTAAAGTAAAAGCTTCTATTCATGCAGCTGAAGCTGGCATTCCTGTTATCATTACCAGGTGCCCTATTATACAATGTTACCAAGAAAGATCAAAACTGAAACTGCTGTTTTGTTTTTTGCACTTTTTAAAAGCACTGTTGTTGAAGGCATATTTGCGTCCCCTCCATAGGTGTTAAGTGGCTTCATTTTCAATAGGAAATATTTTATTTTGTCCATGTCATGTGAAACTTTCACTAAACCACAAGTGATTTTGAGAAATTGAAATAAAAAAGCTTTTATCTATTTTAATTTTGTATGAAGCTATCTGTTTGGATGAATTTTTGTTGATCAGATGTTTAGTCAATAAATTAAATGAGAAATGTGTGCATGCAGAGACTGGGAATATCAATCTTGAAATTTTTTTCCTCTTTTCAATTTTTGATATATTAAACAGAAACTTTAATTTCGAGAACTTTTTGAATTCCATTATGTATGCTACCAACTTTATCTGATTCTCATCTTTGTAAGTTGGCTGTTCCTTGCTTCTGCTGAATTTCTTTTTTCTCCTTTCAGTGGTTTCGCAGCTGAAAATATCACAAAGGTCCTCCAAGGACAACGTATTGGAACCCTCTTCCACAAAGATGCTCATAAATGGGTGCCAGTGAAAGAAGTTGATGCACGTGATATGGCAGTTGCAGCTAGGGACTGTTCCAGACGGCTTCAGGTCTCTTTTATTTCTGAGAACTTATGAAATATCTGATGGACTGTGGATATTACTGAGCTGTCAGTATACTATCCTACTTTAACATTCTGATCTCCTAATCTTACATTACAGGCCTTATCATCAGAGGAGAGAAAACAAATTTTGCTAAAAATAGCTGATGCCCTGGAAGCACATCAAAAAGAGATCAGGATTGAAAATGAAGCTGATGTTGCTGCTGCACAAGAAGCTGGATATGAAAAATCCTTAGTTGCTAGACTGGTTTTAAAGAATGAGAAGGCAAGATGCTTCACCTAAAGAATAAATTATTTAATTTTTACAAACTGTGCATTATTATTTAGATTTTAATAAACTGCAAAACTTGTTATAACAAATTATGATAACTGACAGCTTGCAAGCCTTGCAAACAACATTCGAATTATTGCAAATATGGAAGATCCGATTGGTCAAGTGTTAAAACGAACTGAGGTAATAAAAATTTTATTCTAGCCATGTATATTATTGGTCATGGTAGTTTTACTTTATGCTAGGTTGAATTAAATCAATTTTCCTTCAGCTTGTATTTATTACAGATTATTGTTTTCAATTATGCTAGTAGATAAGAAGTGAATGAGTTGTGTCATTTGCAATTTTGTATTAGGAAGTCTTCCAAACTCCACTGTATGTGAGTGTACTAATTGTTGCTTAGTCATAAAGTACATTGTTTATGATGCTTTTAAAACGTTTTTCATGGACACTCGATTGTACTGAATTTTTAATAATAGTTATTTATCTATAATATTTCTGACAACTACCTTTTGATTTAGCTTGCAGAGGAGCTGATTTTGGAGAAAACATCATCCCCATTGGGAGTTCTTTTAGTTGTTTTTGAGTCTCGTCCAGAGGCACTTGTACAGGTAATTAACTTTTTCACCTTCTGTTAATAATACCTGGTTAATTATTCTCAACTTACCCTTCCTCTGCCTTTATGTATGATTCTTTTTCAGTTTGCTGTCTAGATGACATGCTTGGACAACTTAAATTACCTACTTGTGGATCAGACCTTACTTAAAAATAAAATGAATTCTTATATAGTTAAAGTATGAAACCTATTTATATTTTTTAAGAAAATGCCCACACTGCAGTTCCAAAAACGAAGTCTAAATTGATTATCTCTTAAATCTGCATTCTAAGCCAGTAGCTTCATGTAATCTGAACAGATAGCTTCCTTGGCAATCCGAAGTGGCAATGGGCTTCTCTTGAAAGGAGGCAAGGAGGCTAAGCGATCGAATGCAATTTTGCACAAAGTTTGGTTAAATGATAATTTGTGAACCATTTTCTTTTTCAATTATATTTGATATTTTCATTTGGGTCTCATTAATATACATTTTCTGGATTATTTGTGACACCCCTGGAACTTCAGGTAATTACTGAAGCCATACCAGATACTGTTGGTCCAAAACTTATTGGACTTGTGACAACAAGAGCAGAAATTCCTGAGCTACTTAAGGTGAAGATGAAGCATATATTAATTTCTGATCTACAAACTTGCTTGCTTTGAAGATTCGCATCTTTAACAAAAGTTAAAATCCGTGTTCTACCTTCTTTCAGCTGGATGATGTGATTGATCTGGTGATTCCTAGAGGCAGCAACAAACTTGTATCTCAGATCAAGAGTTCCACAAAAATTCCTGTTCTGGGTCATGCTGGTAAGACCTTTTTGCTTTATATGCAACTGGTGCTTGATATAGTTTGGTAAATCCTTTTGTCAAAAGAATTTACCATAATTACGTGGACAATTATTGCCAAAACAGATGGAATTTGTCATGTCTATGTTGATAAATCTGCTGATTTGGAGATGGCAAGGCAGATTGTACTGGATGCAAAAATAGATTATCCAGCAGGATGCAATGCCATGGTAATTTGTTTTTACTGAATGACAGTGCTAGCTAATTTTTCTTACTCACTTTTCACTGCCATCAATAATGTGAGTTACTTAAATTTCAATTTTCAGGAAACACTTCTTGTTCACAAGGACTTAATAGCGAATGGTTGGCTCAATAATATCATTGTTGAACTACGGACAGAAGGTATGACTTCTGGCAAACAGTTCTATTAGAATGGTGCATTATCTGACCAGTATTTTTCTAAGATTGAAAAATGGTTTCTTGAAATCAAATGGACTATCAATCTTAGCTTGTAAGATTTCTGCAATGGTGAAATAATTTAAAATTTATGCAGGTGTTACATTATATGGAGGACCCAAGGCAAGTCCTCTGTTAAATATTCCACAGGCTCATTCATTTCATCATGAGTACAATTCGTTGGCTTGCACTGTTGAAATTGTGGATGATGTTTATGCAGCTATTGATCATATAAATCATTATGGAAGGCATGTAGCTCCTTATTTCTTCATAATATGTCAGAAGCATGTTTTCCTTTCATCCATCCTCCCATTTCAAATTAGATCTATAGTAGTGCAGTGGGCTTAGATGCAAGCTTGTCACATTTTCTTCTTTGTGGCAGTGCACATACTGATTCTATTATCGCAGAAGATCGTGAAGTAGCTGGTGTGTTTCTGCGCCAAGTAGACAGGTAATGTTTGAAATATATTGTATTTTTATTTTGTGACACTAATCATATTATATCTACTTTGCCGCATTTTCATTATTTTATGTAATTGCCTTCTATGACTAAGTTGTATATTAATAAACACAACAACCCTTTTATTTTAAGCAATTAAACTTCTCTGAGATTTCAGCGCATTGTACAATGGTGGTTATGCAAATAACGTTTGCTATATTGGCAGTGCTGCTGTTTTTCACAATGCTAGTACAAGATTCAGCGATGGGGCACGATTTGGACTAGGTGCAGAGGTATGATATTGTTTGCATTTTTTAATTAATCAATCTCTTATGCTAAGCTAAGGTTCTTGATTTAATTCATAATTTTCACGGGATTTCTTTAATAGGTTGGAATAAGTACAAGCAGGATTCATGCTCGGGGTCCTGTGGGAGTTGATGGACTGTTAACAACCAGATGGTATGAGTAAAGGGCATTATAATACTTTAGAAACAGTGCAAAACTTTTAGTTCCTTGTACAACTAGCAATTGCACTCAGTATCTTATTTATTTATTATGATCAATATGAATGACACAAATCACAAATTCACAATCACTCCAGGTACAGAAGATTTATGTGATTAGATTTATCATTTTCAAAGAACTAATATACCAAATAGGCTTATAAAAGGAAAATAACTAACACTACAACTATTCTTTTGTTTATATGCAGGATTCTCAAAGGAAGTGGTCAGATAGTAGATGGTGACAAAGCAGTTAGCTACACCCACAGAGACCTTGCTGTTTGATTGGTAATTTTTGCTAGTAAAAATTCATGAATGGAGAAGCAAGGAATGTTACTATGCTTAATTTTTTTCTAGTGTCTCAAATTGTACACTTGGATTGAGGGGAGGGATATTTATGCTACCTGTTGCGTTCATGGTGCTGTACAAGAATTGCTTCCTCCCCAATGTTAGGAAATTTATGTTCATTGTCTAGGAATTTCTTTTAACTAATAGCAAGTGATTACAGTTGTGCAAATAAAAAACTTCAGCTTTAGCTCCTCAAAAAAAAAAAAGGCTTCACTTATTTCATTGTAATAATGTAATTTGCTCATGTTAGTAAAGAGAATTTGAAAGTGTCTCGTGGATTCTTTGGTTCAAAGGGAGGAGGGATTTAATAGAGGGGACAAGAGGAAAGAAAATAAAATTATCTCAATATTAAGAAGGAGGCAAAAAAGTTGGAGGAGATAGAGTTTGGCTTCTTATTTTCGTGCTTTTTTTTCTTTCAAACTTCTGGATTAAATAAGGATTTTTTTTTAAATCTTCTCTTTTATTCTTTTTAACCAAACGATTTGTTAATAACTTGCACTTTGTTATTTAGTATATGTAAAATTTTTTAAATGTGATTAATTAGTAATTGCATTATAGTAGTTTTATTGGGACATGTGTTTGAATAACTTGTAAATGTAAATCTATTACAAAAATTACAAAGTAAACATAAATTTATGAACATTTAAACGCAAATCTAAACATGTTAGTAATTGATAATTGAAATAAATTTATTTGTTTATCAAAACGGGAGAGAAAAAAATTCTATTTTATGATTTGTTTGAAGGAAAGAAAAATGGGAGTAGATAGTATTTTTATTTGGTTAACAAAAAAAGAAGGAAAATAATAATATACTGTTATATCATTACAAGTATTAATGAAAAAGATGATAAATAAATTTTAAAAAAAAATTAATACATTTAAAAATAAAAAACTAGTTTTTAACTCCAAAATTTTGTTCAAGGAAAGAAAATTTAGCGCCCTCGTTTATTCTCTCATTTCGTTCAACTTTCTAAAACAAAAAGATAACTAGAATTAAACGCACTAATCATCCATAGTTTGTGTAAGGGGAGATTGGAAAGATATTGTCTTGTGGTCCTCCCATGGTCACATAATTTAAGAACATAACACGTGTGTTATGACAATGCACAGCAATTTTCTGGTTCCTAGCACGATTTATCTCATAATCAGAGAAATCAGGACAAGAAAAACATGAGGGAGAGAGAGAGAGAGAGAGATAAATAACATAATAATTTATTTCTATACATAACACCGAATATTACACAACTTAGGCACAGTAGACCAAATTTATACCCTTTACAAAGACACTGACCTTTCACGTAGTAAATTATGACATCACTCATTCTAAAAGAAACCGACTTGTACAATACGTAGGCAAGAGAAACAGATTGAGATGTTAAAAAAAAGGGACATATGAAAGGGAGAAAACATATTTCAGACTTAAGACCTCACTATCTCATAATTACATGCTAAGAATTTAGAAGACAATAACATCACATGACTATCTCTGGCTTCAGAATGCTTGACTTGATCTCCTTGTGGGGCAAAACTACACCACCATTGCTGTAAACTTCATCACAAACATGGACATCTTCTCCAAGGATGGTCATATTCTCCACACGAGCCCATTGCCCAACAGTAGAATGCCACCCAATGATGCTGCTGGATATGCAAGCATGCTTTTTAATCCGAACTCCTCGCATAACAGTGCAGCGGGAAAGCCTGACACCTGACTCAACAATACAGCCAGGACCGATTGCGACATCTGGCCCAATGAGACATCCCTCACCAATTTTGGCTGTCTCATGCACAATGACATTCCCCACAACGTGAGCGCCACTGGCCAGCTTAGAAGGAGTCTTTTTCCTCAGTGAGTCAAGGTATAGTCTCAGGCCAGAAATATAGTCCCTTGGTTGTCCAATGTCCATCCAGAATCCTGGCAGGACCATTGCATATAGCTTTTTCTCGGCTGCAATCTTTGGAAATACCTCTTTCTCAATGGAAGTGGGCCTTAGTTCAATTCGATCCAAAACTGAGGGGTTCAATAGGTAGATTCCAGCATTAATTTTGTTACCAACAAATAACTTCGGTTTCTCCACAAATTTCTCAACCTGCCCAGTAGTCTCCTCCATCACAACGACGCCATATTTTGATGGCTCATCAACCTACACAAGTAGATGAAAAAAAGATATTGAAAGCTCTAGTCTGCAAAATATTTTTTTTTCAATTTCAATTCCGTTACCTTTGTCACCATTATGGAAGCCTCTCCTCCATGGGCTTTGTGGAATTCAATCATTTCTTTCAGTGGGTACTCACTAATAACATCACTGTTCAGAACAAAAAATGGCTCCCCAGAGTCATCTATCAGCTTATCCCTGGCAAGAGCTAAGGGACCTGCAGTCCCCAATGGCTCAGTTTCTTGAGAACAAGTAATTTTGATGCCAAGCTTTGCCTCAAAATCCTTCAAGAAATTCAACATCACCTGCAAGAGTAAGTTTTACCAAAGTCAAAATAAAGAAACTTTATCTACACTAATCTCAGTAAGAAAGACTGCATAGTGTGATAAGGTGATATGCAATCCTTACCTCGGGTTGGTAATTGATAGCTAGTACCACTTCACTAACTCCAATGGCCTTAAGAGCCTCTATCTGTAATACAAGTATAATTAAAAGGTAAATCAGAAGGACAGTCTACTAAGCAGCATTAAAACCAAATATAAACAAAGGACAAATATAAAAATACATATTCAATTATGGTCCTGGCCATAATCACACAGACAGTGATAGGATAGTGAGGAGAACAAAAACAAAACAAGTAGATATGACAATCGATGTTAAATGAATTGAAAAAGATACCTACTCAAGCAAGCAAGAACAATTTTTCCCACTTCTTGAGTAAAGGGGAAGAAGATATCCACATAGACAGAAAACAACCATACTCTATCCCCCGAAACAGATTAATGAAGGGGAAAACAGCCACTGAAAACAATCTAAATTAACAAAAATTAGGAGAATCTATAATTTGACACAAACTGGACAAATCCATTTTTATGTCAACTTTTAGAACCATTCTTAGTACCAGGATTCTGATTTGAATGACAGAAGTAGTTGCTTTTCTTATCAAACATATTATTGATAAAATAAAATAAAAAAACCAAAATTTTGAGAGAATACATTCAAGGTGGCTTGTTGGATAAGATAAAATGGCATGGACCATTAATACATCTAAGGATCAATAAACATGCCAATTCTGACTATGTCAAAGATTCTAGCAAAAATAAAGCTGGATTTGGAGCATTTCCCCAAAACTTCAACCAATCGCTGATATTTAGAAGAAAATATGACATAGATATTCAAAAACAAAGCCTATCACCTCATTTAATCATGTAGCATAATAGATGTAAGACTTCAAGAAAAAAGGCTTCAAAAAGCCTTACCTGATGCAGAATCATGGGCTTGTTTGCAAAATCAACAAGAGGCTTAGGAACACTGAGTGTCAATGGCCTCAACCTAGTTCCAAACCCTCCAACCAGAATCAGTGCCTTCATTGTAATATGCCCTTTACTTTTCCTGTAAGCAATAAATTGAGAAGCAGATCAAGAAAGAATAACACAACACAATTTCAAATATGAGAAATAAATTCTGCCCTGTTCTATAAATATGCATGGCAGGAAAGAAAGAACTTGCATGGAACTCTTCGGTGACATTGTAAAAATAAAACAACTGGCAAAGAATTGGCACCTGAGCTGACGGGTGTTAGAAGGAGTGTGACACGAATGCAACCAAAGATGGTAACTGAAATGAATAAAAGAAAAGAACAGTTTGTCAAAGAAGCTTAAGACATAAGACCCTAAAAACTTAACACTCGTCCAAATTCCAAAAGAAGCAACAAGAAGATCAAATTCGGTGTCGGTACAAGAATCATAGATCTAGAAAGGAAAGTAAAAATGAAGCGAAAGGTTTAGCCGGATATGAAAACAAAGACAAAATCCAGCTATACAATGCCACTAGCTTTTATTGAGAACGACAAAAATGGTTTAATGCAGCCGAAGGTTGATCCATAACTGGTATTATGTCTAAACTGGAATCATGTTACATGGTAAACATTTGCCATTCTGATGATAATTTGATTACGAGACTGTTTCCTTCTTTCAATGTCGAAGAATATTTCCTGTATACGTTCATGATAAAAAGATCTCCATTTGGGAAGCCTTCAAAGTAAAGTACATTGCATCAATTCCACATTAGAGAACCAAACACACTACCAATAGGAATATAAGTTTGGGTACTAAGGAAAGAAAAATGTAAAACAACAGCAGTCACGTTTTGCTACATTGCTTACTTTGTCTACAAATTTTGAATTAGAAAGGATAAAATTTTACAAAATTGTATGTGTATGAAAAACATGTAGAGCATGCTCTCCTAAAATGAGCTAATCTTGATCATATAATCATACATAGATGATTGATATTAGATGAAGGAAAACCAACATTGACCATTCATGTCTGGATGCTTCTTGTATATACATCAAACAAGAGATTAAGTCAGGTCAGCTCACATGTTCTGGATAACGTAGAGCAAATAGAACTGAGTCTATTGACATCACCAATGGGAAAAGCTCCCTCTTTGTAATATTTTCAGGAACAAATTTCTCAAAAAGAGCACATCTTGGAAAATATACAAGGGTCATTTGAAAATGCTTATAAACAGCTTATGGAAAAGTTTCTTAGTATAATTTGTCAAAATAATCTATTTTAAGCTTATTCCAAAAAGTTTCATGATTAAATTTACTGCATAAGTTGTGTGTCCAAATGCACTCAAGGTAGAGTTGTTTATCCAGCTGAAACTTTTTCGTTTGTCTTCATCTAGCTAAAGGTTTTTATTAAGGTCTTTATCTAGCTGAAGCTATGTTTGACAAATAAAATGGCACTGTGCGGATCTCCAGGATCCATTGGACCCAAGCCCAATAAGGCCAGCCCAGTTTTGCATTGCTTATCATTTATCAGAACCATTTACAACCTCTAACTCGCTCTTATCTCATACACTGCATCGAAAACATCAGAAGTATTTTTCTTTTTAATAACCTTCACCTCACATATCCTAAAAAGTTTGAATTGAAGCAAAGCCACCAAATCCACAAAAATGGAAATGAAAGTACCGAATAGATAAACCAATCAAAACGAAGAAAGGAAACAATAACACCAGCACCAGATCTGATAACTACACATTTGTTTTCACAATATTAAACACAAAATGAGATTAAATCTCAACACAATTACAGAGAGACGACGAAATTCATAAAATGGCAATTCGGAAACAACAAACAGAGTACACGCGAATTCAGGAAAGACCGCGTAATTCCGAATCAGAACAAACGCAAACTACATTGCTAAATAATCATTCACCTCAACTCAAACCATGCAAAACGCAAAAGCCAAAAAAATTATAAAAAATGAAAGCGAAAAGGAAGAAAGCAGAATTCACCTGAGAGAGAATTGTGATTCGTCCGTGGGCGAAAAAAGAAACCCCCAAACTCGAGCGAGTCAACCCAGCGAGTCAGAGTGGGTCTCGAAGAACAACCCAACGGTCCAGTCTCTGAGCTGTTACGATGGCGTTGGTCACCGCTCGTCATCATCCTAATTTATATACGCGCCAACTACACATAACTATAACTAGGCACGCTTTTTTTCTTTTCCTTTTTTAATTAAATAATTAATTAATTACCTGGATTTCCTTTTCAGTCCCTCAAGTAACCCTTAGGCCTTGTTTGGTGGAGCAGCGTCGGTGGGTACGGCTTTTGCGGTTTTGCCCACTTTGTTTTACGACTGAGTTGATATTTCATTTTCTTCCTTCAATTTTCCTTTTTCTTTCTCCTCCAAGCAATTATGGTATTGTGATTGATAGAAGGAAATGTTATTAAGTTTAGGAAAGAGACTAGGAATCAAGCCATCATGTTAAAAATCTCTTGTTTAGCCAAATCTAAACCATTTTATGTCAATCTGTTTTCAACGCGTTGGGAAAAATAGAAACAATGAAACTTTTGTACACTAATTCAAAACGACTACTTTAATTGTTTATAATGCGAGACATAAATTTAACATAAAATAATCCATTTTCTTATTCTATGAAATTCATAAATTTTCAACAGAGTTAATTATTTTATATTGAATAATTTTGTGAAGTTCATGGAAATTATATTTATGTGTAAATTTTACATAACTTTTGATTAAACGTTCCGACATAAATGAGTAGAAGCCTTGAATACTTTTTCATAATTTCAAATGAAATTATATTATCTTTTTGGGGGAGGTTTAAGTGTGTTCTCTCTTTTCTTTAAATTGCACTCAAAGGCAGCAGAAGGATCATGTAAAAAAGCCAAACTAAGCGTTGACTTTTTGCTTTTCCCTTTGCAAGTTATAGATCCGACCATTCGCCAGCTTATATTTTATCCGCCGCAAAACATAGAATTCAAGTTCTTACTTCTTATTGTGATTGGTTGCTTAGAATATTACTATTTACCTTGTGGTTTGAATATTTATTTTCTTACTTTTGTTACAAGTGAAAGTTATCCTTTTAGCTAGAATTATAAGTTTGCACCAAAAGAAATATAAGTTTGTGGGGCGTCATAATATATCATGATTGTTCTTCGAGTTGGAGGAAACTGTGGAATATGCTGAAGGATGGGATTAAAAATAATTAATCTGAATGGGGAAGACTTGATTAATTCAATAAAGGTTTCGTTAATTCTTAGGATGGAAGTTCGACAAAGAAAAATTATACTTAATTTTGTTTTAAAATTGGAATAGAGAAGAAACTTAAATTTCATTCTCATGCTTTCTTCTTAGTTTTGAATGACACAATTCTAAACTAACGTAATGATTAAGTAAAACAGTGACTCTAAAATAATCTGGTATTTTGATATCAATGTAAGGTTGTTGCTTCTATGCATACTTATAATAATGATAAATCGTTAAAAAAAATTGCATTATTTTCATTTAAATACTTATAAAATAAATATAAAAATATAAAAACTTTATTTATTAAAAAATTAAATCACATAAATTAAAATGTAATTTTTAAGTTCATGCTACTAATATTCAACTTTATCTATGCTTTGAGGAACCGCACGTTTGTAAATGTATGCCAATAGAAGGTTTTTGACAATCTCTGTTCGACGAAAATCATTGTTTTTGACATCAATTACTCACCTACTTGTGAAGATCATGCATAAATGATGTCACAAATTTATGATCTATGCAACAATATGTCCAATGGAGGTTGAGCAATATCATATATTCCTATTCTTTTTCATTTATTTTATTGTTTGAAGTTGTGTATAAGAATTACAAAATAATTTTATTATATTTTTAAGTAAATATTCTCATTTAAACTTTATATATTTTATTTGTTAATTTTTTATAAATTCGCTATTTAATAGGTAAAAAAAGAAAATTCTCAATAAGAGATTGAGTGATATAGTAATCATTAATTGAAGTTATTGTCTATATATTAAATATGGGTATAGTTTGAAAAAAAATAAACTATTCTTAAATTTTTAAGACAATAAAAGTTTTAAAGCATAAATAAAAATCAAAAATAACAAAAGAAAAGAAATAGAGAGAGCAGAAAAATGTTAACCATTTCTCATAGGTATCAGTTAAAATTTAAAAATAAAATTATTTTATTGAAAATTATAAAAATTAATTTTTATTATATTTAATGTATATATCTTTATTAGCAACTCTATATCATTCATTAATTCATCATCGTTGTCGTCGTTATTATTATTATTATTATTAATATTAATAATAATAAGATGTTGTGTTGTTAATTGATTGATTATGAGCCACCAGACAGCTGCAAACTGGATCGGCAATTTTTTTTAAGCTACATCATATATATCAGTATATTACACGAAAAGTAAAGGAAAGGCAAATAAATGGTCCAAGACACCCTTTTTGAAGCCATTAACTGGGATATTAGAAGCTCAATTACCTTATAGAAAACAACTTAGTGCCAATAACATAAAACTATATATACTATTTAAGATTTGTGCATAAATACTCCAGCTAGCGATCACTTAAATTTTTAGAGACTCCTTAACATGGGCAGAGTATAAGCCATAATTAGAAATTGATTACACTGATCATGGGTCACGCTTAGTGGAACAGATTAGGATGTTTTGGGGTTGAAAGGAACAGCATGAATATTGAATATGCAGTTTTGATCCAAGGACTTGTTAATTGATAATCGAAGTTGGATGCGATTGTTTGAGTTGCTATATTGAAACTGCATGAGGTGCTGTTAGGAATCTAGTTGTATAAGATCCAAATCTGGGTCGGATTAACCCGGTATGCATGATGTGTTTCACATGAAATTCATCCAAAATTGAAAGAGTATGCCATTACCCATTTTAAGTTTATGAAAAAGTAATTAATAATATTTTCTTTTTAATTTATCAGTGAAATTTGTCAAAAATAAATTTATTAAATAAGTATTTAATTAAGTTTATTATTTAAATGAACTGTTTAGTGTAAAAATTCTTATTAATGTTTCTATTTTATCCACATCCAATTGCACTTGATCATGAAATATATATCTCACCCCCCATCTAATTATATATAGTTTGCTTCAAAATATTTAGTTCATCAAATAATTATTACAAAGTCAAAAAAGTTATATCTTTAATGTTATAGTTTTGGTTCTAGCTAACCAGTGCCAATTGAAAGTAAAAAGTTTTTATTGAAAATCATATATGCATTAAAAATCAAGGAAGAAAGTATATTAATAATATTTTTTAACAAAAAATTTATCTTTAATTTTTTAACCAATGTGTTAAGCGCAATGCTTTAGAGTTTTTCTATATTTATTGTACATGAAGAGTGCTTCATACCCGAATCCGTTTTTGTAGTATTCAAGTATGCTGTTGGAGAACAAAATGTGTTTTCCAGCATATCAAGGCAGTACATATACATACTACAACTACAAATATAAAACAAGACCCTAAAACTCCACACTTAACCTAACAAAAACAAACACAATCTAAGTACAGACAAAATCCAAAAAACACCATCAGACAAGTCCACAACTTTACAAACATCCAAAGATCAAACTACTTCTCCACTTCCTTTGCAGAGGCAATACTAATAATATAGTCAATCTCCTCTGCTACCTCTTTCATTGAGGGTCGGTTCTGTCTCCTTTCCTCCAAGCAACTCAATGCAAGAAACGCCAACGCCTTCATCGTCTCTATCTCCATAGCGGTAGTTCCATCCTTCAACATGGGATCAATGACCTCCATCAACCTTTCCTCCATCACCATCCGTTGTACATAAACAGCCAAGTTCACATCATCTGCAGGCCGGTTGAAATCTATTGCCTTTTGAGCTGTCAAAAGCTCAAGCAACACCACCCCAAAACTATAAACATCACTCTTATCAGTTAATTGGTAGTTCCTATAATATTCAGGATCAAGATACCCAAGAGTGCCCTGAGCACAAGTAGATATATGACTCATATCTGTCTGAGCCAACCTAGACAACCCAAAATCTGAAACCTTAGCATTCAACTTGAAATCTAGCAAAATGTTGCTAGACTTAACATCTCTATGATATATAGGAGGCACAGCCATGAAGTGAAGATAAGCAAGACCATCAGCAGTATCACGAGCAATTTGAAGGCGATGAGTCCAAGTAAGCAAACCACGTCCCTTTGGCATTTGACCTTGCAAATGATCGAGAAGGGTCCCATTTTCTATGAACTCATAGACCATAATAGGTTGCTCCAGTTCCACACAGCAACCTAAAAGACCAACAAGGTTTCGGTGGTTGACTTGGCACAATATGCGAACCTCATTGAGGACTTGATCAGTGCCTTTTGGGTTTCCAAGTTTAGCACACTTGACAGCCACCACAGTGCCATCTAGAAGAACACCTTTGTAGACTTCACCATACCCACCAACACCAAGAAGACGGTCACTGGAGAAGTCAATTGTGGCTTTCTTTATCTCTTTGCCGGAAAAAAGCTTAGCATTTCTGCCTCCGCCACTTGCATTGAGAATTCCTTCTCGCTCTCTTGCTAGGCGCTCTTGTGCTTCTTTGATGCGCTTGTACCGTTTGTAGAGAAAAAATACAATGGTGGCAAGGATCAGTGCAGCTCCAACTCCGCATATCAAACCTGCACATATATGGTTAACATCAATTTCGTTGGTTCATCATGTGCATGCCCTATTAGTTAGCCTAAAACCATTCTTAGCTCTGCTATTTCATCTAAAAATTAAGGCTTAATTAAGAATTTAGTCTCTACAAAAATTACACAAATTTTAAACTTATAAAATTGGTTGTTAGATATAGTCTTTACTTTTCTCTTTAGTTCCTTTTAAGTTACATGGTTCATGCCAAGTGTCAAGCAAAAAGTTTGTCTATATTCTAACAAAAAAAAATTACTAGGAACTAAGATCAAATTGTGCAGAGTGACTTCTTTACAAGAACTAATCCAAAAATTAATTACACTTTTTTATTTTAATAAACTCAACTATAAAACTGAAAGTTAACCAAAAAAAAAAAAAAAACTAACAGCATGTAGGATTATTATACATAACAAAATATTCTTCAAAATTAAAAGAAATGACTTTTTTTTTAATCTATTTTAATCGTTCATGAAACATTATTTTGAAGTCACAGAACTAGTATAGACTATAAAAAAAGATGACAAAACATCACCATCTTTAATCCATAGCAAAATGTGAAAGCCTTATTACTACTCAACGATATTATGTTCATACATAACCTATATTAATTTCATTAAAAGATTTGAAAAGCGATTACAGTACCAGCTATGATCGCCGTCTTGTCGGATGAGTCGCCACAGCCATCGGGATTCTGGCAAGTGATTCCTGCACCAAAGTCAAACCAAAACTCCAAAATTAGTCAACGGTCCCAACAAATTCATGATCCTCTACAACTCACTTTTTGTGCACACTCCCTGAATAGGGTCCCACACAAGTCCGTTGATACAAAAGCAGCGTTTGATCCCATTGGGAGATGACGTGTCGGGTCCACAAGTGGAGGTGGCAGAGTCACAATCACCCTGGGAGACACATACGGTTTCCCGGGGCGACAACCACTGAATCTCCAACCCGGGTTGGGGCCACCGGTTAACGGGAAGAACCGGGTTAAGGTTAACGAAACTCGAGTAAGCGCTACAACCGGAATCCCTCACGCGAATCATGTAGGAGTTACTGGAGCCACCGGTTCGGTAGTTACAGCAGAGAGGACCAGACTGACACGTGGCAGCGGAAGAAGTGGCGTTGATGTAGTTATGGCAAATGCTAGAAGAGGAACAGTTAAGGGGAGACATTAGAAGCTCGCGGGTGCAGTTAAGGTAAATGATGGTGTTGGAGCTTGTGATGTTGAAAGGGAGAGTATTGTTCAGTTGGATCCCCTCCTTCGCCTTATCGGTGGAGACGCAGGTGTTGGCTATTAATGGTGCGGGCTGAATCACCAACCTTTGGCCTTTTGAATCTATGGACTCGATTGGGTAAGAGTTGTTCAGCGTGTCGAACATGAGCGTGCTCGAATTGCTGCAACGGATCTTGTACGACTGGTCACCGCACGTCCTCGTTGTGCTCAGAGGAAACGGCACCGTCATTTTGCCGCACGGTGGACACGCCGTCGCCGACATCACGTGCGTCGCGCGCGTTAGTATCAGCGTGGCCACCGTGAGGAGGAGGAGGAGGAGGAGCCTTGGCGTGGACTCCATTGGTGCGTGAAGGACAGAAACTGAGTAGTAGTGCTTATTCATAGTCCTCTCGTTTATACGAATGGTGGCATCAGTTTAATGTGTATTATTATACTTTGGATTTCAATAATATATATCTAACTGTGTTTTGTTATCATTTCAATTCAATTATTACCGTTGACCCATTGATAAATACTCGTATTTTATTTGAATATTTTTTGTTAAATATTTAGCAGAAAAGAGGATGATGGGTAAAAAGGTCATGTCTCCAAAGTCCAAACAATTTAAATTAAATATTGCTTTAATATTAATTTGAGTAAGCTAATGACAAGTTAATTTAATAAAATTGTTAATCAAACACAAATTAAAATATGCAACTTATTAGCTACGGAGAACAAAACTGTCATTTTCTAAATAGTCAGCATTTTAGAAAATTAGAGTATGCTTGTTTCTCATTTAAAAAAAAAGTTTCTTATTTTTTAAAATTAAAAAATAATACAAATTTGTATTATCTTTTATTTTTAAAAAAAATTTAAAATGAGAAATAAACATACTCTCAATTTCTCTTTAGTATAAAAACAAGAAGAATGCTAGAAATACATTATTTAATCTATTTGTTTAACATATTTTAAATTATTGTTAAAATTTATTAAAATAACAAAAATATATGTCTTAATTTTTTAATTTTTAAATTAATATTTTATTCAAAAATGTGTTATTAGCATGTTTCGTTGTTATAATATAATCTCATACATTTATGTATATTTTGAGTTTGAGGATTAGATCTGAATGATTCTATCCAAATACAGGTCATTTTCTGAAGTATTTCTTTTTCGTACAAATGACGTTTAGCCTGAACTTACACTTCGTTTTTTAAATGAAAGTACTTCATAAGTTTCAAAGAAGATCTGCGACTGCCAACCTAAAATTGAAATTTTGATTTGTGGGTCATACTTCATCATGTGATTTGCACCCCAAGAAAACAAAATAATCCAAATGTTGGCTTGAGGTTGACTTTGACTTTATGCATGGAGCATAGCCAAATGGTCCATGAAAAAATAACAGCTATTTTCGGCAAAGAAATTAAAATAAAGTTAGTTTTTAACTTCCATTCTTTTTTTTTTTATCATAATCACAATTTCATTTCAGGCTCTAGTTTATTGTGTTGCCTCTTCTAGTTTTTCTAATCATTTGTCGACATTACAGGTTTATATGTTACCAGTATAGTAGAATTGACACATCGTATCCGATAATATTAATGGTGAAAATTAATCGAGTTTATGATTATCGCAAATTAGCATTAAAAAAAAACGAAGGGGTTGATCAACAAGGAATGTACACGGAGAGAAAATTCTGAAATGATGGGTAGAAAACGATGTTCATTTCAAGAAATGTAGCTAAGAAGATAAAGGAAGGTTGGCCTATGAGCATTCGCCGCCAAGCATCTAGAACGCTGGTTCACACCAATAATAATAATGAATGTTCGACACCCTTCTTCCCACGAACTTGTCATTATCCACAGCTTACGATATATGGTATATTTTTGGATGAATGACAATTATGAAATTTAAATTTGATCATAAAATGCACTGTATTTACTTTTTATCTTTAATTTATCCATTAACTTAACAGCGTTTATATGAAAATATAAGTATATTTTTAATGGTTATATTTTAGCAAGTCATGTAGTAAATGTCATTTTGATTGATGCAAAGTTGAAGTATTTTTAATCAATATTCTCTTTAGTCACTAGAGAAGAGACTACCCACGATGCATAGAAACGCGGAAAGCAGCTTCTGGTATTTGACTGACTCCATGGATTAATGGATAACAACTTGGAATATAATATTATGTATCTCATTGTCCAGATTTCTATCACGTAACGTTTATATATATACTTTGCTAAGAACCAAGTGCTTCAAATAACATTTTTCAAATGTGAGAGTAATTCATTTTTCAAGCTTTATAGAACCAAACAGGTCAAAATTCTATACATATCTAAAAATAACAACAAAAATTACGTCACACTTAAACGTTTCTTGAAATTATAATATACTGCCAAGCTTCAATTGACGGTCGAATCAGAAACAAAAGAATTAAGAAAAACACTAGAATTTGCATTTGGAAAAAAAAAAAAAAATCAATCTCAGCCCATGCATTGGACCTCAAAGGCCAATATATATATATGACCAAAAAGAAAAGATGTATTAAAACAACCAATCATGCCTCCAAAACTACATACCAGGAGGCAGCACAAACTTCCAGGGTATTTAATTACACTGGTTAGTTTAGACAATTAAGAGAAAATATACATTATGAAGAATAATCTTACATAGGTGAAAAGGACCCAATATTTTCCTTCCCAAACCAGAAATCACTATTGGATGTTGTTAAATGCTAGAGCCAGTCATGATGATTCACACCATGAAAGAATACAAGCATATATACACACGTATACCACTCAATATGTACATATACATATGCATATGGCTTCATAAATTTACCAAACAAAACAACATCTAACTAACAAAATTGAGTCAAGAGCCTCAAGGAAGCCACGTGACATCAAGTGGGTGATTCAGCCAGAAGAAGAGTATGCCACCACCCACATGCAACGTTTTTAGCTACACAACCTTCCATGGTAACTTCAGAAGGAATGTTACGGTCAATCACATCCCCAAGGCCCAGCTGCCACATCCACAAATTAAAACTTAGAACATAATGATAACATACCAAGAATGTCACCAATTCATCAAAACAAGTATCAATTAAAATACACATGGTCAGATAGAAATTTTGTATTTCATGTAGTCGGTCTCACTTAGTGGAACAAAATTTGGTTGTTTTTATTGTTGTTGCTGTTTATTTATTGTTTTTAGACTGTATAATTAAAAGGAGATTAAAAAATAGTAGTTCAATATAAGCACCTGTCCATACTTGTTCCATCCCCAGCAGAAGACTTTTCCATTGTCTGAGGAGACAAATGCAAAAGAAGAATTAATAAGAATATATTAATAACATGCATTCAAATTTCAATGTGTTTTTAACTTCCAATACATTCAAAATACAGCATCAATGTTGAGGAACTAGCCTCATAATTATCTAAGACTAATGCCAAAAGGTAATCCAACTAAAGGATAACAAATCTAAACTTTTCGGTCAGAGCAATTAAAGAATAAATAATGAAAGAAAAATGATATTGTTAAAGTGCTCCCTGTCATTACTTGAACAACAGCACCTTCCAGATTCTATTACAGAAAAGGGATGGACTTGAGAAATCAAAGTATAGCAGCATTTAGTGATGCATTAAAGAGACTTCTTTCCTAGAAGGATAGTTTTGTCTGCATGGTTATATGAAAACGCCATAAGTAGTTCTCTTCTCGGTATAATAGAATACCTGTTATTAGAGCAGTGTGACGAGCCCCACATGATATGCTCTTTACATTCACATTTTCCAAGCTCGGACAATCCAGTAGCCTCGGTACAGTCTGCTTCAAAATTCAAGTTAAAACTTAAAAAACTAATATCAAAGTGCTGCAATAGAACTTAAGAGCATAATATGTATTATGGACCTTGAGGTGACAGAAATATAATGATATGGTCATAGACTCATAGTAAACTGGGGACTAAAGGACTAATGTAATCACATTGTTATGCTCTCTTTTAAATTTTAAGGACTAGTGTGTGTAATCAATGGCATGTCAAAGGCATACCTCAGCTTGATCAGCACCAGTTCCCAGCTGTCCAAATTGGTTTCCACCAAATGCATATACATCACCATCAGCAGATGTACACACAGTATGCCACAAACCTGCAGCAACTCCCTCTATTCGGATACCCAATAAGGAAGACACGCAAGTTGGACTAAGTTCATCATCTGTACTTCCTTGCCCGCACTTTTCCAAAACAAGATGACAATTAATTCAGTATAACAAGCATAAGCATAAATCAACCAAGAGAGTGATTAGAATGATGAATATTGCATAGGAACAGAACAGATTATCCCTTGTTAGAGGAACCTCATCTTCAACATCTACATTGCTTTTGCCCACCATATTCTACTTTACCTACATGTTGCTAAAGAACAGTTAACAGTTGATGATATAGTAGGTGGAATATATTTCAACTACTAAATTCTAAAGTATATTTTAGTTATTTCTTGTGCAAAGAAGTATGCAATAAATCCTCAAGCAAAATCTAGGGCAAATCAGCCCACAATTTACGTTGGGTGTATGTTACTAATTCACCGTAAGAAGGGAGTATTAACCAGCAAAATAAACAATATGTTGGTGACAAGCAAACATAATCAATAAAGTGAACACCTAAAAAGAACTACATAAGTGAAGATCTAAGTAGAGTAGCTGATACATCTCATATTAAGGAAACACTTGTAGCTCTACTGGTAAATTTTCATTTTATTTTTTTGTCGTTTTGAGGCCTGCAGCAGGTGAACCCGGAATTTGCTTTCTAATATAAGGACCCAAGCAAGCTACCATAGATTAGAAAACATCAGACGAATTTATTAACAATGAGTACTGATGGAATTTGCTGAAAGGATAACCTCTGCATGTGTAATGCTGTCAACAATATACATAGTTAGGTAGCCCCAAAAAAAAAGAGAGTAAGAAGGTGGTAGCAGGACAAAATTTACATTGCCAGCCAGGTAGGATATGGAATTTGAGTCGAAAAAAGCTCTCAAGATATGACAAATTCACTTCAAATTACCTGTCCATAAAGTCCCCAACCAAAAGTAAGCACAGCTCCAGCATCTGTCAGTTCAACAGGTAGATATTGGAATATCAGTATATATGAATTGTCAAATTTAGCATACCCAGATGAAGAATTATAGGGAATAAAAAGCAATTATGGAAGTTGCGTCCAATTTTCTGTATAACTATTCAACTCTGAATGTACCATCTAGAAAGACGCACCATAATACATTCTATTGACAAATTTATTAACCTCTTTTAGGATATTCGTTTTCCCTCTCATCAAATCATACAATCCTAAACTGATTGACCATCTAATTTAGAAATATATTTCTAAGCACTTTTAAACATAATCTTGATACCAGTTAGGTGAATTGCATTATAAATGCACATGGATATTCTCATTTTTGGTTCCTTAAAGAAACTAATGCAGACAGTCCTGAAAGATGTTCATTTGTGATACCAAATAACTGATACATATGTACCTGTGATTACTGCACTGTGTCGACCTCCACAGGCAATTCCTTTCACATAACTTCCTGGAACTCTAAAATTTTGTCCCTCTGAACTCATGCTTCCTTGAGCCCGTGATATATCTTTACCATAAGAAGAGGAATCAATACAAGGAACAAGATGAGGAGAGGACACCATTCGTATTCTAGAACCCAAACCAAGCTGCCCTTCACCTCCATAGCCCCAACCCCACACCTGCCCTGTATCTGAAACTTCCAGAACATTACTATCAATGACATGTCTTAGACTGCATAACTGATCTTCCATAGTACAATAAAGATGCTTCAACCATAGATGGCCACATTATCAGAGACAAAAAAACATACATAAAAGTTTATACTGAGGCTAACAAAAAATCCATAATAAAGTCAATACCTGACAATGCTAAGGTATGGCGCCCACCAGCAGCAACACTTGATATCCTTACACCAGGGTTTAATGTGACAAGACACGGCAACGCTGTCATAGTATCATCACTAGATGTCGAGGTTTCAGCTGTTTGCTTTGCTGACGATACTCTCCTTCTCTTTGTACTTTCTTCTCCACTGGTACTGGAGGTAGTTCCTCCAATAGATTTTGACCCCTGAGAACGTGGTATCACTGTTGCAAAACCACTCTACATAGTTAGACAGATAAAGGCTAAATATCCTTTATTTTTTATCATAAAAGGATAAAGCTCTTTTCTTCTTTCTTTTGGGGTTTCAAACATTCTATCCTATATCATAGCAGTTCCTCTCTCTTCCCCCCCTCCTTTTTGTACACTTTGGCTAGCTTAGACCACCTCCTAGGAGGGCCCGGTAGCTGTAGACAAATGGCAATTTTAAAGAGGAACACACCTTGCTCCGTCAAGAATGAACTTTGCCTTCCTGGTACATCCTTTTCGGGACTTACCACAATTGATGATTCGCCAAGTACCTTCCCAGAGGGAACACATTCCTTCCATCCCCATGTGTAAACTTCTCCACTATCTGCAAAGGAAAAACAAAACAAGTATGTAGGATAACACAAGGCAAAAAAACATGCTTGATGGATAGACAATTCTTGAATCCATTTTTGATTCATTGTTTGTGAAAATTTGTAAGAATTGTTAATTTCTCCAGCAGGACAACAAAAGCTACTCAATTTTAGTTGATCCTTTCTCCTTTCAATCACATCATAATGCGTTTCTTCCCTGGGAAGCAAGATGAGGAAATGAAGCTTACCTGTCACAGATACACAATGTGCCCATCCAGCTGCAGCTTTTACAATAGGCGCTTCAGCAGGAAGAGGGAAAGGCTCTGGAGTTGCCTTCACAAATAAACTATAAAATGTTAGTTGACTGAAAAAGATACGAGAGAGAACATTATCATTCTATATGGTTATGCATCACCCCATGTTTGCCAGATGTGACATAGCTTTGGCCTAAATCATCTGCTGAACCCCATGTTATGAGCTTTCCTTGTGCTGATTAAGGAAGAAAGTAAGAGTAACAATGAATCTTTATGTTAATAAAATGTAAAAGGAAAATACCAGAAGAAAGGAAGCCTGAAAGAGATATAAGGATAGAAAGATACTATGCACTAAGATAACTTCCCTCAAAAGAAAATAAATAAAAAAAGAACAAGGATGGCCTTAATCAATGATACAATCATTTAAAAAAGACAAATGTTACCCAACGTTCTTAAAGAATTAAAAAGTAAATATATATATATATATATATATATATATATATATATATATATCAAAAACTGTTATTAATGCAGTTCTTTCCTAAATTTTCGGTGCATTCCAACTTAATTTTTAATAAAAACCTTTTTACTATTAATTCTTTAACTAGTGCACTATTAGCAAGACCCTTAAAAAAAACTGCACTCATACAGGAGACACATTCGTACCCCTAAATACTAGCCCTAAACATAAATACCACAGTATTAGAAGTAACAACATCAGCAAAATCCATGGAATGAGCGAGTAAGAGATTGAAGAAAATTAGTAAATCTAATTCAAAACATTAGTAGTGAAAGCCTGAGTAACTGCAACTCTTCCCCTTAGATTTGACCAACTTAACAAAATATCAGGAACATAAAAAGAAGAATAGTCACCACATAGGAGTAATAACTCTGAGACCAAGAAAACCATACACGCAAACAAGTTTAGCAAGTTGAGTTTCTCACTCCAGCAAAAGAGAAATGAAGCACCAAAGTTCTCATTTCTAGCTTCTTATCAACATATAAAAGAACAAAACACCACAAAGGTAAATGTAATGGAGAAGAAGCAATTCCCTCCATCACTAGAACCATTAAGAAAAAGACTTTTTGCCCCAAAATCAACTTCATTCTCAAGTTCAAAAAAATTGAAATAAGTACTGGAAATTAAGAAAATAAAAAAGTTTGGTGGGATTAAAAATCAGAAATTGGAAAAAAAAATGTTGAAAAAGGTGAAGTACCAGAGATAGCCATGGCAAATCCACAACCACCACCGCAAACATCCCACCAAGGGTAATCAGACGGCGGAACCCTAACCGGCGTCAATAACGGCGTCCTCTGCGGCAGAGCTCCGGGAAGGTAACCCCACATGTACACCAACCTCTCCTTCTCCACTTGCATTGCTTCAATCCCGTCGCCGTTCATGGCGATTCCCGCTAAACAAAATAAAAAATAAAAAATCCAATACCCAATGCGACTAAGTTCAAAACTTTTCCCTTATTTTATGGCTTTTCCGTTTGGCGAGCGAGAAAATCTTTGAAGACTTTGCTCAAAGTGCCCTCTTTTTTCTCTGCTAGCTGCGTATCATTTTTAGCGGAATGCGGCTGCCACGTCGGATGCTCACGTGGTTAAACTGACACGTGGCATCGTGCTGGCCGCTACATACTTCGTTCATTTCTGGCCACGAATTCAGCAGAACTTTCTGGAAGGTCTCAACCTCTCTGGTAACGCCCCCATCCCATGGCCCTGTGCGTTAGGAGCTACCGTGTCTTCTTTCTCCTCCTGCCACGTGTCGGTCCTTCCGTAACCTCAATCATTACGGATCGCCGCGTGTTCGTTTCCCTGCGTGCCACGTCATCAAAAGACCCCTTGTGAACTGCAGTATGTGAAGGTGTGTGTGATGTGACGGCGACACTGTTATTTTCTTTTGGCAATTCCACATTACATCCAATAGAAATAGAAATGTGTTTTGCTAAAGTTGTTAAGATTCTCTCCAAGGGAGACACCCATGTTCCATCTCCATTATTAATATCAATTCCAAATATCAACAGTTAAAATTACTTTTATTTTAATAAATATATGCAAAATTAAATAGTTAAAGTTACCTTATATCATTTGCCTATCATGATTTTGCATCATTTGGTTGAATAGTGTTCCTCCCTTAGCTGTCTTTTAATCTCCGATCAGGCGTCCTGCTGTTGATTTGATGATAGGGAGAATACCTGCAAAAGGTACTCCGATGATAAAGTCAGGATTCGGTTCTGAACAATAAATGTTATTTAATAATCTGAAGTCAACCACCAACCTGTATTTTTTATCTTCTTTTTATAGACATTCTTTTGGGCTAATGGGCCTAAGTCAATTTTTATATTTGAGGCCCATAGTATTTTTTATTATCTTTAATTTGGATTATTTACCTTTTAATCCTGACTAGGGGTACGGGCCTAGTATGCCGAGTAGGTATTCGGTTTCTTTTTGCTGATGGTGGAACCGAGTTGATTCCTTTCCCAGTACACTAGCCCCACAAGCCCGGCGAGTTGCGAAGCAAGGGCTTTAAAAAGTGGAGATGGTAATATAGGTATCCGGTTGGAGTGCTTTTTATTGTACCGAGGGGGTCATCGTGGGGGTGTCCGGTCTCAATTGATGGTAACGTTTGATATATTAACTTACACTGAGGAGTAGTCGGTTTAGTAACAATACGGTATAGGCCGAGATTATAAATTTGCTGAGGAATATTCTAGGATGTTGGTTTTTAGGATTTGTCAGAGGGGATGTGAAACGAAGGGGTGCTCCATCTCCTCCGTTGATCTGGAAGGGATCTGATGGTTTAAAACGAAAGGGCGTCTTTTCGTTTGCCCGACATCAGTCCCTTATAAATATGTGGTGGTCCCTCATCCCTTTCTTACTCTTTTGCTCTGTGCCGAACCCTGCATATCTTTGCTCCAAACCGACTAGTGTTCAGAGATCCTAGGCTTTTCTTCTCTACCGACTACTAGCAAGGTGCGTTTCATTTTTTTCTTAACTTCTTTTCTATCATGGCTGATCGTATTGAGTGGGAGGATTCCTTGTCGGATGTCTCGGGGCCGGGTACCATTGAGGTTGATATTATGAATGGAACCGAGGGGAGTGGTGAGGTTTCGTCTATTTCAAACCGGAGGGCTGAAGAGGCACAAGTCGGCGAAGGCAGTAGCGAAGCTGAGACCTCATCGTCCAGTGATACTGACGCTCCTGAACCTCTTCCCAGCACTAGTCCTCCTCGGGAAAGGCAGGTGTTTCCTCCCTGCACGGTGCCTGGTTATGAGTGGGTACACGGTGAAGTGGCCGCCTACTTTTCTCGTTTCAAAAGAAATAAAAGTCTTCAACTTTTTGTAGATAATTGTGATATTTCTTTATGGGAGGCTTGTGACCCGTATCCTATACACCTTGATCCCTGTCAGGGGGACGAGGGCGAGAACCCAGACTTTGTTTTCTTGGGAGGTGTCGGAATGGCCGACACCTTCTTTATGTATGAATACATGTTTAGGGAATTAGGTATCAGGCTCCCTTTTGACGATTTCCAAATGGGGGTTTTGAGGGTATTGAATGTAGCGCCAACACAACTACATCCGAACGGGTGGGCGGCAATTCAAGCCTTTAGAATACTTTGTAAATTCCATTATATAGAGCCTAGTGTAGGTCTTTTTCTTCATTTTTTTTGTACGCGTCCATCCGACCTGGCGAGGTGGGTTTCTCTAATAAGGCAACCCGAGTTGCCCCTTTTTAAGCCATACACGTCGTCTTTTAAGGGTTTCAAAACTGGTTTCTTCAAGGTAACCGTGGACCCTGTAGGTAAAAATTATTTTTTTGATAGCGAGGGCAATCCCCTATTTCCTTTTCACTGGACTCGGGTGCCGCGCCGATACGACACATACCCTGAGGATATGTTATCGGCTAGGGAGCTGTCAGATTTGCAATTCTTGAAGTCCCTTCCCCGGGACATTCCTGCCCGACATGTAGTCCTCGTTCTCAAGTCTCCGCGTCCTCGGTGGGATATGGAGGGTATGTGTTATTTCGTTTCTGACTTGTATTTGGAATTGAGCTATATTGATTTGACTTGCTATTGTTAATGCAGGTTTAATGGCTCAAAGAGGTGTGGATGTGCCAACCTTCCGGCGTACTTTGAAGCAGAGAATGCCTGAAGGGACGCCCGTTGAGGAGCACCGTCATCCTCAAATCGACCAACTTCCCGAGGTGTCGGAACCTCGCCCTCCTCCCCAAGATTTTGTTCCAGCCGAAGGCCCTTCCAAGAAACGCAAGGAAAAGGGCAAGGAGCCCGAAAGGGAGAGGAAGAGGCGACACGCACACTCGGGTGAGCCTAGCGGCGTTCAAGGGGCTCGAAGTCAGACCCGAGTGGTAGTTGCTGGGGAGGGAAGCAGTTCTCCCGTAGTTCCCTTGGATATGCTGGCCGAGGGGTTCTTGGTAAGCGGGACACATGCTGGTCGGCTTGCTGCTCCGAACCTATTATCTGATGCAGGGAAGGAACTGGTCGACGGTTTGGACTATGAGTCTCTGTGGCGCTACTACGCAGAACTTCATGTACGGTCCACCGCAATGCTCCGAAGGCTAGTTGTGGATCCCATTCTCGAAGTTAAGAAGTTGAAGGCCGCCCATTCGGTTTCTGAAGAGGCTTTGGCCGAGAGTAGAGAGATTCAAGCTAGCCTGGACGAGACCGTTCAATCCCTGCAGGGTCAGGTTAATCAATACAAAGAGCACTTTCAAATAATGGAGGACTGAGTACATGCGGCCGAGGAGGTGGCGAGGGTCCGGGGGGAGGAGATGGAGGCGTTGAAGGCAAAGTCCTGTCAAATGGAAGAGGCTTTACGGGCCAAATCTGCCGAGATGGAAGAAGCCCTGGCGCTGGAGAGGCAAAAGGCTGAAACCGAGATGAGAAATTTTGCTGAGAAGTGTTCTCAGCAAGTATCTTACGAGCATGAAGCCGGTTTTAACCACGCTATTCGACAGTGTCATGGGTTCTGCCAAGTACCGGTAGGCTTTCATTTTGACATTACAAAGGACTTCTTCGACGGGAGGTTCATTCCTTACACCGAGGTTAAGGTTGATGTAGAACCCGACGTCGAAGTGCCGAGACGTCTCCCTGAGGTTACCGCCAACCCTGAGGTGGCCGCTCCCGAGGCGGTAGAGAGAATAGAGAGTTAAATTACTCTCCCTTTGTATTCATGGGCCATTAGTGCCCACATTTTGTAACCTGTTTTTTGTTTGAAATAGAATTTATCCTTTTTTCTCATGCTTTGTATTTTGTCACCTAACAACATTTACGATATGCTTAATATTATCATACTTAGCCAAATAACTTGCATACGATTTACCCTTAATATACTCATTTTTAGCCGAGTAGGGGACGAGGAGATGATCTCGTTTTTTTTAAAAATTTAGCTTTAACCAAATGGTAACTAAGAACTCCTCCTAATTTGTTAATTTTGACGAGCGAGAGAGTATTCGGGATTGAGATATGTCGACCTTTAGTAGAGATGCTTGAAAGAAAAATAATTCACACTTGACCGAATTGGGGTACTCGAGAGGGAAACCATTCAACCTTGGCCAAGTGGAAATGGGAGGGAATGGTGTTATCTCATCCTTGACCGAGTGAGGGTACTCGGCAGGGGAATATAATTGTTGCATCCTTGACCGAGTGTGGTACTCGGGAGGGAAACCGTTCAACCTTGGCCAAGTGAAAACTTGGGAGGGAATGGTGTTATCTCATCCTTGACCGAGTGAGGGTACTCGGCAGGGGAATATAATTGCTGCATCCTTGACCGAGTGTGGTACTCGGGAGGGAAACCATTCAACCTTGGCCAAGTGAAAACTTGGGAGGGAATGGTGTTTGAAAGGTATATAATGCGCAAAAAACCGTATAGGTGAAGAAAGAGAAATTTTATTGATTAGGTGCCTCGTTAAAAACCTTCTCAGGAAAACCCCTTTTCACTTTCTTTTAAGAGGATAAAACCTGGGATTGGAAAAGAGTTCACCTGTGCACGTATTACAAGGTTTTAGCTATAATAATGCTTTAAATGAGTGACATTCCAGGTTCTTGGTATTAAATTTCCTGCCAGGGTTTCCAATTTGTATGCTCCATTATTTAATCTTGCTGCTACTCGAAAGGGGCCTTCCCAGTTGGCTGCCAACTTCCCTTCTTGTCGATCCTTGCGCGCGTCCCCGGTTACTCGCCATACTAGGTCGTTTTTGTAGAATTGTCGTGGACTTATTTTGGAGTTGAATTTTCTAGCCATCATTCTTTTACTAGCCTCAGTCATGATGGCAGCGTGGTCACGGATCTCATCTATCAAGTCCAGGTTAACGGCCAGAGCCTCTTCATTGGCCGATTCCTTGAAATTCTCTTTCCTGAATGACGGCTCTCTAATTTCTACCGGTACCATGGCATCAGTACCATATGTAAGCCTAAAGGGGGTTTCTTTTGTTGTGGTCTGCGGCGTGCACCGATAGGCCCATAAAATCTCAGGCAGCTTCTCTGCCCATTCTCCCTTTGCCGAACCCAACCTCCTTTTTAATTCATGCAAGATCACTTTGTTGGCCGCCTCGGCTTGGCCATTCGTCTGCGGATGTTCAACAGATGTAACTCTATGTTTGATATGTAGGCCAGCCAAGAACTCGTTGAATCTTCGATTTGCAAACTGAAGCCCATTATCTGTAATCAGTGCATGAGGGAGACCGAACCGTGTTATGATGTTTTTCCAAGTGAATTTTTGCACGTTATGGGCCGTGATTGATGTTAGGGGTTCGGCCTCAATCCATTTGGTAAAGTAGTCCACGGCGACGAGGAGGAATTTACATTGCCCTTTTGCCAAGGGGAATGGGCCGAGGAGGTCCATTCCCCAAATAGCGAAGGGCCAAGGAGCAATAATGTGCCGAAGGGTATCGGCGTGTTGGCGCAGGTGAGGGCCGTGTTGTTGACAAGGAATGCATCTTTTTACAAACAATTGACAGTCTTGAGTTATTGTTGGCCAGTAGTATCCGGCCCTGAGCACTTTGGCTGCCATAGTTCGTCCGCCCGAATGGGTTCCACAAATACCTTCATGGATTTCTCTCATCACGTACTTAGCTTGATCGTCTTCTAGGCATTTAAGCATGGGGGTGGAAATTCCTCTTCGATACAATTCTTTACCGAGAAGAAGGTATTTGGCTGCATGTGCTTTAATTTTCCTAGCTGCTGCTGCGTCCTGTGGGAGACTGCCATCAGTGAGGTATTGGACCAGGGGGGTCATCCAATTATGGGATGAATTTTCTATGTCCATGCATTCTCGCTTGGTGATACTAGGTTGGGGGATTTGTTGGTGAACCATGCTCTGCAGCTGCCCTGGTTTCCGTTGGCTAGCCAGCCTAGCTAGTCTGTCGGCTCGTGCGTTCATGTTTCGAGGTGTGTACCGAATGCATACCTCCTCAAACTCGGTTTTTATTTTCTTAACCTCCTGGTAATATTTAAGCATGACCGAGTCCCTGATCTGATAGGTATCATTTACTTGTTCGGTTACAACTTTTGAATCACTCCAAGCAGTAATGCGTTTAACCCCCATTTCCCTTGCTAGTCTGAGACCGGCGAGTAAAGCTTCATATTCGGCTTGATTGTTGGATGCCTTAAATCTGAACCGGATAGACTGTTCAATGGCGAACGCATTTGGTCCTTCAAGAATGACCCCCGCTCCACTGCCTGATTGATTTGATGATCCATCAACGTGTAGGTTCCACATGTCTGAAATGGTATTATGTTGTGTCGTAAACTCGTTGATGAAGTCGGCTAATAGCTGGGCTTTAAGGGGGCGTCGGTTCTCGAAATGGATGTCATATTGGGATAATTCAATTGTCCATGTCACCAACCGACCAGCCAATTCTGGTTTTCTCAAAATTTTGGCCATCGGACAATCTGTACGGACTATCATTCGATGGCTCTGGAAGTAGTGCCTTAACCTACGAGCTGTGTGGACTAAGGCAAGTACCAGTTTCTCCACTAACTGGTACCGAGATTCAGGACCTTGAAGTGTCCTGCTAACGAAATATACGGGGTTCGGTTCGGGTGTTTCTTGAAGTAAGACCAAACTGACGGCGTGATCGGACACGGACAAATAAATAATCATTTCCAGATTCGAAATTGGTTTAATCAACGCAGGTGGTGCGGCCAGCATATGCTTGTACTGTACAAAGGCGTCCTCACATTCATTGGTCCATGCAAATTTTTGCGATTTCTTCAACAATTCAATGAAAGGCCGAGACCTTTCTGCCATTAATGGCAAGAATCTAGCCAGGGCTGCAATCCGCCCGGTCAGTCGTTGCACGTCGTTGATATTGCGAGGGCTGGCCATGTCGATGATGGCTTTACATTTGTCGGGATTTGCCTCAATTCCCCTTTCGGACAACATGAAGCCCAGGAATTTACCGCCAGCTACACCAAATGTACATTTTTCAGGATTGAACCTCATACCATGTTTTCTGCCTTCTCCGAATACCTCCTTTAAGTGGTCAAGATGTTGCTTTAATGCAAGGGATTTAATTACCATGTCGTCTACATACACTTCCATGCATTTACCCACTTGTTTTTCAAAAATTTTGTTCATAAGTCGCTAGTAGGTTGCTCCTGCATTCTTCAACCCGAACGGCATCACCCGATAACAATAATTTGCAGAATTTGTGATGAATGCTGTTTTTTCCTCATCGGGGGGGTACATTCGTATTTGATTGTACCCAGAATAAGCATCTAAAAAGCTCAGTACTTTGTGACCGGCAGCACCATCAACCAAGGTGTCAATGTTTGGTAGGGGGTATGCATCTTTTGGGCATGCTTTATTGAGGTCCGTGAAGTCCGTGCACATTCGCCACTTGCCATTGGCTTTTTTGACCATGACAATGTTGGCTAACCATGTTGAATACCTGACCTCTCGGATGAAACCGGCCTGTATTAGTTTGCTGGTTTCTTCTCTTACCGCCTTTGCTCTATCACCACCAATTTTTCTCCTTTTTTGAGCTACCGGTTTGGCCCTTTTATAGACCGATAAGTGGTGGCATAGGAATGCTGGATCAATGCCTGGCATATCCGAGGCTGTCCAGGCAAACAAGTCGGCATTATCTACCAGCATCTTTTGGAGAACGACTTTCTCTTGCTCGTTCAAACCGATCCCCAAATACGCAATTTGTTCTGGCCTTGTTCCTAGTTGGAAAGATTGTTTGTTTTCATTGGGCTCGACTCGGTATTCCTCATCCACTCTAGGATCGAGTTCAACATCCAACTCTTCTTCCAACCGAGGGAATACAATATTGACATCCCGGGTATTCCCCTGAAAGGGTTTAAGACGTAAACTTGTGAAGTAACATTCCCTGGCTGTTTTTTGATCGGCATGGACGGTAACAATTCGGCCTCTTTCAGACGGAAATTTCATGGCCAAGTGCGGAGTGGAAACTATGGCCTTCAATTTGTTCAGGGACGGTCTACCGAGTAGTATATTATAAGATGTGTTCGCATGTACTACAAGATAAGTGACTCTTATGCGTTTGCCCTCATGCTCTGATCCAAATGTCGTATACAAGTCGATACACCCCTTGGTCTCTACTCATTTCCCGGAAAAACCGACCAACGGCTCATGATATTCCTTGAGTTCTTGTTCTGAGATGCCTAATTGCTTGAATGTATTCCAGTATAGGATATCAGCCGAGCTCCCTTGGTCTATTAGCGTTTTTCGGACAGTGCAGTTAAGAATGTCTACACTAATTACCATGGGATCATCCTGTACTGGGTCGACTCCTTGAAAGTCGTCGTCAGTGAACGTAATAGGCGGGATTCGGATCTTGCTGCCCAATGAAACATTATTCACAGAACGGACATTTCGAAAATGCCTCTTCCTAGCCGAATGGGTAGATCCTCCACCAGCGAACCCTCCGGCTATGGTGTTAATGACCCTCTTCGGATATTTATCTTGTTCATATCTTCTTGGTGGGGGCTCCCTGGACCTGCTCCTGGGCTGTTCAAAGTTTTTGGCATCGGATCTCTTTGGTGAATCGGGGTGGCTGTTTCTTCCTTTGTTGTATTGCCTTGCGGGATCTGTCTGTACAAAATTTTTCAGGTGTCCATCTTTGATCAATTCTTCAATTTTGTCTCTTAGCGCCGCACACTCCTCGGTAGTGTGGCCCCTGTTCTGATGATACCGGCAAGACTTGCTTTTATCCGCCCGAGGAGGGGTGTTAGCACGTCTAGGCATTCTCAATATCTCTGTGGCCAACGCTTGGTCAAGTATTCTAGACTGATTAGAGTTGAGAGTCGTGTAGGAGGGATACTTCGGTCCTCGAGGTGGTCGTTCGAGTTCCTTTCCTCTGTCGTTCCCCCGCCTTGTTTTAAAGATCTCCCTTCTTTCTTCATTTTTTGAGTTAGGTCCTTGTTCCATCCGTACCTGGCTCTGGTATTCGGATAGTTCCTCCATTTGCATATATTTCGCAGCCCGGCTCCTTAACTCGTCTAGGTCGACTGGGGGTTTTTTGCAGAGGCTATTAACGAAGGGTCCCGGTTTCAACGCTGTTGTTAGATGGTGCATAGCCACTGCTGGTTCTAAATTATGGATTGAAAGAGTCACTTTGCCGAAGCATTCCATGAACGCTCTAAGTGATTCACCTTTCTCTTGGCGAATATTGACTAGGGCCAAGGATGTTAGTGGATGGGGCCGGCTTGTGGCGAACTGCAGGTTGAAACGTCTTGTGAGAGTTGCGAACGAGTCGACGGAGAGGGGGGGAGTCGGGTGAACCAACTAAGTGCAGGTCCTCGGAGCGAAGTAGGAAAGATTCTGCACCATAAGGCGTCGCTTTCTGTGTACATACCGACCTGCGTTGTAAATATGTCCACATGTTCTCTGGGGTCGGATGTGCCATCGTATTTGTCTATTACCAACCCTCTCCAATTGTCGGGCAGCTTGGCTTCTAGAATGCGGTGAACGAATGGGCTCCGGTTCATAAGTTCATCTCGGTCGTTTTCGGTTACCGATTGATATACCTGTCTTGATTTTTCTTGCAGCGCTGATGATTCTCCTTGATCTTGGACGACGGGGGTAGTAAGGGAGGGGACGTGTGTCCTTATTTCCTCCCTTAGGCCGGTATTTTCCCTTCGTAGGGCTGAGAGTTCCAGTGCATCCCTTTCGCGATCCTTCTTCATTTCCTCCATTTCTGCCCTTAGCTGCCTCAGTACAGCTAGGATGCTTTCTTCCGTTCCTCCCTGTATCACTACTTCCGGTACTAGTTCCTCTGGCGTGACGCCCTCCATTTGTTGCCTAGAGGTCCCTTCCTGCTGGCTTCTCGTCATTACCATGCTTAATCCTGAGTGACGAAGTTAATGGCGCCCCACGGTGGGCACCAAAATGTTCCTCCCTTAGCTGTCTTCTAATCTCCGATCAGGCGTCCTGCTGCTGATTTGATGATAGGGAGAATACTTGCAAAAGGTACTCCGATGATAAAGTCAGGATTCGGTTCTGAACAATAAATGTTATTTAATAATCTGAAGTCAACCACCAACCTGTATTTCTTATCTTCTTTTTATAGACATTCTTTTGAGCTAATGGGCCTGAGTCAATTTTTATATTTGAGGCCCATAATATTTTTTATTATCTTTAATTTGAATTATTTACCTTTTAATCCTGACTAGGGGTACCGGCCTAGTATGCCGAGTAGGTATTCGGTTTCTTTTTGCTGATGGTGGAACCGAGTTGATTCCTTTCCCAGTACAAATAGTATATGACTTCAATATATTGAATTGAGAAAACAAGTGGACTACTTTGATTGGTGTGTCCCTTCTAAGTAGGTAAATACCACGTTTCTCACAAATTAATCTTGAGGCATGTAGTAAGATTTTGTACAATGTGACCAATTACTTGGCAATAGAAATTCATCTCTTATCATATAAACCCATATTAGCACTTTATAATAGTTTTTCAGTTTTACTGGACTGAATCCTTTTTGGATATTTGAATATTTTTCGTAGTTATCGCACACATACTCTCAGATCAAGCCAATTTGCTTTTTCATCCTTGTCCCTTTCCCTTGTAAGCACATTGAGATATTTTCAGCATATGCCTTTATTAACCCCTTTTTTTTTTCTTCCATTGATTTCGTGCTCCACCACAACCACAAACATTTATGGGAAATGATTTGTGTATCATATAGAAGGAATATTTTTCAATATTTATAAAAAAATTATTATATAATATCAATTATTGTATTAATTTTTAATTATTAAAGCTACAAAATCATTTTTATATGCATAAATACTAGTTAGTGATAGTAGTGGTGACTGTATCACTTTTTGGCTTTTGCTGTGAGTTGAGAACACACACAAAAAAAGCTTCATCTTTTGGGGAGGACCTCCATTTCTAGTTGTTTCGAAGAATTGTGACAACCACGTTAAGATTTTTCCAAAACAGTTTTGTATACTAAACCAATAAGCTATTTTCTTTTCTTTTCTTTTCTCTTTTGGATCATTCTATGCGAATAAGTTCAAAAGCATAGTTAGGTGATGCAATTGAATTGTTAACTAAGATGGCAAACTCAAGATTCGTTGCCACTCACCGTCCAACCACAATATGATTTTGTTCACGTAACAATGTCTGTCATTGTCAAGGTTTTAATCACAAACCACAGCCAGAAATCAGCATAAAACAAAATAAACAAATACAAACTATATAACCTCTCATTTCAAACCAAAACATGTGAAGCTACGTTGGTATGGTTTCTGCTAGTGTTTATAAACAATTAATTTTAAATAATTTTTAGTGCATATAAAATGATATACAGCAACCATAGTTACATCCTAATATGATATACTAATAAGTGTAAATGGTTAGCAGCACTAATGGTTGGTTTAAAATTGATTGTGAATTATTTTAGTCTATCAAATTTTTATACTGATTAAAACTATAATTCATATTTCAAATGAGTGCTTTTTTTTTTTAGTGTAAATCATTTATAGCTCTTGACCTATTTGTCATATGCTTGAACAAAAAATCTAGGTCAATATCAAATACATCGAAACTCACCTGAGAATTACATCAACAAACATCCGTTGTCGAGTTCCAAAAGTCTAATGTGGTAGCAGAATAAGTGGGAGTGAAAAAGCAAATACACAACCTCTTAGCCACAGAGTTTTCGATTGATGGATGAAGTGAAAGCGCCAATTGGATCCCTTTAGGCCCAGCCCAGTTAAAAACAGAGTAGACACGTTGCCACTAATCATGACACACAACTCTTCGCCACTAAAACTTTTGTGGCACAAACACTTTGAAATTTTCAACACATGGGCGTTAACGAGCCACCTCTACTAGAAGACACGGTGACCCAACAAAACTTTTTTAATTGGGCCCCCTTCAGGATGGGCCCATGATCATGTGGCTATCAAGCCATTGCCGAAACCGTACGGAGGGGTTCGATGGTTGAAAATTGCATGACTAAAAACATGTTTTTTTTTTAATAGTTTTTTGTTTTTAAAAATAAAACAAATTATAAATTTGTATTATGTTTTATTTTTAAAAACAGAAAACTGTTTTTATAAAGGAAAACAGACTATAAATATCCATGTTAATTTTATTTTTTTTTAAATTTTGAACTTATTTATTGTTGTCTTGTAAAATCAGAAAATAAAGTGAGATTGCAGAGTAATTATTGACTGATGTGGAACCTATGAAATCATAAGCAGGTAGAACTGTTGGATGTTTTGTATTCACAATCATTAGATGAGGAAGAGATGTTTGATGTTCGTGTTATCTTATCATTGGTTGATGGTTGTCAATTATTGGATTGACAAATTCTTTGCATGTTAAAGGAGAACTGGTCGGGTTGAGTTTGAGGGGAAAATTAATTTTTTTATTAATAAACATCTTTTATGAATTTTTTTTCAAATGACAACGTCACATATTATTATTTTTTTATAAATTATAAACTTTTTAAATATTATGTTTACATAATATGGTTGAAACTACATGGTCCAAGATTCTATAAATTTTTTTCACCCTTACATATATAGAACACTAGACAAAATGAGGAACAATTTAGTAGCAGAAAAATTATATCTATAACTAATTACATAGTTTAGTTAAAAATTTGAAATGATTTTGACACCTATGAACAACTTACAGAAACAATTTAATAATTTATATTGGCAAAACAAACTATTACATAATTTATGTTGAATTTGGGCTAAGAGGAGAGGAACAAAATGGTAAAAGTGGTTCTATTTTTACTTAAATGAAAATAAAACTGAACCGTTCAATTATTAAACTGAAATAGACATGTTTCTAAATCAATGTCACCTTGAATTTTGAGATAGAAACAATCAAAATGTTATAAGATATAATATTTTGTAAAGACTTTCAAAGAAAAATTATATCATGTTATGAAGGATAAAACTATGTCCATTTCTCAATCTTCTACTTGGCATACCAGAATATGCTTGTTCCCACTTTTTTTAGTTCACATCATCATACATCATTAAAATAATTAACATTATAATAAAGTTGCAAGTTTTTCTTGAAAACATATTCAAATCAACATAAAACTTTGTCACTAGTTTGTACTCCACATAGAACCCTTCTTCATCATCTTGTAGGACTTTATACATATACTTTATAGATGTACTCCAGATGAATGCACCAAATGGTTTCAGATGGATAAATGTAAAACTTGTCAAGAGATTCTTTAATGCCAATTGAAAACACATTTCACACATGCATCAACCTCTATAAAAGTTAGTAGCAGATGAATCATAGTATAAAAGAAATATCAAAACGTAAGAAGTCGTGAACTAATCACAACTCCGATTAAGTGATATAAATCTCAACAACACTTTGTCTTAAGGATGAAAAACTCAGTAACCCCTCTGCAACAACAAGTGTGGGCTAACTATCCGAGTTATTCATCATCAAACACACTAAAATATAAATGTATAAAGATAGTTAAGCTAAGTGAACTAGTTACACGATATATTGAAGATGACAATAAACGAATAAGCAAAAATTTTAGATATAAGAAGGCATGGATAAGGGGAGACATCACACGCACCCTTTTGTAAATCTACACTCTAATCACATGAAAATGAATTTTCTAATGTTAGATTTTCACATAAACTTAAAAAGTGAAAAATTTGTATTTATATTTCTTAATAAATATATGCTAATATTGATGAGTCTTTTTTTTGTCAACTATAATGTTTCATTTGCTATTATTATTATTAATAATTTAGTTCATAATGAAAATTTAATTTTGTTGCATACAATCATTTTATTGATGTGGAACCATCATATTGCTTTTGGCAGAAAAGGAAAAATGTGAATGAAACATTGCATTTAATTAAAACGACTCCATAATATATGTAAATATTGATAACTTTAAATTAGTGGTTATCTATTTAAAAAGTTCTCTTAATCATTGACTTCTTGCCCGTACATTAGGTCCACTTCAGAATTATAAAGTGGTTTCGAATTGGGTTTTGGGACCTCGTAGGCAAAAGTAGTCCACGAATGTTGAGCCATTATTTAAACCTGGCTTTCAAAAAGGGTCTCAGTGTCATGTGTCACAAACTCGACAATGACAAAGCATCTTATTGAAGAATATTTGATATCACAGAATAATGCCTCAAGTTCACTCTATTCGTTGGTCAAGTCATCACGTCCTCCATCCGACCAAAAGTTAGTGCACACGCGGGTGGGTCCAAACAAATATTTTAAGTTCTCTCTCCCAATACTAACTAAAACTTCTTGTAAAAAAAAAAAACAGTAACTAAAAAATGGAGGACAATGCAAATTATACATCAATAGTATTTTTTTTTCGAACACAGTGACTTTAAAAGAAAAATGGGCAATAGACCGAACCAAATTTGTTATCTGATGTTCGGCATACGAGAATTTGCTTTCTAACACATTCTTCTTAACACTCCTGAATATTATTTAAAATTTATTAAAAATTATTAAAACATAAAAAAGAATCTTTAAATTAAGAATAAAACCCACTTAATTTATATAATATTTTGTAAGTTTTAGTCTGTCACTGAAACTTCCCTAATTTTTCCCATCTAATTCCTACCCATAGCGATTAACGATACTCGGGAGTTGGGGGTAAGATGCAGCTTGAAACGACACCTTTTTCGCAAACTTTAAAAAAAGTTGTGTCTTCTGAAACTTCTCAGCCATTTTTGTCACTGAATACTAAATATACAGAAAGAGATACACAAGTCAAGTCAAGACCGTTTACCAGAACCAAGGCCTGAAAAATAAAGATAAGCCGGGAAAGACACAGATTGAATCATACAGCCATCAGACAAACATAAACCCAGTGTTTCACGTTTGGAAACTACAAAACTTGGAATTGAAGGAGAAACAAAATGGGGGGATGTTCTATCATAAATCTTTTTTTTTTTTTTTTTTTTTTGGGGGGGGGGGGTGGCGCTTGAAAAGGAAAAGTATTTTCTTCCAAGACATGATTGAAAAAACAAATATATCAGCTATTTACCTTTTATTAAGTCATAAAAACGATATACCCTACATTAGAACTCTTCTAATGTCAAACTACTACTGAAAATGCTGTCCGAAATGCCCCTTGAGACGAGGTGGGAAGGCCAGAAACTTCACATATAAAATCTCAAGGATCAGGTGAAATGACAATGGGGAATCACTCATATGGACAGGGAGTTTCATAACTAGGGGGTTATCTATATCACACTTTAAATGGTTGCAGATTCAGATTGTAAACTGTTCTTATGTTCGCCTCCTTATTCGCCTGCCATTGGGATTAACTGATTCGGCAGCTGCTCCATCTGCTAAATCTTGACCATATATGCTACTGCCACTTCTCTTTCTGCTCAATGTCTGGCTTGAATTATCATCCACTGATGCAAATGTCTCCAGCAATTCCAACAACATTGAGGGGCAACTCTCTTTCAAGTGCACAAAAGCTTCGGACTGCATTACAGCTGCACAACGCATAATAATACATCATTAAATCTTTCCACAGCCGGAATTTCAAGGGTTCCAGATGGCACTAACAGCAACAGGGGAAAACCTCCAGAAGAGTATAAACCAAGCAAAATTTAAGAGACAAGTCACAAAAACCTGAATTAAATTTCTGAAAAATACACAAGAAAACATTTGGTCCAAGTAGAAACTCAGACACCAAATCAGTGACTCACAGTAGACAATTAAGAGAGTTCGGTAAGTAGAAACAAGGAGAGAAAGGCAGAAACCTCAAATTACTAATCTAGAATAATTACAAGAATTGGAAATTCAATGTTCAATTTCAAACAATTTTCAAAATTCACCAACTTTGTACATTAAACTTGATATTTTCATATTTTAGAATTACCTTCTGAAAATTCTCCATCTGGACAAGTGAGGAGATATGATGGAAAGAGAAAACAAAAAAAGGAAAGCTTAGGAAAAGTGGAGAATTTTGATATGTACGACAAATTGAGTCATGGCCACTCACTCCATAAACCATTCAAAACACAAATTATGAAATATAGATACTTGACACACATCAGCATTCCCTTTTATCTTCATAATATCAATTATTTTATAAAGAAATAATAAATAAGAAAATTTTAAAGAGTAGACATAGATACATGATAAGAAAAAGGGTACAGCAAAACACACAGACTAAACACGTAAAATAAATTTAAATTTTAAAAGAAAAAATCAAATTAATTGAATAAGTGACATGGTACAAAAAAAAATCTTTTGTGAGTATAGATAAATAGATAGATATATCATGGATAGAAAGAGAAAAAAGGGGGGGGGGGGGGGGGGGTTTACAAGTTTGAATGAAGTGTCAATTGAGGATGCGGCAAAAATAAGAGGGGTAGCACCAAAGAAGTAGAATTACTTTCTCAAACTACAGAGTACAAGGATGCGCCAAAGGTTGAGAGAATTGCTCTTAAATAAACTTTGAATATTAAAGCTATGTACATCCTACTACGCATCTCTCTGGATGATTGTTGTTTCAACCAAAGAGCTTACAATTTCTTTCCACACTGGATGACAACATATATAAGCCAACAAAACACACTTATAACTCGAGCAAGCTTCAACAGATCAATGATGAGTGTTACTAATGCACAAAAAACAAGGGGTAAAAAAGTTCATGCAAAATAATTGATATGAATGTTGTATTTTTATGTGGGTGCTCAAATACTCGCACCCCCCCCCCCACACACCAGAGAGAGAGTACCACATTCTTTTCCCTAACTCAATAACTCAGAGCTACACTTATGAAGCATGTGGGAAGAAATCTTCTAAAAGATGAACGGAAATAAAAATGGAAGTCTAAAATCAAGCTTTCAGAATGAAGGAATTAGATTCAAAGATTTCAAGGCATTATTAATTTTCGCTAGCATCCCTATTTCCATTTGTCTTATCCCCAGAAGTTCCATTGCAATACTTTCTGGAACCACAAGTGTGTGAGAGATAATAAAACTACTAAGGATGAAAATTTAATTTCAACAGATCCGTACTTCAATAATATACCAGAGAAAAAGTATACATTGAAACCCTTTTTTATTTTCTGGGGAAAACAAAAGCCCCAAAAAGATACAATTGGAGTCAAGCTACTTCCTAGTTCAATGCAATTTCAAAATAGTGCACAGTATAATTTCTTTAACCATTGAAGTTATCCAATCAAAGGAAATGAATGCAAAAAGAAAAAAGTGAATAATTCTTTCCACTAACTAGTACTTCAAAAACTAGAATTATAATACAACAGAAAAAAAAAAGGTGCTACCAAGTGAAATTCTGTAATCTTCTCATTCACAATGATATTTGACCAAATAGCATATCAAGCATCTATCCTATCAACTTAAAGAGACTAAAGAAACAAGAAATGTACTTAATATGGAAGTGTGGGAAAAACATCAAGACCATAATACATATTACTGCTAATTGCTAAAAGAATCTTAAGTTGAAACAACAGCAAACTTTTACATTCATATTCTAAAATATTATACGCACCTCCCAAGTTTGTTGGATTTGCAATAAATTTTAAACAGATTGACTTAAGCTGTGGACAGTGGTGTTGCTCAGCCAGGGCAAGTGTGGTGGCCACATTGTCAGTATTGAGTTCTTCACACAATTTTGATTCACATAACAATTTTAGCCGATCAAGATTATAGAGATCGGCAGCAGCCAAGAGATGCTGCACCATGACAGTATATGAGCACATGGGTATCGAGTCCATAACCTCATAGATGTCAGGAAGTTTGTCAGAGTAAATGAAGAGAAGCATTGCCTGGAGAAAATAGATTAAAGGGTATTCACATAATCAATCTGCTTAAGAAAAGAAAATGAAAGAATAACAACTTCAGACAAAAATTGTCAGTAAGCTTATAACATGATGAAGACTGTGATGCAGGAAGAATATCTTAAAGAACCAGCCACAAATCTCAAAGCATCAGAATGGAATGAGATGAGATCATAATTGACTTTGACATAAGCAGCTCTGATTTACGCTACAAAAGACAGGCAAACCAGTCATCTTAACATACAACATTCTCCAGAATACAAGGTTGCAATTTAAAAGACTCGTGTGAAGTTGTTTATGAAACAACTTATTTTGTTCCACCACAAAAAAACTATTTTGGTAAGATACACCCAGTTCAACTGACTGCTTTACAAACAAAAGCAAACACAAGTAGGTGACAGACCCTTAAACTGATCAATAAAAAATAATAAAAGATTGACTGTTCATTGTCACAAATGGGAGTAAGAATGAGCTCAATCATTTCACTGTTCAGATTCACAAACGGGAGACTGGCAGTAATTGATGTAGAAAACTACCTTGAAGATAAAGGGCTCAATATCCTCTACCACTACTTCCTCTAAGCTAGGATCCCCAACAAGTCCATAAAACTGCGCTCTAAACACTGGAGATCGGGCAGCAAGTATCAACTTGTGAGCTTTGAAACTTTCATTTTTGAGCTTGAAAACTATGTCACATCCAACCTCAGATTCCAACAGGTCCTTAAAATCTTGGCCCATGTCTGACTGTGGCACAATAACACCTTGTTTAGATCCCTCAAAACGAGTTTTGACAACACCAACAGTGCAATGCATGATGAGGCAATCATCCTTTAGATACTCTGAATTTTCCAATAGTGTTCTTCTGAAGAAACGCTTGTAACCCCTGAAACGAACACAGAAACATCAACTGCAGGAAACACCCACGACCGGAGACATCACACGACAACTTTCTGTCCACCAATATTTCTCCTTTTGAACATTATTCTCACACAAACATCATGTTGGATAGCACTTAATTCAAAATCCTAAACTTCAAATAAGCCATTCTTCCAAATTTACAATCATGTTGATAATAATGACAAAACAAAACCAAAGAACGATGAGAAGATTCAAGGTACCACAAGCGGCACAAGCCTTCAGCATCTAAGGACCACTCTCAAGGGGGTGATCAAATGTTAATTTGAGGGAAACACAGAGACCAGAGACAACAACCTTCTGCCAACCAGCCCAAAAAAAATAAAAAGCAAAATACTGATAACCAAAATCATAAAAACTATTGAATTATTTGGTCTTGGATTTCATTTATGAGAATGAATCAGCCCCACTCTGTGTACAGTTAGTCATTTTAGGAATTAAAGTGAGACACAAAAAGAGAGAGACATGATTCAAAGTTAATAATTCAGGAATAAACATAAGTAAATTGAGACACAAAAGAAGTGGTTGGAAGAGCCTATTTAGGCCTATGACTCCTATAAGCTCTCTTTAACATATTTCAATGACCCTCTTAGTAAAGCTTTTAAAAACAAATTCTTTCTGGCTCATTTCAATAAGTTTCATAATCAAATTTATACATAAACTATCTTACGTGTAAAAAGACTTAATTAGGGTATTTTTCCAAATTCACATTAAGTTGCCCCATGTCAAATATCGGTATATCACTCAATCAAAAACCCTAAACTCCAAATTTTCACAACATGCGCATTTTTAGACCCCCTCCCCCTCCCCCTCCCAAAGTCGAACCAGGCCACTGTTCCACCTCGAAAATTATGGTGATTCCAAAAATAATAGGAAATGGATGGTACCAACCACATGCTGCCTCTATACTTCAAGGTATAAGGTCCACTCTCAAGAGGGCGATCGAAATGGCTATGAACTTTATCATTACCCTTTTCACTCTGATCCACCAACGTCAACTTGAACAAAGCCCTAACATCAGTTCCATCGCTGGCAAGAGCTATGAAAACAGAAACATACATGGAATTATCCTCAGGGTTCTTGCCATCAGGGTAGAAATAGATAGCCCAATCGAAGCCACCAACGCTGAAGGTATCGCTCATGATGTACTTCCCCGCACCCATCCCTTTGGCCAAAGAATACCCCTTTATCGTGAATTGGTGCGACCCATTCATCGTCTCGCTAATTGATCGCGAGCACGACGACCCCTCCGAGAAGGGCTTGAAATCCCCCATCCGTTCCTCCAATTCGGTCATCGTAAACCCTAACGGGACATCGATGGGGCCAAAACCCTAATTCCCGAAATTGGGGTTCCGTTGAGGTCAGTGGTACCTAAGCGGAGCAAGGAAGATAGAATTGGAATTGAAGAAAGTAGCGCTACAAATAGAGATTTGAACAGAGAAGAGACGAGTGACGTTACGAAACTTTGTGTTACAGTTGAAGGTTTTAGAGAAGAGAAAAAAGAGAAAAAAAAAAGAGAACTTAATTTGAGATTAGAGAGAGAGAGAGAGAGAGAGAGAGAGAGAGAGAGAAGTAGTAACAAAGAATAACAATGGTTACCCATAACCACACCGTTGCTGTTATATTTATAGGATTGTATTTCTACTGCCACCGATAGCACCATGTGTTGTATCAAACACACTCTCCTCTTTCCCTTTTCACCCATTGAGGTTGCCTTGGTGTTTAAAAATCAGTCAATAGTCAAAATACATTTCTCCTACACCACAACTCTAAGTAAATCGGCCTAATGATTCCACAAAATTTTCATTTTTCCCTTCATCTACTGTTTCTTTTCTGAGTTTAATTTGTTTCTAAATATGAGAGGGTTTAGACAATAAAGTTTAATTATAATGTTAATTGTAAAGTCAATCATTCAGATTTTTAATTTTTATAACTTTTTCAATAATTTTTCTATGGCTTATTAAAATTAAGTAAATCTTATAATTAAATTAATTACACAAGTTAAAGTGAAGTAAAATTACATAATATATATTTAGTTAAATTGTTTATTCAAATATACCCTTATAAGGAACAAGGGGAAAAAATAAAACCTTTAATAGATTTGACTCTTACACAGTGAAAAAGCTTGAAAAAATAAAATTTTATTTGATATTGATTAAAATCATAATTTATCATAAAACTTGACTGACTTTAAATTAAAGAAAATATTAACACCAATTTTATAGTTGATTTTTAAAAAATATAAATGGTAATCTTTTAATAAAAATTATATCGAAAATATAAAGGTAAAATAATTACTTTTTAATACAATGTATTAGCTTAATATATTAAATCCATAACTTCTTGCTATGTGTGTGCTAATTATTGATTTTAATCAATAATTATGATATTATATCTTCACCTTCATTGCTTACTTAAAACACGTTTAGATGAAAGAAGTTAAGAAGAAAGTATTACTTTTGCATTACTTGGTTAGATGAAAATGCAGGACAAAAGAAAATGGAGGGGGCTAGGAGGATTCATATCCTCTCCAACGGCAGAATGGTTGAGCATGTATAAAGCATTCATAATATTTTTTTAATACCCATTCACTTTCTTTTTTATTAATCTTAACCATTTAAAATATAAACCAAATTCGAATGGGATGACGGTGAGGCGGCGGTTTTTTTTATTATTATTATTGTTCAAAAAGACATTATTTTTTATAACACAGAAAAAAACATTATAATAAGAAAATTAATTTTTTAAGTTAAATTTATATCTTTAATTAATATAAAAAGGTTTTCATATAATTTATCTAGTTTTTTTTATTCACCCAAAATTCTAAATAATTAAGTTATTCTCGTTAATGGATTTATTTAATTGTTGTCTTTTTACGATGGCAGGCAATTTGGCTTTTTTGTAAATATGCTATATTTGGCAGTTTAAGAGAGAATGATCTCCATCAAAGAGCTTCGCTGCAGTGCTAATCTGCAAGATTCTCATAACACGTATAAATGACTTTATTTTATTTATTGAGTAATCTATAAAACCATTGGTTCCATAATCCATTCACTCACAATAAACAGATACTGTTAAAAAAAAAAGGACAACCACCTAATATGTGAAGTACTGCAATTGTGTTTCATGGTGCATAGTCTCAAGTTTGCTTAAGCACCAAGCATTAAGCTAATTTATTTATTTTATTTATTAATGCTAATTCATGTCACATAAACTATTATCATTATCCATTATTTTAATGTGATGTTGTACAAATTAAAAAAAGAAAAAAGAAAACAGTGGGATCAGGTGCAAAACACGCACACATGCATGCTCAGTGTACCTGTTGATCTTAGTGTTGGTAATTGGTGAAGCATTTCAGAGAAAGGAAGGGTTTTGAGTCGTACCCTTCATTTGTGGATCGGTGAATTGAAGCATGAAATCCCCAACCAATGGCGATTTCTTCAGATCAACCCTCACACTCAAGATCGCCGCTTTCTTCTTCATCGCCGTCACGTTCTTCTACTTCGGCAAGCATTGGTCCGATGGGTACCAGCAACTCGTATTCTTCACCCAAGGCACCCACCCGGATCCGGATCCGAACCCGAGTGTGTCAACGTCCCCGAATTACAACAAATTCTTCAATGTCTCTGCTCTCATTGACCAGAACCTTCCACAGCCGGCGCCGGAAAAAATCCTAGCGCCACCGCCGGCGGAATCGATCGAGAAACTGGGGATCGTGAACGAGAATGGCACGATGTCCGATGAGTTCGAGGTGGGTGATTGGGTGAACGAGACTGAGATTGAGAAGTTGGGTGCTTCTTCTTCTTTTGATGACGATGATGATTTCAAATTCGTGATCAAGAGGTTTGGGTTGTGCCCGCGCAACATGAGCGAGTATATTCCGTGTTTGGATAACGAGGACGCGATTCGGAAGCTGCCTTCCACGGAGAAAGGGGAAAGGTTCGAGCGGCATTGCCCTGAACAAGGTCGAGGGTTGAATTGCTTGGTTCCTGCTCCCAATGGGTACCGTACCCCAATTCCATGGCCCAGAAGCCGAGATGAGGTCAAAATATTGCCTTTATTTTTATTTTATTTTTTTCTCTTTCAATTAAGCCAAATGGGTATAAATGGGTTCAATTAGTCGTTGAGATAGTAAGGGTGAGTGAAGAAATATCGTATTAGTTAAAAATGAGAAAGTTGAGCGATATAAGTGACAATTACGTCTTTTAAAGTTTTTGGTTGATTGTGGTATCTGGTTTACTTATTTGGTTTGTTCTTGACCCGAATATTTTACCGTATTTAAGTTTCCTCGTATGCTCCAACATTATTAGGGTATTTAGTTAGCTTCAGTTTTTGAAGGTTTTTTTTTTATGATAAAAGTTTTCTTTTTGTTTTAGCGTAGGTATGGTACAATAATGTGCCTCATACACGTCTGGTTGAAGATAAGGGAGGCCAAAACTGGATTTCCAGAGACAAAGATAAGTTTAAATTTCCAGGAGGTGGTACGCAGTTTATTCATGGGGCAAATGAATACTTGGACCATATTGCTAAGGTTATTATGTTGTATTTTTATATTTTGGTTTCACTTTTTTGTTGGGACATCTTATGGGAATCTGATGTTGAAATTTTTGGGTTTGTAGATGATTCCCGAAATTACATTTGGTCGGCATATACGAGTTGTTCTTGATGTGGGCTGTGGCGTTGCTAGTTTTGGGGCGTACTTACTGTCTCGGAATGTCATCACCATGTCTGTTGCTCCCAAAGACGTTCATGAGAATCAGATTCAGTTTGCTCTTGAGCGTGGGGTACCGGCCATGGCAGCCGCATTTGCAACTAGACGTTTGTTATATCCAAGTCAAGCTTTTGACTTGATACATTGTTCACGGTGTAGAATTAATTGGACTCGAGATGGTATGTGTTTTTCTCTCTTGTAGGATGTGCTATAGTTCTTGGTGATGATGAAGAGAAAAATGATGTGGAGAGGTCTATAGCAGCTAATCAACCAATAGAAAGTAGATAGAGAATGCATGTTGAAACTGACACTTTTCTTGCTAGCGATATGTAATGTCATTGTTTGTGCTATGATGCTTAAAACTGATTTATTGTGATGAAGATGGGATACTGCTGCTTGAAGTTAATAGGATGCTAAGAGCAGGAGGGTACTTTGTCTGGGCTGCACAGCCAGTTTATAAGCATGAGGAAGTTTTAGAAGAACAATGGGAAGGTATAGTTGAAATGAGTTTCCATTTAGATTTAATTTATTGAAGCTTTTAGCTATCGAGTAGTTGTGTACCTGTGTTTAAGGATCGCTCAATTTTGTACCTTTTGTATTGATATTAGCATTGTATGATATGGTGTAGACACCAAATTGTTTTACAACGATTTCCATCAGTGTCTTTGGCAGATAATTAGCATGCAATGTATTAATAATCAACCTGACTTTGACTTCTCTCAAGTCTCAACAAAATGTTTGTCATTCAAAGCAAAGTTTGATATTTTGCATGTTCCTGTCTAACGTTTCTTTATATTTCATTTGTCATTTTCTGTCCTTTTATGCTATTTTCATTGAACTGCCAATAAGTTACTGGGGATTGTCTTACTCATTATTTCTAAGAATGCTGATGAATGTAGCATTGAATTTTGTTATATCCAGAGATGCTTAATCTTACCACTCGACTGTGCTGGAAGTTTTTGAAAAAAGATGGGTACATTGCAGTATGGCAGAAACCTTCTGACAATAGCTGCTATCAAGACCGGGAAGCTGGAACTAAACCTCCCCTATGTGACCCAAGTGATGACCCGGACAATGTTTGGTATTGTGTTCGGGCCTTCCTTAACTTGCAATGATTAAATGCATATTTTTCAATTCATATGATTACTGTCAAAAGTGATGTGCAAAATTACTATCATTCTTATATTGTATGTGATAGAGCTCTCCAGGATAAAATCAGAGTAGAAAATAGGTGCATTTTGCCATTATGTAGGTTTAAACACCCTAAAGAAGTAGAATAGGATAGTTCCTTCCTTCATCAGTGTTAAAATGCTATAAACTTTGTTTTCCACCAAAAAGATAGCGAAACATAGTTACCATTCACATAAATTTGATGAAGCTTTAAACTGAAATCTAAACAAAGACTATGAAAATGACTATTAAATATCTTAACCATGATCAACCGTTAATTGAAGCCTTTATGTCATCAATTATTTTCAATCTATACTTTCTTCGAATAGTTAAAGCATTTTAGGTGGATTACTGAAGAGAAACGAAATGGGATAAGAAGGAAAAGGAAATTACACAGGTCTATTATAATGCAAAAATGGTTATTTCACTGTAAATGTGGTTTTTATCCATTAAAGGTTATATTACCTCATAATAAAATGTGGAATTCTGCAAAATACTGAGGAAGCAAAAGAGTTGTCTGCCTGCGCTGATCCCTAGTTATATGTGTCTATTTTCATTTTCTAACTGCAATATTGTAGAATACTTTTTTCTGGTTACACACTTGAAAACTATGCTGCTCATGCAAAAGTTATATCAATAATTTTGGGCGATGCCTGATGAGTTATGATTGTTTTTCAATTCCATGCATCTTAGTGTTATTATTAAAATGAAATGGCTCATTATTGGTGATTTCATTAATTACTTGATTAATCTAGGTATGTTAATCTAAAAGCATGCATCTCTGAATTGCCTAAGAATGGATATGGAGCAAATGTTACTGAATGGCCTGCACGTTTGCAAACCCCACCTGATAGGCTTCAAAGCATAAAACTTGATGCTTTCATATCCCGAAAAGAGCTCTTTAAAGCAGAATCAAGATACTGGAATGATATTATAGCAAGCTATGTCCGTGCCTTACACTGGAACAAGATGCGATTAAGAAATGCTATGGACATGCGAGCAGGATTTGGAGGGTATTATTTGTCTTACTTTCTTGTCATGATTTTACATTTGAGACTCTTCCCCATGAAAAATATCAATATATTTCAGTGTTTTACAGATTTGCGGCAGCTTTGATTGATAAGAATCTTGACAGCTGGGTTATGAATGTTGTTCCTGTTAGTGGCCCAAACACCTTGCCTGTTATATATGACCGCGGACTGATTGGAGTGATGCATGACTGGTATTTCACTAAGCTTATTTAAGATATACAAGTGTTCTCAATGTTGTAGTAATATTTAATGATTGATGAAATAGGTGTGAGCCATTTGACACCTACCCAAGAACATATGATTTACTGCATGCAGCAAACCTGCTTTCTGTTGAGAGGAAAAGGTACACATTTCTCCACTTGTCAGCACTTTTATTTCTTTCCCATTTATTATTGTATTTTTGCAAATAAAAAAAAAAAAGAGTATTGCATTGTGGTTTGGATGTTAGCCTTTCTCATTTCTCAAGCTAAGTTATCTGTTTTGCATATCCAATCTGCTATCCTTATTAGCCTTTTATATTCTACTTCAAATAAGCATCCATTACTGCTAATTTTAAGGCTGTTGTGCTCTAGGAATCTACCATCTTAACATTCATGCATCGCAAAACAACTCATATTTGCAATTTCATGTTGTTGTTCATTCATAGCATGCATCAACATTGCACTATTCATCCAGAGCATGCATTATGACTCTATCAGTGCTTAACTGGATATTGCAAATAAAAATCATGTTATATGATGTCTATTCTTTACTATCTGTTGCATTTCTCTCCATCAGATGCAACGTCTCATCAATTATGCTTGAGATGGATCGGATACTAAGACCTGGTGGACGTGTATACATACGTGACTCTCTCGCCATCATGGATGAACTTCAAGAGATTGCCAAGGCAATAGGCTGGCAAGTGATGTTGAGAGACACAGCTGAGGGTCCTCATGCAAGTTATAGGATATTGGTTTGTGATAAGCATCTGCTACGCACTTGAATCAATGGAGGTATACCACATGATTTTTATTATGACCCTCCAAGTGGGAAGCCAACAGAGCATGGGAATTATGTCATTTGAGAAGTGCAGGAAGATGCAAGTGCAAGTACTACTTCCATACAAATGTCAAGAGCGGATCAGCATTTGTAAAATTCAAGTGCATCATCTAAATTGTAAAATTTAATTTATTTGTATATTCCAAAGTTTTAGTTCTAGTTCTAGTTGATTCAAATATTTTTTAGTACCTATAAATATAAGCATTTTCATTGTTGATCTATGTAAATTCTTTGGTCAGTTTGTATCTCTCATTTCATAAAAGTTCCTTTTGCAACCAAACTAGCTCACTTTTATTACTGAGGGATACAAATCAACCAAAAAATTTATAGCAATCAAAATCAGAAATACTTATATTTATATTAGGACTAAAAGGACAATTAAGTCATTCTACGTTGAATATATGTTATATTGAATGAGGTACTCCAAATATAACATTTCCTTTTATTTTTATCACTCTCCAAGTACACTTGTATGTACCGGATGTTCAGTCTAACCGTAGTTATGATCCATGATCATTATTAACTAAGTGCCTGTTTAGATTATCAGTGAGAAAATGGAGAATGCTAAGATCTGTGGTCAAAATTAATTCATGCCCATTTTACGATGTACATCTGGCAGAAGTTTAAGAAAAAAACTTGTTTCAAGAATTGTGTTTGCAAATAAACCGATCACAAAAAAATTTGACCGTTTTGACTAGATTGGTAAAAGTTGGATGGTGTCACATTCTCGAAGTTTATTATATATTTTTTCCCTCTGGCAGTTTCATTATTATTTTAACATTTATTTTATAGTTTTTAAAATTATTAATCAATTTTAAATTTCTCTTTTACATCAATAGTAGTTTGGGTCCTTGAAAGATTAAGGGGTAGTTAACCTCTTAAAGACAAATTGCTCAGAGAGAAATTATAACTAATAGAAATACTAATGTGGCATGTTATGTTAAGTGTTAGATATAATGTGTGAAAGTTGTTTTTTCTTTCCCTCCAAAACTAGGAACAATATTTTGTTTCCTAAACATGATTGTCTGCTTTCAAAAACTCACTTGTCACATTAATGTTTGAAACCACACCTCTGCCAAACACACTCCTTAATTGATAATTTTATTCTCTCACATAAATTGTCAGGGAAAGTGTGCAACCTCCATTCAGCATGACATCCATGTCATCTTTGAACTCATAGCCTCCACCTCTACCAATGCATTGCATGAACCTCTAAATATTAATTGTATTGAGATAAATGAGAATATTAATTGTATTTTTTTTATACATGTCTCATCACTTTAAACTACAAATTAAAGGAGTTAATACTGTAATAAAAAGTATAAATTATATGTTATTAAATATTTTAATTATCTTAACTTGTAAGTATTAAATTATTTTTACTTTTTGAGAAAAGAAATATAAATTTGGATTTATTTTGTAACAAATAAATAAACTTTTTTAACTTTGGCTTTTAAGAACTGATGTTAATGACATACAATACATTCTAATATTTGTTTTTAATTACTTGAAAAATATCAAATTATTTTATATTTTAATTTTCTCAACATTAGTTCCAATAGTTGATATTAACAATATCAATAAATAAATTGATTGGTTCAGCGAAGAACCATTTTCCATGAATGTTTAAAAGGCAGGAATCTCATGGAACCTTTTTCCCCGCTACCAAATCCAATGAATGAAAAAGGGCTTGCCAATCTCAAATGTCTTTAGAAAAAAGGCCAGTATAAAACCTTAATGTTAATAATTTTAAAATAAATTTTATTGTTTCTTATTTTTATAGTTTTATTAACTTTTAAACATCTATAAATAAAAATATTTTATAAAAAATTGTGCATATTTATTACATTAAAATTATAAAAATACTATAAATATTTCGTTTAGCTAAAATTAACATTTTTAATTTTTTTATAAATACATTTTACAAAAACTACTTTGATTTGAAGCACAATCAATCTCTTCCGGTAAAAATTTATATTAAAATGCAACATTTTACTAGATAGTAATTCTTTTTTACTTTTTTAAAAAATGGTGATTGTAATAACTAATAACTTTTTTTTTAATAATATACTGTGCAATGCACAAATATTTTTAATTACAAATAAATATTATAAATAAAATAATGTTAAAAAATAGATATTTTATCATTAATAATATATATTTTATTCAATAAAAATTAAAAGAATAAACTTTTACATTTAATATGAAATAATGTTAAAAATTAAAATTAATTAACTTTAAATATTATTATCTTTAATATTTTTGTAGGAAACTTTTTAAAAGCTTTAGTAACTTTTATTCTTTACTATAAGATATTTTTTAATTTTTATGAAATATTTTTTAATTTTTTATTTATCTTTGATGAAATTTAATGAAAAACTTAAATTAAAACCCATAAGACTAAAAATTAACTGACTTTAATTATTTTTATTATTTAATATAATTTAATTAAATGTGTTTTATAAAAATAATATTATACAATTTGTTTAATTTCAACTTTAAAAATTAAGCTTAAGTATTTAAAAATAGTAAAAAAAATTTATTATATTAGAGATAAAAAATTTAATAAATATATTTTAATAAAATTTATTATAATTAATTGTTCTAAGTTCAATTTTTAAGATTAAGTTGACAGCTTTTGATAAAATGTCCCTTGTCTTAAAAAGAGGTTAATTGCTTTTAATTAGAAAAGGAAAAAAAAAAAGTTGATTGCTTGGAAATGTCAAAGTAGAAAACCCCTCTTCCCAAGTATACTCAAATTCAGGCACCCACTGCTGCTTCCCAGTCACCCACTCCCAAGTTGCTTCCTTTCTTGTATATAAACAAAGCCAACTCAGTTTCTGCAATCAATTCTCTCCCCCAGAGCACCTTCAAATCTGAAGGACCCAATGCTTTTTCTTGATTGTGCGTTTTTTTCATTCTCTTTCTTTTCTGCATTCCTCTCTGTTTTTATTTTTATTTTTATTTAAATGGGTATTCAATTAATTGATTGCTTTGTACTCTCGCTGGTTTCTATTGAGTCATGGATTTGAGTTGTTGAATTGGACAATGGAAAATTGTGAATCAATTTTGTGAAATTTCTACTCATGTTTTTTTGCTTGGTTTGAATTTGAGTTAGATGGTGCTTTCTTATGGATAGCTAGTTGTGCTTGTTTCTCATGCTTGAGTTAAGGCACAGAACAAAGCCAAAAGAACCTATGAATTGTTTATCTTTTAAACATCCTACGTCTGGATATCTTCTGGCTTTAGTATCATGATAGAAACTGAAAAGGTTTGATTTTGAAGGAGATTTATGAACTATCCATTAAGAAAATGATTTTGATTTGTCTGTGATAAAATCATTAGCTTCTAGATGCTGAAGGCCTTGTATGTTATCACTTTACTTATACTTGTGGTGGCACTTGTGTTTATATTTAGTTAGCTGAATGGAATGGATCCATATAATGCAGTCTTTAACTTTATGAATGATTATATCAGGTCAGGGATGCTGCTCCAAGACTTTCAATGGATTTGGTGTGTGTTTTCAAAGGCCTATGCTCATAGATTGTGATCCTCATGTCCTCATTTTTTCCATTTAGTGCTGCAAACCATTACAAGAAGATCGGGAGATACGATACTGTTTGCAATTATTAATTGTATGCGAAGTGTTGTTGAATCTGTGGAAGCCTGAGAGTCATTGAGGAACAAAAATGAATACACGTAGTATGTTGGATATTGTTTTAAGTGATATACTTCAGGTGGTCACTCCCTTACAAGAAGATTGGGAGATACGGTTTGCAATTATTAATGATCTGCGAAGTGTTATTGAATCTGTGGAAAGCCTGAGAGGTAACATTTCTACAAGTTTTGCTTCTGCACCTCTTCCCCCCCCCAAAAAAAAAATAGTTGATAAGGTTTCTCCTTTATTCAATTATAATTTCTACTATCTCTAAACATATTTGCTGAAATCATTTTACCCAATGTAGCTTGTTCTAAACCAACTGAAGGCATGATTTCTGTGTATGGTAAATGTTTTTGTTAGCATTAGTTCTTCCAATGCATATAATTGAATATATGAAATTCTTTAACTACTTTACTGTATCTCACTGTTGTGAACCAGCAAAAGGGCAGACCTATGTTGTTGGGATTAGCACATGGAAAGGCCTCCCAAGTTTTTTCAAAGTCTTATTCTTTTTGTGCATATAATTGTCCCAATTCACTAGTTTAATTTTTTTCTTAAATGCCCCTAATAATATATATTTATCCCCTCCAGAAATTATCTCCAACTTTTCCTCTGCTTAGCAAGCCAGAGCCTTGAGTGCTTACATCTTCTTATGGAGAAAGGTTTTTAAATTTAAATTTAATTGATTGAGTCCTTGTTATTGTTTTTGCTTAAAAAATTTCAATTTATTAATGTTAAAAATGAGCAAAAATTTTCTATTTTTTGAGATTACCTAAGTTGAAGATTTGCCTTACCCTTCAAACATATCACCTATCCTTGTTATCACATTTATTTTCACTTTATAGTAATTAAATATTTAATTGTGTTTCAAGATATCTTAAGGTTCTGTCTAAATTGTTTTGTTCTCATCCGAAGAGAAAATAAAAGATGCTAACTGGTGGGGCATTTGAAGTCATATCTCATAAGATGATTCAGGCTCCTGTATCTCATAGAAATAAGTTGATGTATATTTCATCCAGTTATGAAATGTAAGTATTTAAAGTTGTTTTTTTACTCCATTTTTGGATTAGGAGCAACTGTTGAGCCATTTGGGTCATTTGTATCTAATCTCTTCACACGATGGGGTGACTTGGATATTTCAATTGAGTTATCAAATGGTTTGCATATTTCATCTGCTGGGAAAAAGCAAAAACAAACTTTATTGGGGGATATTTTAAAAGCTCTGAAAATGAAAGGTAAATTTCTTATACTTGAAGCTTCTATCACTTGGAAGTTAGTACAAAAACTTTGTATTTGTTAATCATGTAGCATATTCATTTCTCTTCCAGTTTGACAATTTTTTTCTCTTCATCTTCCCACAGATTAAGCAATAGGATGTAAAGCTTGGTTGACTTTTTTTTCCCCCATTGAAGTGAAAGTAAAGAAACAATTTAGTATAACAAATATCTGTGCAAGAATTTGTAGTGTGGGGTTCAATCCACTGTATAGTCATCATATGATTATTAATATCTATAATCTCCTAAATTTATATGTACCAACTCGGTTACCACATATATTATTCAGTTATTTTAGCGAGCATTTTTGGTGATCTTGTATGCGGTACAAATTTTATATTATACAAATATAACTGAAATTGGTAGTATAATGTAGTTACATGACTACTGTTGAAGATTAGATCATGAGGAGATGACTTCTTCAAAATTCTGATTGGATTGATGCCACAGAAATGTCTTCTCTATTGGCTTGCTTTAAACCAGAACAAAAAGTTATGCTGCAGGAAAAGGATAAAAAAGTGTGAATGATCTTATATGGTCAAGTTGCTTTACAGTATCCATTTTTAAATTTAAGATCCAGTCATGCTAGATAGCATGATAATTTCATATATTATTAGACCGTGGGATTACTTATTGAGCCAATCAATCCAATAATTAATTTTATCACTGGACATCAACTTTAGCACTGATTATCAGAGGTTTAATTTATTTGATTAAATTTTTGCTTTAGATTTGAGAGTTCCATTAATAGTGTTTATTAAACTTATCGTAGCTTTCTTTGTACTTGAAAGTTTTAATAACCATCATTAGCAAAAAGAAATTTATGAAATTTACAAGTTTATTTAGTGTGTCCTAATACATTCTGTAATGCCATTAATTTGCAGGTGGAGGGAGCAACTTGCAGTTCATCTCCAATGCACGAGTTCCCATTTTAAAATTTAAAAGCAACCGGCAGGGTATATCTTGTGATATTTCAATCAATAATCTTCCGGGCCAAATGAAATCAAAGATTTTGCTTTGGATCAACAGGATAGATGGCCGCTTTCATGATATGGTTTTACTGGTACATTCTTTAGGCTAAAGAAGGGTTGCTGTGCTAGCAATTGCTTCTGTTTTATTCATTCTTTCTAGTTTGTGTAGGTCAAGGAATGGGCCAAAGCACATAAAATCAATAACTCTAAAGCTGGAACTTTCAACTCCTATTCCCTCAGTTTACTTGTAATCTTTCACTTTCAGGTATTTCTCCTTTTTCATATTTCTTTTATGTGGTGTTATTTTTCTTCTCCTTTTTTTGGCCTTTTGATTTTTATTCTTTGGTGGTGCTTTAACCAATTCTAGCAAAAAATTTATTGATTCTGCTTATAAGTCATCTCATCTATGTTATTTATTTTGGTTTGTTTTTTTGCTGGAATCTCATGTGCATTTTCTTTGTACTTCTTTTTTCTTCTTTCTACATGAACTATAACTTCAACCATTTGGTGGCACCTTCAGTCTCTGTCTTGAAAAAATACTAGGTGCTCTGTTCAGTTTAAAGATTTGTCACCAGGCTAGGGCTTGTTTGGTTTGAGAAAATGTTTTTTCTTTGTTTCCTTCTTTCATAAATAATTGCAAAAAATGTCACCTTATCTTCACTTTATTCTTTATTTCTATAGGAAATGGTACTTTTTTTATTGTACAAATATTTGAAAACAAGAATCAAAGTGAAGTGACCGATTTATAATTATTTTTTCAGAACAAAAAATGTTCTCTCAAACCAAAGAAGTCCTAAAATAGTAGGCACCTCTACTATAATATGTTTTAACAGTTAGTTGTCTTCTCTCCAAAAATAATATTTGGATATTTGTCCTCTCTTAATGGGATAAGACTTGATTGTTACTGTTATTGTATTCCTCCTCTGATGTACACAATATTTCCCTTCATTTTCAGACGTGTGTTCCTGCAATTTTACCACCACTTAAAGATATATACCCTGGCAATATGGTTGATGATCTTAGAGGTACATTTAATCTTTCATTTTACCACCACTTAATTATTTGCCCTTTGACTATCCTTTTCCCTTTGATCTCCCTCGAGGCTTCTCTACTTGCTCTAAATATGGGTCGAGGGAAAAGTCCAAAACTTGTTCAACATGATTGCCAAGCTGCTCCTTTGCTATTTTTTTTTTTTTATTGAATTTAAGTGTTTGGAATGTTTGAATTTGTCTCTCTCTTCAATAGCAATAGCATGTGAATTAGAATTGTCAACCTACATGCACACATTAGAAAAGCCAGATCCACCTTTTGCATTGTCATATTACCTATCTAATAGTTATGTAACCTTGATGTAATTTATGCAGGTGTCAGAGCTGACGCAGAAAATCTTATTGCAGAAACATGTGATGCTAATATAAATCAGTTCATATCAGTCAAGTCAAGGCCAATTAACAGAAAATCTTTGCCTGAACTTTTTGTTGAATTCCTAAGAAAGGTAAATCATTCTTATCATGATTTTATACTCTTAGTTGGAAATAGTAGAAAACATTTTGTATGCTCTCTCCATTGAACATCCGGTATTTTTGTGCGCACTTGATCATAACAATTCATAGCTGATAATTTTATGACTACATGTCTTCTTTTTTTTTCCCCTAGTTTTGGTAATACCTTACCAGTGAGAATGTTGTAGTGATGGAAGTCATGTATTTTTAATGAAAAGGCTAACATCTTATATGAATTTATTTTTGAGGTTCTTTTTGGCAATGAATTTTCTCAATCTATAGCATTGCCCTCCAGGCATTATTTACGTACAATAATGATTACATCATGTTGTATGTTCCTGCAGTTTGCTCAGATGGTTTCATGGGCCTCAGAGCTGGGACTTTCCCCACATACTGGACAATGGGAGCAGATAAAGAACAACATGAGATGGTTACCCAAGACTTATGCAATATTCGTAATACCCTACTCACTTCAACAATACATTCCTCTCTACTTTTGGGTGGCATTATTGTTGTTTTTGGAAGGGCTATTTTTAGTTATTGCCACAACAATGCATTGATTCCTTTTGGGCTTTCCTACCTCTGGACAAATACTAGATTCTTTCATACATATTCTCTTGCTCTGATATTGATATATACATCTTACTTTTGGTTGGTTTAGGTAGAGGATCCTTTTGAGCAGCCACAAAATACTGCCAGATCTGTCAGCACAGGACAAATGAAAAAGATAACTGAGGCATTTTTAAGGACATACAGCTTACTTACCTCAAAAAATCAAAATCAAGTTTCACTTTTGACCAACTTAGCTTCACCACAAGTATCAAGATTTAACACAAAACCTGTTGTTATCCGAAATTACAGTGGCAGTTACTTTCCCCCAACCCAGCCACAAGTGCAGAGAGTTATTCGCCCACGATTACAGTCACGTCATTTTCAAAATGCCAATAATCAAGAAACAAGCTCCAACAGTTCATCTTCAAAAGGACATGTACAGGTGCATAAAGGCCATCAGATGTGGAGGCCAAAGATTCAAAAGCAAACTCTATTACCCTAAAAACATCATCATGGTTTTAGTTGTCAACAGGTTTTAAGTTTTAACTGTTGCCTTCGCCCTTTTAGTTTGCTTGTTAACACAAGTGATTGGAAGAATGGGATTTTGATTTTTTTGTGCCTCCGGGGATCAAAAAGTGATTAACCCGTATGGACATTACATTGAAATGTAACAACTCTTCTGTACTTACGGTAATATTTGGAGCATGCAAGAGTTTGCAGTGTGAAACTTTGCATATGAAATAAATTATTGATTTGCTTGTTTATCAAGTCTTATTATAGTAGCATTAGTAACCAACAAATATTAACAAGAAAAATAAAGAGGATGAGAACTCTCTTTTGAATGCATCTTTTGTTATTAGGTGAATTTATGGGCTCAAACACTAAACAATTTGAGTCCACTGAGACTAACGTGAAATTAATTTAATAATAGTGTTATAAGGGTATCAAGAAGTGTGAAAATTTCATCCCATCCCCATCCTTACAGGGATTATCCCATGGAGTTTCCCATCTACTGGTGAAAATTGTGATCCCTATCAAGAAGTATTTTTATCTTTGTTCTAAAAGCTTCAAATTATTAGATGCTAATTTTGTATTGGATTGGTGATCATTCTGCCCACTAGATACGTGAATATTAAAGGGGCTATTATATTTGTTTATATTTTGCCAGCACTAAAGGTTAGTATCATAAACTTTCACGCGAAAAGAGTACGAAAGAACGTGTTTGTATTATATTGGATGAAAATATTAAATTTAAAAAATATAAGGGATGAGATGGGAATCACAGCTCTGCATCCGTATAAAGTTTAGTCCTTACCACAAAGCAATTTCCATTTTTTTTTAAAACAAGAAATTACAATTTTATTTTTTGTCTATAAGAAATTATTTTTCTTTTCGGTCAACGATGTTATAGAGAACATAGTTAAGCATGTGCCCATAAAATTTTCATGAATAAATTAAATGTATAAACATATAATTAAAAAAAAAATTGATACTTCATTACTTCACTTTATTTTAATACATGATATGTTAATTAAAATATAAGGTAACTTATATATTATTAGATTAGATTACTTATCTATAATTGTCTAAATTATCTAAAATTTTGTGTACATAATCATTAGAAAAATACCATGTTATATATGATTTGAATCAATAAAGTTTAACATTTGTAATACATCCATATATATATATATATATATATATATATATATATATATATATGAGTTTGCCAAATTTGATACCATTTGTTTATTAATTAATGAATAGATTTGACAGTGAAACGATTAATCAGTAGGGGATCAGGTATACATAGGATTTGCCTCCACTTTGTCTTTGACTTGCATCCTGCCAGAATCTGATACTCCCAACTAAATATGGGTCATCAAATGTTTTTTGTTTATTAATTATCTAATGATGTATGGATTGTTTTTCAGGTTTCGATCGTTAATCTCAAGAAGCCTATTGCGTGTGACATTATTATTCGTTGTGGATATTATTCAGAAAATCTTAAAAGTGGAGTATTCAGGGTCAACCTTAGCATATAATATGAGCCCCCAACAAATTTTTAGATTAGTGGTTGAATTTGTAACAGCATGCTTCGGGGAATAATAAAAACTTATCCACTGGTTTTGCCTTCCCTAATTTATTTCTTTTGAATCTTTTCAATGTTTAAAATCGTGTACATTTTTCTTCTAATAACAACATGTGGACACTGGCAATTTTTTATTAAAATATTTTGTTTGTTTTACAGTATCAGATTCTTGTCAATTTCCCCACACTTACATATTTTGTTAATGTTTGCCTCTTTTTTTCCCTCTCCATTGATTCGTTGATTGGGACGTATCGCAGTAGTAAACTGCTGAAGAAAACTATAAAGCATTGTAATTGATTATGCACCAAAGTTCGGATAGGATAACATTATTTGTAGCTTACGTCTTATCCGATTTTGATTTCCACAATTTTGCAATCACATATGCATAATGGCTCCATTTTAGTTGGAGTGGCAATGGCATCACTTGCTGAAAATTTTCAATAAATAATACAGATTAATTTACAGAACTGCCGTAAAATATTTATATCATTTTATAGACCGAGTAAATGTGTTTTTTAATTCGATCTGATCAAGATTAATGTAAGTTAATCCCTTAAAATCTCATAAAAATTTGAACTTTATATACTTTAAGCAGTATTTTTATAGGCTGGAATTGAATTCAACTATTTTTATCTGTTTCAATAAAGTCTACTGCCCATGATCAATTGACCCAAATGGGTCGAGTAAATCATTTTATGTCTTTTCTGTAGTATTCTCTGTATTATCCTTTCTAATGGAAAATGGAGTAAATCAAAAGCTGAATTGGCTAATGGCTGAACTATTGAACTGTGAATTCGTGGATTGGATTGACTAACACTGATAAACGATTTAAAAATATCTCTCAGCTAGAACATTTTGGGTGGCAACCTACTAAGAACGAGTTTGTTTAGTTCTTTGCCAGCCTCTTATAGTGCTTCAAACGTTTATATCCCTCATATCTACATTATTTCCAAGTAGTAGTTGCAGCATCATAAGCACCATATAACAATTTGTCAAAATGTTGATTATTGCAAGGCATCACGTAAGCCATTGAGCTTTGACCATATCACGAAAGTTTCATAACACCAAAGCTAATTTCCAAATTAGGTAAGCTAATCATTTTTAAAAAGTGTTAATGATTATTTATTAGTTTAAGGACAAATTCAATGTTTTCCCTGGAAATAATTAGTGTAGAAAGAAGAAATTTGATTCCTAGATGTAAATAGTCATGGCCCAACCAAAAGGGTTAGCGCAAGCAATCAGCATCAAATCCAAGCAAATCTTGTCCAGCTAAGAGATGGTGACACAAAAAAAAAAGGATCAAATGCTACGTGTTAATATTTGATTAAATATGTAAGTGAGCCCCACATGTCTAGTTTATTTTTGGAATTTGCTTGAAAAATGGTGCAATATAGCAACAACCAAAACCCAAATATCTTTTCCCTTTCTTTCTCTTTAAGAATTGTGTTACCTTTTAATAGAAAAGTATCAATAAATATAAGATAATATTAAAATGTTTGAATATAAAATAGTAAAAATGCAATATCACTCTCAAGAGTGACAACCAATATTAATTTGGTTCTTAAAAGTTTATGTTTACATAATTTAATCTTCAAATTTGTCAACTTGATGACAATTTAGTTGCTGATTTCATCTTGTATCTATCAATTTCATGTAATTTAGAATCCCAAATATGTTCATTTGACGATTTTTTTCTAAATTTAGTTAATTATGTTAGAGAGACTAATTTATTATGGAGTTTATAAATTCAAGGATTAATTTATGTATACAACTTTTTTCAAAAAAACTAAAGCAAAACATGTTAGTCACCTTAGAAGGTGAAATTGAATGATTACTTGGTATAAAATTGAATGATAAATAAAATAGAACTAAATGTAAAATAATATTGTTAACTTTTTAATTATTTCAAGTCTTGATTTATTGATGTGTTTCTTCTATTGCATAATTCATATTTCATATGAGGAAAAAGAAATACAGGAATATAAATACATAGAGGAAGAACATTTATCCATCAATTGGGTCCCAAATAAAGGGCACTGTCATCAAATTACAGCTATTGTCGATTTTGATATGTGACACCTGTGGTCTGGAACTTATTGCTACCCATCACGGTTTCCCATTATATAGTACTGTTTTTCTATAATGGAAATTATAGCATTTCCTTTTATTACAATAGTAATGATAACATCTGATAGTATATATTAATTAATTTTTTCTTTTATCTGTCTATATATAGAATTTTTATTTTAAAATAACATTAAGAATTGTTTTAAATTATTTTTTTATCTTTATTTAATTCTTAAATATTTTACACATTTATTATAAGTAAGAAAAAATTAATCATAAACATATTTAGAAGTTATAAGTAACGTTATATAGAGAATGACATTAATTGTACTTCTTAATTGATATGTTGTTTTTTAAAATAAAAAAAAGGCAAAGTTAACAAAAAAAAAGAAACTGATATTTAATAATGAAAAATCACGTTTCCACACCCACAAAAAACTGTATAGATGTGCCAGAGAAGCATGGGATAAAAAAAAATAACAAATAGTGTAATAAAGAAAGAAAAAAAAATGAAACAAGTTAAAAGGAAATATAAAGAAGTGACTGTTGTTTGATGAATAATAATTAATAATTTAAGTTAGGACAATGGTGCTTTGTTTACTTTATTTTTATTTACTAATAATCATAAAAAAAAAATATTTTTAATTTTTTAATTTTAATTTTTATAAATAAATCAGTAAAAATATTGATTTTAGGAACATAAAAAATTAATTAATAAAGTATATCAAATAAACTAATTAAAATTCTTTTAAATTTCATCTTAGTAAGTAAAATTAAAATTAGTGATTGAGTAACTTTTGTAATGGATGTATTTAAAGAAATTAGTAGATAAATTAATTGAAATTTGATATAATATATGAAATTCAAATTTAGTTCTGTTTAAACAAAAATTAGACAGTCTAGTTAAGTAAAATTTTGCATTCTCACTTAAATAAAAAAATTTTACTTAAGCAAAAGTGTAAAATACATTAACTGCACGATCTAATTACGAGGCTGAATTTGCATCCTAATATACGGTGAAAACTTGATAAAGTAATGGAATAAATTAAAAGTGTTACATAAAAATAATTGTTGAATTAATTAATAATTATAAATGACATAAAAATATATATTTAATTATTTTATCATAATTAAAACTTTGATAATTATATATATACATATATATATATATATAAGCAATCACTATTTTTTATATATTAATCATTTTTAATAATTTATCATCTTAAAACTAGGATAACAAAAAAATTTATCCTATTTTCATTTAAATATGTTTATGAACTGAAATTAAATGATATATATGATTTATATTATAATTTTGATTATTTTATATTATTAAAGAATGGTATTTAATGAGAGTGAAAGAAAATTATAATGAGAAATATAATACAATAGTAAAGATAAAAATGAGGGAAAAAAGTAAAAGTTTTAAGCTCACACACTACATAAAATAGTTTTAAAAATTATATATATATATAACTATTTGAGCTTGAAGGAGAGGGGGGGGGGGGGGGGGGATTTATAAAGGACAGTCCCATCCCATTATCCTTAATGTCACATTTGAAAAATATTGATTCCCATATAAAAATATTTTACATGTATGTTACAAAATATCTTAATTTATGGAATCAAACGAATGAAAACAGTGTTATAACATTCCCTAAAATTAAGATAAGGATCGGAGCTTGAAAGAAATAAAGTTACCAAAGGTGTATATATTAGTGCATTTGTATATGTGACTTTTTTTTTTATTTTGATTAAAGTATGCTCGTTGATGTTGCTATGAGAGTAATCATTGTTGTCACTGGTTCTACAAGGTTCAAATTTTAATCATATTTCTGAGATGCAATTGCCTTTGTACCTTGTTCAATTTCCTTCTTAACATTATAACTCGATGAAATCTAAAAAATCACACTTACCCACACACACAATTCCTTTCCTTTCATTAGAAGAAATAAAAAATCACACATTGTATGTTTAAATAAAAGAAAATAAATGTATTTCTGTAGACACAGTGAAAAATTGAAAATCATGTTCATTAAATATTTTTAAATGGCAAAACATATATGAAATCTTTACTATTTATGTTACTAATATTTTAGATCTATCAAATGATAGATTATGATAGAATTTTATATCAATTGAGATCAATTGAAAAAAATAAATGGACAGATGTTTTAGTAAATTGCAAACTATCTTTTTTATCAAACAATTATACCAACTTATTTATAAAAAAAAAAAAAAAAACTACACTGTTAAAATATATTATAACCTTATGTGACTGACAGACATATTGAATGAACTAGTAAATCATTACACACCAAAGGCAAAGAGCATAAGAATTTAGGCCATTGTATTGGAGGACTAGTGTAATCTTACTAGGGATGGATGATTAAAAAAGAATTATGAAACCAAAGCAAAATCCAATTTATAGATTTGATTATGGACAAAAGAAAAGGAGTGTCAACCGGATGATTGATTCCTTTGTTGACACAAATTTTCCCTAGAGTAAAATTTTCCTATAATTTCTTCATTTCTCAAAGTTACAACTCATTTTTTTCACCTAAAATATCCCATTACATTACAATTACTAATCCCCATTCATCAAGTAAAAGCCACGCCCCTCCCCTCCATTCATTCTCCACCTCCTTAAAAACGGATTAGGGTTAAAGGGCATTCTTTAATATCATTCCGTTAAATTCAATTAACGTCTTTGGAATTTGACGATTGTCGTTGATCCCTCCTCAAATCAACCACCACCACGCTCACATTATCCGAACTATGCCTCGCTAAGGCCAACTTCGTCAACAGAATCGACGCATCCGAGCAAGCCCGGTCCGAACCGTCTGCTGCCACATCACTACCAGGAGACCCAGGTGGCGACGGTGGCTTCTGCGCCTTCAGGCACATCCTCACCACCCCACACGCGGTGTCGTTTGACACAACATCCCACAACCCATCACTCGCCAGTATCAAACACTCATCCTCGTCCGTTCGTTCCTTTACCGTGACCTCCGGTTCCGAAATCACGTATGGCTTCAGATAATTGTCACCTGAATACATGGAGACAACACACACGAACTTTTAAAATTACATAACAGATAAAACAAACTGGCTTTAGCTAAAATGCCGTATGTGACTAAATAGCTCAACCCTTTATTGTGCACACTCATTCACTCACTCACCTATGGCTCGTGACATAGCCAACACTCCAAGCACTCTGGGCCCATCCCAATAAATCACGCGCCCTCCCGCAGCTTGAACCCGAAGCAATTCGTCGGGTCGGTCGGGCTGCAAAAAAAGGATCCAAAAACGGTTACAAAAACTTGTTTGTTTCTTGGGAAAGGAAACGAGAGAAAAGAGAGACAGAGACTCACCTTGTGATCGGAGGAGAGCGGGATGGCAACGCCGTTGCGGCAGAGAACTGCGCGTGAATCGCCGCAATTGGAGACAACAAGCTTGTCCGGCGTGACGATAGCAACAACGGCGGTGGATCCGACAGCGTCGCAGTGAGGAGTTTGAAGCTCGCACCTGCAAGTGAAGGTCTGGTTGGTCTGACTCCAACTCTGAACCTCGTCGTCCATGCGAGCGAAACTGTGTTCCAAGGTGGATTTCCAGTCTAAATTCTCTGGGGCCGTGTTAATCTGCTCATTCACAATCTCGTGTAGGCGCTCCTTACACATGGTCGCAACCTGTAGAAACCAAACGAACACCAACACTAAGAATCACAAGCAGAACTAGAACAACCAGATCCATTACTACTAAGCAGAATACGAACGTGAGAGCAACCGTGACCGTCGAAAACACCGAAGTAGTGAATGCCTTCACGCGAGAAGGAAGGACGCACCGAAAAGGAATCTTCCATGTCCCTTCTTCTCCCACAGACAGACGTCACGCCAAACTTGGGACACTCTTCAAGTTCCATTACACTTTTCCTGTCGTTTACCTTGGATTTTTTGCAATTCTCAACCTTGGATTTTTCGCAATTCTCAACAGCATTTTGGCAATCCCTGGGAGAGAGATCCAACTTAGGACGTTTCCGAGAACCCTCGGGCGGCGGCACTGCCATATCAGCTATGTATTTTAACGGTAAAAGGTCCAAACTCCGGCGCCGGGAAGGGCGTGAACTTGGCTCAATTGGAGCGGGAGTGTCACCTTCTCCAACAACACCACAGCAAATCCCAGCCATTGAATTAAGTTTGAAAAGGAAAGCTTAAACAATTAACACAATAGTGGCAGTAGTGCCTGATAACGAACCCTTATTAGGGGCAGAGAAGAACAAGACGAAGAAGAGGAGGGAAGAGGGAAGAGGACCCATCGAAATGGGGTTGGGGGAAAAGCTTTTCTAGGCTTAACGATGGGGGCCACACTTCGATCTCGGGCAGCCTGCCCGTCACCGTTAGGGGCACCGTATGGCATCTCCACCCTTCATCTCATGGTTCCCTGCTTTGCCTGTGGAACACGTGGTGCTTGGCTTTTTCCAAAGGACTAGGTGGCACCAATCATTTCCATCCACGCTATGTCCAAACCCTCTTCCTTTTCAGACACGCATGTCCCGCCTCCTCTCTCTCTTTCCTTCCATTTCATTCCTCATTTTGTTTCCGTTTCACCCGCAAATTATTATTATCTTTCTGCAATATTATTGCATAATCTCAATCCTCTATTATTATATTCAATACAAAAAATATTTTTATATATTATTAATTATTTTCAATTTATTAGGCTAGAATATATCTCATTTAATTCCTTTCATTTTATTAGTCAAGTATTTCTCTTTTTTTCTTCGCTTTTTCCTTTATTTTTTTTCTTTCCTATTCCACTTTTCGGTCTCCTAAGACACTCGGCCGGAGGATGTCACCACGTGGCTTCATCGTAGAATATGAGATTCCTGTTTGATTCTGCCTTTCACGCCCGCGTCCCTCCACGTACCCAACACGCGCCAACAGGGTGTGCTTTTGGTTTATTACTTTGTCTTTACTGCACTCGTTTTATTTTATTTAAGTTCATTTGATTTATGTTCTTCTGAACTTGCACACTCATTATCTTTCATCAAGTATTTTATATGAATCATTGATATATTTTTTTTATTTCTTACAAGTTTACTTTTTAATACATTTTTAGTATATATTATCTGTAATTATTATCCAATTTACGTTGATTCTTTAATGATTAAACTTTCCTGCATAAAATACTTGTATAAATATTAAATTTAAATAAATATATTTTAAAATTTTACAAGCATCAACGTTTTAAAAATTAATATTACATTAAACATATAAATAGCGCTGCATTTTTATTTTATTTTATTTCAGTTGAGCTGATATTCCCTGAAATTGGAAAGGTAGTCGAAATTTAAATGAAAGAGAGAGGTGCGTGTACATTAGAAAAACCTTCAGGAAAGCGTCACACAAATGAGGTGGCATGTGTAGAAGGAAAGGAGAAAATGTTTTGTCACTGCAATGGAAAAGAAAAATTGTTTCACATAATCCAATACTTGTGAAATGATAAATAATATAGCTGCAATAAGTCTAAAAAGGCTTAAATAAAATAATTCCTAAGAATGAAAATCTTTAGAATAAGTAGATGAAAGGAGGATACAAAAGATAATGAATTATTATTAGCAGTAATGGGAAGGTAGAAAAAACAGGGAGCGTGGAAGGAACGGAGGAGGGAGGTGGGGGAGAGTGTTGAGTGGGGAGAAGGTTCGCTTTATCGTGGCAATTCCAGTTGTCCAATGAAAGCGATCTACGTAACAAGGGATATTTCGACACGTGTGGGACCGCATGTCAAAGGCGATTGACGCTTGCAGAATATCTCAGGTTCTCATAATGGAATATGGGACGCGTGGCAATATCTTACGTGGATCCGAAACTGCGATCAAACCCACCCCAAGTTTCCAATACCACTCACTCACTCACTCTCCTTTTTCAATTCAAAAAAACGCAGCAGCCTCACCCAAAACCACCTACCTAGTCCTCTCCTCAATGCGTTTCACACATGACACTTGTCACCCTCCCATCCTGTAGGTTTTTATTTCCTTTACCTTTATTTTAATCTAATTTAAATTATCAACTTTATATACTAAATATTAAAAAGTTACATATATTTATATTTCATTCTCATCTCTGTATCAAACACCTGTCTTCACAAGAAAAACTATTATCCAATGTGTATCATTTCATTTCACATATCTTTTTGGCTACTCTCTTCCTTTGTTTAGCTGCAATGATCAAACCCCGGATTTTCTTTTTATGCATTAATCAGTAGTATTATTATTAGTGTGCTTTTTAGTTTTTATTTTATTGTTGCTTTCCTCATCCTGAACTAGAACTTCATAGCGTATCACGTAATAAGTCATTTGAGTATCAAACAGAGACACGCATGAGGATCACAGGAGAATATCATTAACAACGTGCGGAACAACATATGTTGAAGATGCAATATAAGCGTACTAGCATGCAAGTGTTGTTGTAGGGGAAATTGCAAAACAGATACTACAATCAGTTATGAAAGATGGATCACTGCGTAAAAGAGTTGAACTCATTGTAAATTATTATATTCCTTTCTTCTTTTTCTTTTTAATTAATTTGTTATTTTTAATGATAAATTAAAAGTGTTAATTCGATGCACAACAAATTATTATGACAATGAAGCTTCTGATCTTGAAATTTCTCAGGTTACTGATCTTCGTTTCTTTAACAAACCAATGTTGACTAGTCTTTTCAGCTATCCATCAAATCAATAATGCGTCTAGCAATAATGAACCAAATCCACTCAGCTTGCATGTCATTTAGGATTAATTAAATTAAATTGCAAAGTAGCTTCAATTCCAAATCAACACTTTTCAAAAATTAAACTTTTAAAATTAAAAAGAAAAAGAAAATAATTACTTGGATAAAAAAAAGTAAAATTAAACTTTGAATAAGAAAAAAAGGAAGGTTGCTTGGAGGGCATTAAAGTGAATTTATATTGTTTAATTGCATGATTGAAATGATAAAGATAGGGTGAGGAGAGGTGCAGGGAGCTAAGTGTGGGCGTGCAATGACAGAAAGGAAGCACTTTACTTCTCAAACTCTGCAACTGTGTGACTGCAGGTGACGTGACTAAAACCCGCCACGTGATTAACAATGCCACAGGTTCAGTCAGCGTCTCAGAACCTGACCTTTTCAGTCTTTCACCAAAAAGCCACACTGATTCCTTGTGTACCAATTTCAGTGAACTTTTTCTTTTTTTCTTTTTATCATCATCATAGTTAACAATTAGGTTTTTACAAGTTTTCATATTCTCTAAACCACGATTTATTACAACCAATTAAATACTTAAGTTCTTATTTAAATTATTTCATCTAATTTTTCTTTTACAAATATAGACGTTGCATCGTGCACACTTTAATATCTTTTACAATTAGCTAAAAATACTTTTTTTAATTCTTTTCATTAATAATAATGTTAAAATAACATTTTGTTGGAATATAATTTAACTTTTTTAAAAATATTTTTTAAAAAAAATTAAAGTTGATTATTAAAAAAATTCTCAAACATCGCTGAGGGCCTGTTTAGATAGTAGTTGAAATTCCGTTTAGACGAAAATGAATATTTTCTTTTTCTCACAACATTAACCTCATAAGGTGCGTGCATAACTCCGTTTCAAAAATTATACAAACAGACACTACGCTTGAGTTTAATGTTTACTGCTATTTTAATAAGTTCACTGAAAAATAATTATAAATCTAAAAGTTTTTAAGAAAAATTTGAAAAATAATGTGACTCCATGGCTCTATCTTACATGCTACAACTAAGCAAAATTGAATTAGCAACGAAGAGCTCGGATAGCTTGTGTCTTAGGTTCAATTCTTTTGCTATTATTGTCTTAAATAAACAACCCAACCTTCTTTTGCTTTTCTTATAAGAATACGATAGAATTGATATTAATATATGATATAATCTAAAGTACAATTTTTCAGAAATATTCTAAACTTTATTTCATTTTCTAAGATTTCAAAGAGTTTTAAAAATCCATTGTGAGAGTTATCAAAAGCCGCTAACAAAGAAAGTTTCATAAAAATAAAAATGTAAAACATTTTCATCTAGAAAAACTAAAAAGATAACATTTGAAAATAAGGAATATGCAATTAGTTGAGGGGAGTGAAGGAAAGAAAAAGAAAAAGAACGTAAATAAAGAATATTATGTGCATGATATGTTTATGGGAATTTGAATTGGTGGGTGGGTAGCAGTAACCTTCACTAAGGAGGCAATGGTATTTATTGTTGTTGCAAGTTGTAACACAAGTGTTTGATTAAAATATAAAGTGGTAACACAGAGAAGAAATAAAATAAAAGATAAAGACATAAAGATTTGAAATGTGAGTAACTTGAACATACTCCAATTTCTTGGAGTGTGATGGTTTGTGGTGATAGACAGCTATGTAAATGACAGAAGAACGTGGCATGGTTAGCGAAAGTGACACGCGCAAGGCATGCCATAGCTTAGAATGAGATGGTTTTTGGTGCATCTTCACTCCGGGATTTAGCAGCCGCACTATGAATCAACTCAACCCCAGCAAATGGCACTTCCTCACTGCAATTTCATACTTACTATGACGCGTGCTTCCTTTTTAAACTTGCACTTGCATTCCAATCAACATACCCTCTTCCTTAGGAAACTAAACATATCACTAAGTTATTTCTATTTTAAACTCTTTTCATATTTTCTGCATTTAAAGTTAAATTTTAACTTTTAGGGTACGTTTGAGAGAATATTTTTTTAAAAGAAAATAGAAGAAAGAATATATTAATTTTAAATTTATTTATTTAAAATATAAATTTATGCCATCACTTTCCTTTTCCTTCAAAACTCCCTTTAAACAACTCTTTAAATGTAACATATTATTATGTGATTTCGAATATTAATTACTATGATTATATTAGGTATTTAATAAAAAAAATTATTATCTATAATAATCTTATTTAATTTAAATAATTTTTTTCTAATAAATAATATTTATTCTAGTCATTTTATAAAAACAAAATTAAGTTATTAAGACCAAAAAATATAATTAAAATATTTATATTTTTATAAATATAAATTTTATTCTAAAAATAGTTATAATATTAAATAATATAATTATTACTTTGTAAGTATATATTTAATAATAAAAAATATAAAAAATTTAACAATTATATATTTTAAATTTATTCTATATTTTTATAATTAGGACAAAAAATAATATATTTGATTAACTTTATAAAAAAGACTGAAAAGAGTATTAATATTTTTTAAAAATGTGATAAATTATTATTTTAAAATTATAAAGATGTAATAATTCTTTTAATAAAGTTTACTTATTTGAACTACTTAATATTTTTTAAAAAAACATTACTGTTCTTGTTTTAAACAATTAAAATAAGAATTTATGTAATGGAATAATTTATTGAAATAAATAGTTTTTAATTTATCTTAATAATTTTAATTATTATTTTAAAAATACTAAATAAAAATTTTAACAAGATGTATATTGAACCACCCCTAAATCAATACTGTTGGCGATGATGTGATACTGCTTACAACTAAAACCAGGTTTTGTACGGATGAAGACAGCATATCTTGTTTCCTAGGATCCATGATGTCGTGTCATATGATACATACAGAAGCATAAGAGAATGCTTCATCTCTGATCATCAGTGAGATTGTTTGGAATGCATCACCTTCTCTTTCTCTATGTCATTCACTGCCTTCAATGCCGCCCTTCATTTATATTAACTCAGCAGAGTGCTGCATTCATTATTCACCTAACCCTTATTCATCACTGCCTTAAAAGTTTGTACCCAATCTGTCTCAGCTAGCTCCATAGGTGCTGTCATCTTTCAATTAACAAAGTTTGCCCAAAAAAATATCTAATGCGTTCATCTAAACATTTTTAAAATATAATTTTAAATAAACTTTTTAACAAATATTTATACAAATTAAAAAAATTACTAATTAAAATTATCCTGTTTATCTTATTCTTTTCTAAAAGTTGTCTTCAATTTCTTTAAAAGTATAATGCAAGATTTTGTTATTAATGCATTAAATTTTTTAATATTTATTTTTTGATAAAGATTTATTATATATAAATTATTATTATATTGATTTAAATATACACTAAAAAATTAGATTTTAATTTATAAAAAAAATTATTTTATCTCTTTATTTTTTTTCTTTTAAGATACCCGTGGAGAAATTAATATAAAGTGAAACAAGGTCAGCTTTGATTTGGAGGGATGCCAACACAACCTTAAAATGTTAAATGTCAAGTTTGAATGCAATTTTATCCCTATGTAAGTGTCAGATGACCAGTGCCAATGGTCCCTACATTTTGCAAACAATGCTTTGTACACTGAGTTGACCACTATTTGATGCTCATTAAGGGCTATGCAAAATCTGTTGAGTGAGTCTATGTTTAACTCAGATTTGCCACGTGTAAGTGAAAATGTTAAAGAATAGGGTGCAAATAATATCCTCCAATTGCAATGGCAACCAAAGTCGTTGTTTCTTGATAGAAACTGCTTTAAGCTAGGTTTGACGCACATAGTGATGAATACAAACAACTGCATAAAATGCATATAGTTCTTTTTTCTGAATGATTGATTATGTGGATTACACCATATCATTAAATTTGATAAAAATCTAAATTTACAGAGATATTAGTTATTATAAAAAAATTTATACAAACAATAATTAAGTGTCATCTTATTAGATGAAATTTAGTCGACTATATAAATTACACGGCGTTATTTTCATAAAATTTCTTATTATAATGATTATTCATGGATAGGAAGAAACAAGAAATTCTTACAAAAGAAAAAAGATCCTTTATTTCAAATATGATAAAAAATAAACAAATGAGCACATGAATGTTGTGTTATTCTCAAGCTTGTTTTAAATCATTTCAGGGTTTGTTTTCCAACAACATAAATAACCTGTCTTCAGGCAAGCAAAACCACCAAGGATGAAATTAAATGAAATGTCCAATGAAAGACTAAAGGATCTTTTATATTCCAAAGATGAAACACATTTGAACAATAAACTGAGAAGTACATGAATGTCATGTTAATCTCATGCTGGGTTGAAATCCATTCACAGTTAACCCTCCATCAACACAAATAACCTGTCCTGTGATGTAAGAGGCAGCAGGCAGACAAAGGAAAGCCACCAAGGATGACACTTCTTCGGCTTCCGCGATGCGGCCGAGAGGAGTTCGAGACAACATTTCATCTACATACTTCTGGTTGCGTAGCAGCTATCATAACAGATGAGTGACAAACAATTGTTGCAAAGAAACCAAAAAAGTTTTATTTCAGAATATCTGAAAAATGTATCAGTCTAAAAAGTACAGCAAAAATGAATAGACATCATCATAAAGCTTTGTCCTTTTGCAAATGTGATATTAACATGAAATCTTGAAATCTTACAGCTTAACCAGACAATCCAAGAGCCATACAGCATTGGATTCTAAATAAATTATAATATGTATGATCTTTAAACTAGCAAAGGATTTGAAGACAAGATTGGTAGCAATACATAAAAAGGTAGTATGGTAATTAGGTAATATAAACTCTCACTTTGTTTGGGAATGCAGACTCCTACTATGACTTGTCTTTCATAATTAGGTAATTTATTTGAAAAGGAAGTCTTGATAGTATCTCAAGTCAAACACACTGTACAAGTTGTAAAATTCACATGCCATTGAAATTTCAAGTTTCACCAGTGTAGTGTTATATGGAAAAAGGCTAACATGGTACAAGTGTCTAGTATGAATAACACATACTCTCAATACTATTTCAAAATTTCCACACACCTGTGCATATGTTATTCAAACAAGTAGAAATACATAAAAAGCGGAAGGCAAATAGCTTAGTTATATCTATTTGACATGTTTTCAGCAAAAGGTTGAGCACAGGCTTGATGACAATTATGTACTGTTGAATAAACAGTAATATTGGGTGGACCTTTAGTATTACTGAATTCCTATAGACTACAATTTACTACACTCCTGACTAGATCCCACAATCAGTTAATTTTCATGCACAGAGATTTAAGGATGAGCTGAATTTGTGACCACCCCAATAGCATTAATTGCTCATGTGAAATACAGATTTCAATAGACATTATCTAGAGGGTTGAGCTTCAACAACAGTATATGAAATATTTATCAAACCGAGTCTTAAAGATAATCCGCATTAAAGAAACGATCGACTTTAGTTTTTAAGTAGTTAGTTTAAAATAAAAATATTAAATTTTTATGATTTATTGTTAATATTTTTATATGAATTTTTTATTTTCCTTTGACAACAGTATTTACCATGATCATTTAAACACTAATATACTTATCTATATGATTTAGTTAGTAATTCTTTTATTTTCTTGTTTAATACTTAATCAATTTTGACCTAGACCAACCAAACATGTTGGTACAACCATACAATAATGCAAGCAAATTTGCTTTTATTCAACGTGATTCTAGATAAGAAAACGTGTTTTCAACACACTCAAAATTGTATATGGCATAGATAGATATTACAGAAGAGTAATATAACCTCCTAAGATTTAATTCAATTCCAAGTATCAAATGTTCGAGTTATTATCTTGGACCTTATATTATATCTCTAACATTAGTTTATAATTGTAAGCCTTGGAGATGTGGTATGTCACTAGAAGTGCACAGGATAGTCAATGTCTATCTTTGAGGTTTGAACCCATCAATCAAAAGGAAAGCAGCTAACTACAACTGCAATAAGAAGCAAGAGCCTTACATGTTCAACAAGTGGTGTGTTTGTAGTAGCAGGAACAACACAATTACTCCTTATGTTGTCTTTAGCCCATTCACAAGCCAGATATTTTGTAAGCTGATTGATTGCAGCTGAAAATAGCATTGGAATGGAAACATTCAGTGCCCTTGATCACCCCAACATTTTACAACAACCAAGTTAAAAAAACAAATTATTATGAAGTAACATGATAGCTCACCTTTACATGCTGCATAGATAGATCCAGTACCTAAGCTCACCACGCCAGCAATAGATGAAATGAACACAATGCTTCCCATTCCAGATGCTTTTAGAAGAGGGTATGCAAGTTGGCACAGATGGTGAGCAGAGTCTAAATTAATTGCCATCATTTCTGAATAGTCTTCAGCAGAGTACTCAGTGGTTGGCTTCCTGTAGTTTGCTCCAACATTGTTCACCTATGTCATGTTAGAAGGAACCAAACCTCTCCCTATGATATTAGTTTTATTTATTTATTTTCTTTTTCTCATACAATATTACCCATGATAAATTTTTTTTAATAAATAACACATTTTTATTAAAAATTTAATCATTTAATAGCATTTTTATACTTTTTAATAAAAACTTATTATATATAGATTTTAATTATATGTAGTGTTATACAAATTTTAAAAAAATAAATGCTTATTTCTTAAAAGCAATATATTCCAAAACAAATTAACACCAAAAATTAGAAATAAGGTCTCAACTTACATAAATGTTAAGCTTGGCATTGAAGATGGAAGTGACATCCTTAATGAGTTTCTCTCTTTGGGGTGGAGATGACACATCACACACTGACCCAGAAACCAAAAAGCCCTTACTACGCCATTGATCCAAACACTTATCAAGTTCAGCTTGGTTTCTGGAACAAGTGTGGACGGTGGCACCAAACCCACATAACTCTTCCACTATGGCATGCCTGAAAGTGAACATATTTTCATTGGTTCAGACCAAAAAGATCAACTTTTTATAGCCAAATGTAGAAATTTGTGGCCACAGTTCAAATGGGTAAGGATCAAAATACTGTATTTCCATGAAAAAAAAAAAGAACTGACCCAATTCCACGAGTTCCACCTGTGACGAGAGCAGTGATTCCGTTAAGGGACCATCTTAAGGCTCTCTGGTTACCGTTCTTCGCAGCTGCCATTTCTATGTTCTTCAATTGTTTGTTTCCATTTGCTTTATCACGATTCCTCAAACCTCAAAACTCAACGTGTCCTTCCATTTCGATGCTTGAAATTTTTTTAGTTCTGATTATTATTCTTTCCAAAAATACCCCCGATGAATGTTTTTTAAAAAGTGGATGTTGTTGAAATGGTATTGGATTATGATTCATAATTGAATTCATTAGTTGAATTGTAAGTTTGTAACTAGCATAAATAAGATTAAATTATAAAATAAAATGAAAGTTGATATGCTTTGTTTTGGATAATTAAAATGAATTTTCTTATCATCTCACTCAATTAATTTTTATAAAGTAATAATCATGCATACTTTTTTTAATTTAAATAATATATGTATGATTTATTTCACAATCTATTTAACTTTTATATATATATATATATATATATATTTTAATAATAATAATAATAATAATATTATTATTATTATTATTATTATTATTATTATTATCATCGGTTAACTAAGTTGTTAATTTTAATTTTTATTATTATAATTTCTAAAGAGAAGAATATTTGAATAATATTTAGTTGATTAAATTTTTGCATGGTTAATTAATAATATATCTTGATTTTATTTACAGATATATAGAAGATAAAAAGTTTGAAATAAATATAAGAAATATAAGGAGGGTTAAACTACATTTTAATTTTTTTTTGGTAAAAATATTTTAATTATTGTTCCTGTCAAGATAACACAGGTCTTCAAGTCTCTACTTTGACGTGGAAGGATATCTGCAAAAGACACTCCGATAATGAAGTCAGGATTCGGTTCTGAGTAATAAATGCTATTTAATAATGAGAAGTCAACCCCCTACCTGTATTTCCTATCTTCCTTTTATAGGCATTGTATTGGGCTGATAGGCCTGCTGAGTCAGCCTTTATACTTTATACTTTGGCCCATTTTCCTGATTTAAATAATATTTTGATTATTACCCTTAATTGAATTAATTACTTTTTAATCCTGACGAGGAGTATTCGGCCTATGCCAAATAGATACTCGATTTCCTTTTCCAACAAGTAAGACTGAGTTGATCTTTATCCAATACAATTATTTTTGGCAAAAACTTATCACAAAGAGTTAATAAGTAAGAGTCATATGCCCATGTTACGAAAGAAAAAGACATGAAAAATTGGACGTGTCACTTATTACATAAGCTGTTCATGAGTTAAATATGACCACCATCCACTATTAAAAGGGAGAGAAAATGAAATTGCAAATCAAGATCATCACGTGTGACACACTTGTTGAATTGAGATGAGAATCATTTGTCCCAAGGAAGAGGAGTTAAGGAGATTCAAGTAATTCTCATGCTGGGTTGAAATCCATTCACAGTTAATCCTCCATCAACACAAATAACTTGTCCTGTGATGTACGAAGCAGCAGGCAGACAAAGGAAAGTCACCAAGGATGACACTTCTTCAGGTTCTGCAATGCGCTTCAGAGGAGTTCGAGCCATAGCATCATCCACAAACTTTTGGTTTTGGAGCAACTACAAAAAAAAAATGCCATTCCAAACAGCTTTTAACTAAGAGAAGGAAATAGTACAAAAATTTCAAGGAACAATAAAATTTGACTTATTATCAAATGCAAAAGCTCTAACTTCAGCTCTTACTTAACTGAGTTTAAGCAGTTAATAATCCTGAAATTTTATTAAAAAATATTTATTATACTTTCATATTTTTAATAACATTTTATTACTTTTAAATACTTAAACTCTGATGTAAAATTGAGGTCGCCGAAATTTATAATTTAATAATCGATCAATGCACTAGCAGACCTTAATAGATTCTAAAATCTACTGCCTGTTAGGTTAAGTAGTGGTTTAGTATTATGCAGACAAAAATGTAAATTGCTTCTGATTTTGGGAGTTCATTATATATAACATGCAAATATTAAAGTTTATGATGAATGTCAATAAAAAATCTCTTTTTTGGTGTAGCTATGAAAGTGGTTCAATTAGATCAGTGCTTCTTACAAACATTTTTCAAATGCTGCAGGAATTGGATGGTTAGCTAATGCCTTTGTCTACTGAATAATATTTTTTTAAGGCCTTTGTAGAAAGGAAAACTGCTCAGAAAAAAATATAGGAAACAAAAAAGTTTACATGTTCAACAAGTGGGGTTCTGGTTGCCCATGGCACAACACAATTGCTCCTTATGTTGTCTTTTGCCCATTCACAAGCCAGATTTTTTGTGAACTGATTAATTGCAGCTGAAAATTCAGTGAACAAAAAATATAAGTCTCTCTTTATGTGCTAACAATTTATTAATCACATCTATATGAAAGAAAAAACCAAGCTAGTATATTACTCACCTTTACTTACTGCATAGACAGATCCAGTACCTAAGCTCATAACACCAGCAACAGATGAAATGAACACAATGCTTCCCTTTCCAGAGGCTTTGAGAAGAGGATATGCAAGTTGGCACAGATGAAATGCAGAGTCTAAATTAACTCTCATCAGCTCTGAATATTCTTCAGCAGTGTACTCAATGGTTGGCTTTCTTACGGTTGTTCCAACATTGTTGACCTAAAGCACATAGTCATGCATATGTATGATTAATGACAGGTAAATTTGATGGAAGGAGACTACTTTCAAAGTGAATCATTAATTTGTGATGAAAGCTTATAGTATCAAGTAAGGGGCATTTGAACACATTGTTTTCAGCTCTACTAAATGAAACAAATGTAGCTATAAACAATGTACTTGTTAGAAATATCATCAACGGTGTTGGAGGATGATTAACTAGCTCCAATAATACTTATTTTTTCAAAAGTGATCTTAAAAACTAAAAATATGATGGATTTTTATTTTAAAATAACTATAGCATAGAAACTACATTTTAACACGTTTTAAATGGTCATGATCCATGTTTTTTTTAACGCTACTAATTATATCTTCCGCATTACAGATTTTTCAGCTTATTTCTAGAGATGCACTAAGTTAAACCAAACTTACACTCACATATAGATCTATAAATCATATCTAATCTAATTTATGGATATCTGACTCCAATGTCTTGGTATCATAGACTTGACATTTTGAGTAATACTTACAAATATATTAAGGTTGCCATTGAAAGTGGATGCCACATCCTGAATGAGCTTCTCTCTCTGTGATGGAGATGACACATCACAGACAGACCCAGTAACCCGAAAGCCTTGACTTTGCCATTCTTGCAAGCACTTGTTAAGTTCTGTTTGGGTCCTTGAACAAGTGTGCACAGCAGCACCAAACCCAGCTAGATCATTCACTATGGCATGCCTGAAACAGAAAAGAAAGAATAAGAACAAAGGAATGTGAATTGTTGATTTGACGAGTAACCAAAGAAAGAGAGAAAATGAAAACCCGATCCCACGAGTGCCACCAGTCACAAGTGCGGTCATTCCATTCAAACCCCATCTCCCTCCTCTGTTTCTGCTCTCTGTTTCTGCCATTTCTTACTTCTCACTCTCTTTCACTCAGAAAGGTCAAAAACCATGTACACACCATGTGGTATTGCGTAGGGATGCTTAAACAATTCTCTCCTTATATAGTTGTTTTACATAAGAAACGTCAGAAACCTGGTTTTAAATAATTTTCTCCTTTGTAATTTTTTAATATTTAATAAATTTTAATTATTAAAAACGTGTTTAAAAAATATGATATTATAATTTATTTATATAAATTTTATTATCATAACTTTAATTTAAAAAGTCAAAAATCATGTTCACACCATTTGAATATTAAGCAAAGAAAAAATATTAGTAACACACGTTTTATTAGTGGTTAAGATTTATTAAAAATTAAAAATATTAAAAACTATATTAATCTAAAAATTGAAAGAAAAAAAAAGAAGTAAAATTCACGTAATTATTTTTATAATTTTTAATAAATTTTAATTATTAAAAATGTGTTTGTTTAACTATAATTTTTTTATATAAGGAACGTTGCTAACATAGCTTTAAATAATTTTGTTTTTGTAATTTTTCATTATTTAAAATTTAATTATTAAAAACCATGTTAAAAATAAGTTATTATTATTTATTTATATAAATTTTATTATAATAACAACTTTTTAATGTATGTCTACAAATATATTTTAAAAAAATTAAATATACTCTATTAAATATTTAAATTTATCATAAAAATATGAAATAAATAATTTTTAGATGATAAATATTCTTATTTTTCATAATTTTTTTTAATTTCGTAATGTGTATTTTTGAACACCTATTAAAAAAATTATTATGATAATGCTACATTCTTTCTTTTTATTTTATGTAATTTAAGTAAGTGTTTAGTCTAATGATGTAATTTTAAAAAGCCCATGGAATGAATATTACAAATTACTCTTGATTTTTATGTCTCGTAAATACGTGTTTTTAATTTATTTTAATTTTAAGATGATAAAACTATAAATATATATATAAGAATATTATTTTTAATATCTTTTAATAAATTCAATTTTTGAAAATTAAAACAATAAAAGTGCCGGACTTTTTTTTCTTGGTTCATTAAAATAAAACAACGACGCATTAGACTTCGAATAATAGTTGAAGTAACATGGACCAATCTTTCAAAGGCCCTGGCCCATTCTGCACCTTTTAACTAAAATAATATCAATTTTAAAACAATTTATTAAAATAATATATATTTGAAACAATTTATTAGTTTGGATAATTTTGGTTGCGTCTAAAATGTAATTATGAGAAAAGATATATGTGAGATATAATAATAACAGGCATAACGTAAAATAAATATATAGCACTTGTTTATTGTGCTCAATATTATCCATATAATTCATCAATATTATCAAATTTTTACAGATAAATTGTATTATAAGATGAAGTCTTTTTTGTCAGCAAAATCATAAAAACAAAGGCTCTTTACAAACTCACAAACATCACTGATGTTGAATCCTTTGTAATTATTGGTAGCCTCCAAAGTTAGGCTACAAATTGGAAGTTTCTTAGTTTGCTGGCTGATTCTTGAATTCCATTTTTGTAAATGAGTATTAATTACAACTAAGAAAATATCAACCTAATAATAATGCTTAATTGTTATATTTGATTGCTGACATTCCCCTAATGTATCTATGATAGTAATTTTCATTTCGTGCTTTTGATTAAAAAAATACATTATTTAACAAATTATATCACTCATCATTTTTGTCAACTATCAAAGGAGTAATTTTGCAAATTTATTTTGAGAGCATGATTATAATGTTTGACAACAAATATTAATAATTTTGTTATCTTAAAGATTAGGTGCAATATAAAAATAAATGTAAGAGAGGACAATAGTTTACTATTAGTAGAAGCTTTACCTTTTTAAAATTAAATGACTCTTTCATTAATCATATTAGTAAAAATAGTGTAGGATCAATGGTATATTTTCATTAAGCTATAAATACATTAAAATGAAAGTTTCTTTGGTTCTTTGTATAGTACTCACTTATTTTGTTTTACTACCTATTTCAAGTCAATTGATAGCAATTGCAATGTTAATTTCTTGATAACTAGTAACATCTTTTATATGAGAATGCTCTAAAAATATATATAATTTAAACAAAAACATAAAAAGGAAGAGAATGATCATTATTTAACAAAAGATGTTTTTAAAAAATAGGTTAACATCACTCATGCTTGAGAGACGTATAATTGCATAATTTTTATTAAGAATAACTTTGTCATTTGCATTTTTTTAATACTTTTGTCTTTTATTTTTATTATACTCATGCCTAAAATAAATTTGAATTACGCATAATTAATTTTTGAGAAAAACACAATTTTTTAAGAAGAATATTTCATATCGCACTTACAAATATCTTTACGTTATTGATGGTCAGAGACAATAATTATAGCAAGTTACTATAATTTTATTTTATTTTTTACTTTTACAAATGTTTTTCATTGTAGGGACAAGTGGGAGTTAACAGAAAAATGGAGAAAATAATATATAAACAAAGGTGATCAGTATTGTATATTTTTTAAATTAATAGTCATAATTTTTTTTAATATTTTAGAAATGAAATATATTTTTATATATTTTTTAAATAAATTATTAACTTGGCCGTTTATTTCACTAACAAAAATTGACTGTTTATTAATTTAAAATTAATAAAAATAATTATTTTACGTGTAAAAAGATATAAAATATATATTTTTTAATTTACTAGACACTAAAAATTATCATAAATAAAACGAGAGGAAGTTATTTATAAAAAAAAAATTTAAATCACGAAACAATCATCATAAATTCACAAAAAAATTGATATTATCACAGATAAAAGTGTCTTATAATAAAAAAAAATTATTGAAATATAAGGCTTTATTTTATTTTATTTTGTTATTAATGGTTAATGTAGAAGAAATCGTTTTGCAATAAAAAAAATATAATAAAAACAATATTAAATTTCATTTAAAGATGAGTGGACAGACTGATGCCCCTTCAAATGTTCAGGCACAAGAGATTTTACCAATTTTTCCCCATGAAGGAACTCATCTAAAAGTTAAAGAAAGAAAACACAAAACACATATATTTTCTTACTTTTGTTTTCTTTTTAGTAAATAATGTTTTTTCTTTAGAAAAAATGAGGAGGCCAAAAAAAAATCAGACAAAATTTAAATATAATTTTTTGAGTAATTTTTAGTGTTATTAATTAAATTTTATCTTAATAAAAGATCATTTATTATAAATTCAAATAAAAAATATTAAACACATGTATTTAAATTTTGTTAAACTACCTAAAATGTAGATCAATCAATAAGAAGTTACCGCTTATAATAATTTTACTCAGTTTCTATGATAATTTTACTCAAACATCTTGAACATATTGGTTGTTACTCACATGTTTTGATTTATACTAAAAAAAATTTCTAAAAAATATTTATACACGTGTCCTTGAATATTTATATTTTTGGACCTGATGTGATGATTCTGAGAGCAAGCAACATTATCCACATCCACATGGTAGTTGTCACAGTTGTGTGTGACTGCAAGGAATGGCTTTTGTTCTGAACGTCTCATTGTGTTCCACTTCTAAACCCAATCTTCATCTCTCCAACTCCACCGCCTCCAAAGCTCTTCATTCTCCTCTCATTCTGGTTCGTATACTACACACACTTTTCTCTTATTCAACTTCAACAATTCCCTCTTTGATTCATTCCATTCATCTTCAGGGACTCAATAAAAAGCAAAGTTGCCAGGCATCTCAAAAACTCACATTTCCATTAGGGGAATCCTTGTCAAGTGCTACCCTGGTTGCTCTTCTCTCTGCTTCCTTCATTTTTGTTGATCCTGCACTTGCATTCAAGGTACTGATAACTTGTCATTTTATAGTTTTTATATGAGAAATTTCACCCCATTTAAACAAGATCAAATTTTTTTTGAGTTGATGGATAATGGGTATGGTGAATAATATAGGGTGGTGGACCGTATGGGAAAGAGGTGACAAGAGGACAAGATCTCTCTGGGAAGGATTTTAGTGGCAAGACACTGATCCAGCAAGACTTCAAAACGGTGTAACTTCGTTTATTTTTCCTTTTATTTTGTTTAACTTAGTTGATTTGATAATGTGATCACTCAAATGTGGTGCATTTGATCAAGGTTTAACATGTTAACTTACTTGCCTGTTACAGTCCATACTGAGACAAACTAATTTTAAAGGTGCAAAGTTGATTGGTGCTAGCTTCTTTGATGCTGATTTAACAGGTTTGGCCACCACTAAACATTATAATGAATGAATGTATTATACATATTTGGAATACGATTTACCATTGTGAATTCATTCATTCTCTTCCCACTTTGTTTTCAGGTGCTGATCTTTCGGATGCTGATCTTAGGAGTGCAGATTTTTCCCTGGCAAATGTGACAAAGGTAACTCTTTCCTGTGCTGATAGGGGGAGGATCTAATGGGAATTTAATTTTGAATCATTTGCTCAAGGCCATCTTGAAATTCTTATTCCCTGTTGATATCACCCTTACTCCATATGTTACAGTGTATCAATGTGAAAGCTTTTATTTGTTCTGTTGTGTATTGTATTCAACTTAAAATTTTACATAGTGGCAGTGACCAAACATAAGGCAATTGTGTGAGTGGTTATACAAGAGATAGTTAATGCATTAATTACTAAACCAACTTATCAAGTGTTCTCTGGCCCTTTACTATTTTATTTAAAAAAGAGAAATAATGGATCATTGGCATAATTTTGAGCCATATACAATTAGACAGAACGAAAGTTTATATATTGATATAATCAGATGCGAAGGAATGTAGATTATTTGAAGTGGAAAATGTGCCTCAATTCACTGTAATTAAAGATTTTTTTTTTCTACCATGTCTCAACTTTTGTCCGGTTGGCTTCTGTTTGAATGACCACTTTCTGCAGGCAAATTTAAGCAATGCTAACTTGGAAGGTGCACTTGCAACAGGAAATACATCTTTTAGGGGATCAAATATTACAGGCGCTGGTATGCAGTATTACCTCAACTATTATGTGCTACATGGGATTTTTAAGGGATTTATAGTGGTAAAAGAGTGTGTATATTTTTTTATCAAAGATCATACTTTGGTATTGAGTGGTGATTAATTAAATAATTCTTAGTTCCAAAACCAAGCCAGCATTACCATTAAAGTCATGCATATTATTGACAAACATGATACAACTATTCTTGCGTTTCTATAAACTAATGTGTAAGACGACTATATAGGAAGGGCTTAGAGAGAGAGAATAGAGCATGAGTTTGTCAGAATAAGTCCTAACTTTCCAATATTACCTAGTTTTAGTAATCCTCATTTCAAAAACACAAATTTCATCAAATTAGGAAGTATCGTTTGAACAATATTTGTAGTTATGTATATAATATACTAAAAGAAGCCAAAAGTTAATGGTTGATCATTAGTTGTAAGTTGTAACTGAATAATTGCTAGTCATTAGAATTAATTAATCAGTTAGCATGCCAACTGTAGCAAGCTGTAGTTGAGCTGCATATGCACATAATTCTTTTAGGTTGTTTTATAAATAGGAGTGGTATTTTCTTGTCATTGTTCAATATATACAATGACTCTGTACTTCTGTGGAACTCTTCTCCTTTACTTTGATCTCTATGATCTTAGGTCTCACTAAGTTAGTATCACTTGCATTCTGCATATACCCTATTAAAATGGTTTTTGTGATTGTTGGGATTATAACATTAAGCCTGAATGCCTATTCCAAAGGTAATTGCAAATTACTTACGAATTATTAACTTTTCCTTTATATGATATGCTTGAGCAGAAGACATAACTAGACTTATATGTAATGGTAAGAATATAAATAGACTTTTTCGTTATTACTAATACTAAACAAGTAGTAAAATGCATCTAATTTTAGCTAAATGTCAACATGTTAGCACCATAAGAGTGAAGATTTACATCTTCATTCAAGAAATTTGATGTTAGGAAACTTGTGGATTGACACTGGTTTGCCCATTATCTTGGTCGGAGCCAGATTTCACGGATGTGCCACTAAGAGATGATCAACGTGAATATCTCTGCAAAGTTGCTGATGGGTAAGATTTAATCTATAAATTACACACTTTTTTTTGTGTAAATATGCTTCATCTTTGACCAAGTTGTTTATGGTAACAGAGTGAACCCAACAACTGGAAATGCTACGCGTGATACATTGCTGTGCAATTAGTATTCCATTGCCGAAGAGTGTATATTCTTATATTGAATCGGAGACTAGACAGAGATGCTGCATATCAAGCTGTAACATTTGAATTTATTAAGTAAACTCATTTGCATTAAATTGCTTTATAACATATATTGTATATCATGTCAAACATAATTCTCATTGCACTATCGAAGAAAAGGAAATACTTTGTTGCACGTGTGTCATACAACATTCTTTGATTTGTTATCCCATTTTGGTGGCTAATCACCCAATATGTTTCATAATCTAGTACATGTTTGGACTTTTGTTGAAGTCCCAAATCATGGTTAAGGCAAGCTCCTCTCTTGTTGCTTTTGTTCAAATCACAACCCCCCTAAAATAAAAGAAGAAAGAAACTTAAAGCACTTTTGTGCTCGGTAGTAGCTAATGTTGAGGTTGAGTAATATTTGGAGAGAGAAAAAGAGCAAATTTAGCTTCATGCATCCCTTTAACTTGAAAACACTTTTTTGGTTTCACAAGGGGCCTAACCTTCTATTTCCACCGATAATAAAGCTATTTTTCCCCTCTTGAAATGGGAAAGCGCTTGGTCTCATTGGAAGCTCAAATGGTGTGATGAAGAAATAAGAATAAGATAGGGGGAATAACAAATATAAAATTGAAAATATTTGTAAAGTGATTTTTTTTAATCTAAGATGTACTTAGGCCTTGTTTGGTTTAAATTGAGAATCAATTTTTCTAAAACGAGCCTTATTCTATGGCAATTCAATTTAGGTGGGTAATAGTAGATAATTAATTGAGAAGGTTTAATGTTTTATAATACTTAAACATAATAAACTTGTGACAATCATTTATAATGTTTTTCAATTAAATTTTGTTTATTTTAATGAAAATAAATTTTATATTAGTTTAAGTTATTTAAAACATTACAAATTATGAATAATTAAATTAGTAATTTAATATAAAATAAAAAATTATAATTTAAGTGTTAATAATACTAAATAATTTTAATTATTCAAATTTTTGTCATAAATTATTTTATATAATAATGAGATAATTTTAATTACAGTTACAAATTACTTTTTGCTCTTTTAATTCTTTCCTCTTAATTTCTTCCCATATCCAAACAAATTGTCAATCTATGAATCATTTGTAAATATACTCAAAGTTCCTATTTTTGACACGTTGAATTCAAATTTTACGAATAAAAAAATAAGTCTTAGTATAAATTTTATTCTCTTAAACGAGGCTAAAAAAAATATTAAACTCGATTATTTAAAATTTTAATATGACTGATAAATATCAAAATGTCAATATGGAAACAAAACAGAGATTGTTGTAGTAATATGCTGTTTCTAAAAGGGTACACAAACAAATTGAAATCCAAATAACAGTAAAAAAATTGTGGCCGTGACACCAATAGCAGCGTGGGGATCTTCTCGAAAGGAAGTGGCGCACACAACAGAACCCATCATTTCCCATTCTGCACTCTAATCAATGTAAACCTTCTAGTTCCGATTCATGCCCTTAACTCTATACCTCTGTAAGTTATCAAGATTCATTTTTTAATTATCAAAGATTCTTTTTTTATTTTTTTTTGGGGGAGGGGTCATTGTGAGAATTTAAACTTGAACATGGTTTCTGGGACCCCTTGTAGAATTTGAGTTTAGTTCCAAATGGGTTATGTCCAATGGATTAGATCATTGTAACTATGCCAAGAGGATTGTCAAGGAAATAGGTTGATATTTCATGGTAGATCTAATGTTTTAGCAGTTTCATGTTATGGGTTTAAAGTTGTATTATGGTTGCATCTGGATTGTATTCCGTCCTGAACTAGTTTAATTTTGTTTTAATTTATATCTTTCTTTTATGAATGTGTAACTTCTGTGCCTGCAATGTGAACTTTCTATCTTATAATTTAATCCTTCTTATTCCTGTGTTGTGTGTGTGCGCTACTGCCTTTAGAGTTTCAACGGAAAAAAGAAAATCTCAGCTTTGATGTAAAAGGAATCAAAACCTACATTCATTAGCCTCTGATCTACATGATTCCACGAGCGAGTGTACTTGTACAGCTTAAATTCTATTTTAATTTTTAAACCATGAAAGCATAGTAATGGAATTTCTGGATTAACTTGGTGGTGTAGACTTAAAATATACTGTTGATTATAATTTATCAGTTAGGATATACTGTTAATCTCTGCTATTGATCTGTATTGTGGCCCCAATAAGGTCAAGGCCTGAAAACATTGTTTAGTCTCCTTTGGGATTCAGTGTGTCTTTCTACTGGATCCTCAGGCTGTGTTTGAATATTTGCACTTTGCAGCCGTGTTGAACTTGGGCTATTTGTGTTACTGAATCGCTGGTGCTTCATCAGAGTCATTGACATGGGGGAATCCTTATCAGTGTATTGATTGTCTCTTTCTACATTACTTTTGTTCATCTCAGCATTCTTGCAGCGAATGTCAAGCTGATCCCTTTGTCAAAATGGGACACCTAAAGGTGCAGATGCAAACTGGATTTAATGAAATAGAAGATCAATATGAGCAATGTAAAGCAGGATATCCAAACCAAACTACTATAGCATGCATGATCAATGCAGAAATTGGTGCTGTTTTGGCAGTCATGCGAAGAAATGTTAGATGGGGAATTCACTACATGTCAGATGATGACCAACCAGAGCACTTTCTTGTTCACTCTTTAAAGGCATTAAGGAGACAAATTTTCTCATGGCAGAGTCAATGGCATGCCATCAACCCTGCCTTGTATCTCCAGCCCTTCTTGGATGTGATACAGTCAGATGAAACTGGTGCACCTATTACTGGTGTTGCTTTGTCATCTGTTTACAAGATCTTAACACTGGATGTGATTGATCAAAACACTGTCAATATTGAGGATACCATGCACTTGGTGGTTGATGCTGTCACAAGTTGCAGATTTGAGGTGACTGATCCTGGATCAGAAGAAGTGGTATTAATGAAGATTTTACAAGTTCTTCTAGCATGTGTGAAAAGAAAGCATCTGCAATACTAACTAACCAACACATTTGCACCATAGTGAATACTTGTTTCCGTATAGTTCATCAAGCAGGAACCAAAGGTGAGTTGTTGCAACGAATAGCACGGTACACAATGCATGAACTGGTTAGGTGTATATTTTCTCACCTTCAGGATATTGACAACACAGAGCACATATTCATAAACGGGAGTGCTACCGTAAAACAAAAGGTATGAGATTTGTGTTTCCCTTATCCTTTGTGTGATTATTTTGTTAGTATGGAGGACAAATATTAAAAAGGAACAATGGGAACCTCAGGTGGGGAAAATTTCTAATTTGCACTAGAATTTTTGTTTTGCTATTGTGTTATTCTCAGATTTCAAAATGTGAAATAGTTGAAAGGGAAATATGTTTAATTTGTTTACTCTCTTCTTATGTTAGTGTTTATTATATTTATATGAAACTTTCCATTTCCAATTATTTATTATTCCCAACAAAATTGTATGCTGCTAATCTTAGTGTCTTGAACACCACAGTTTTTGGTCAGCTGATTATATACATGGCTTGTAAGTCTGAAGTTCAGCTTAAAATAAATAATGAACTTAGATTTCTCTTCCTGCTTTCCCTTGAGATGCAGGACATAAAAAATAAGAAAGGAATAAGGAGAGCTAGGTACAAAGCAAAGAATCTTCACTGGATGCATATATGTTGTTGTTACTAGTTAAGGATAGAGTTGTCTCCACATATATTATTATGATTTTACAAATACTGATATTGTATAATCAAATCTGTAAATTCTCAAAGGCAATAATTCAATTGTTCTACTGAAATAAACAATTTTGCTGGTGCAAAACTGAATCTTCAGAGTCAAGACATGCATAAATTTGCAATGAATTAATGATAATATATGGTTTTTTTGCAGGCCAATGGGCTAAATAATGAACGTGCTTTGGCAAGCAGACAACTGGAAAATGGGAGGCTGAATTCTGCATATGATACTCAACCATCATCTACAAGCATTGCTTCCAGTACTGTAACTGTTGTGACGGCAGCTGTAATGGATGAAAACACAGCTATTGCTAGCAGTGGCAAGGAAACTGATCCACATGAATTGCAGCTCATGACTGAACCATATGGGATTCCCTGTATGGTGGAAATATTTCACTTCTTGTGTTCTTTGCTGAATGTTGCGGAGCATATGGGAATGAATCCTAGATTAAACACAATAACATTTGATGAAGACGTGCCTCTTTTTGCCTTAACTTTGATTAATTCAGCCATAGAGTTGGGAGGGCCTTCCTTTCGTCACCACCCAAGACTGCTGAGTTTAATTCAGGATGAATTATTCCGTAATATTATGCAATTTGGTCTGTCAATGAGCCCTCTTGTACTTTCAATGGTGTGTAGCATTGTTCTCAATTTGTATAACCATCTTCGTACAGAACTCAAATTACAGCTAGAAGCATTTTTTTCTTGTGTAATCTTGAGGCTTGCACAAAGCAAATATGGGGCTTCATATCAGCAACAGGAGGTTGTGATGGAAGCACTTGTTGATTTTTGCAGGCAAAAAACGTTCATGGTGGAGATGTATGCTAACTTTGATTGTGACATAAGTTGCAGTAATGTCTTTGAAGAGATTGCTAATTTGTTGTCAAAAAGTGCATTTCCTGTGAACAATCCATTATCTTCAATGCATATTCTTGCCTTGGATGGTCTTATTGCTGTAATGCAGGGAATGGCTGAAAGGATAGGTAATGGATCTTTAAGTTCACAACAATCTCCTATGAATTTTGAGGAGTATCCTTCATTCTGGCTGGAAAACTGTGACAGTTTTGATGACCCAAATGATTGGGTTCCTTTTGTCCGCCAAAGAAAATACATAAAGCGAAGGTTAATGATTGGAGCTGATTACTTCAATCATGATGTTAAGAAAGGTCTAGAGTTTCTCCAAGGAACACATCTTTTGCCAGACAAACTTGACTCCCAAAGTGTTGCCTACTTTTTCAGATACACTGCTGGGTTGGATAAGAATCTCATTGGTGATTTCCTTGGAAATCATGATGAATTCTGCATTCAGGTTCTTCATGAATTTGCTAAAACGTTTGATTTCCAAGATATGACCTTAGACACAGCCCTGCGTATATTTTTGGAGACTTTTAGGCTGCCTGGAGAGTCACAGAAGATACATAGGGTGCTTGAAGCTTTCTCTGAGAGATATTATGAGCAGTCACCACATATCCTGGCCAACAAG